TGGCCCCCCTGACGTCAACTGCGTTTTTTGTCAAATCGTGAGCCATCTGGCATTATGTTTGAAAAATAATGGCGTTGCATACGTAGCTTAGTTCATAGGGCTTACTTTCAAACCGGTTTTGTTACTCTAACCCATTCCTAGTTGGCTCTACAAGGCCAAAAGTGTCTAACGGGGCCAACTAGCCCCGGTCTCCCCTATCTTTAAGAACAATAAGAATGTTCAAAACTAAATTATGAAATAGCTTGGTTATTGGATTATATATGATGGTTATCAAACACAAACCAAAATACTTTCATACCATTAGTTTGCAGCCAACATGGACAAAGGTATTCATCAGACTGATGTAAGTAGATGTTCATACCCCCGTCACACTTATTCAGAATAAGCAGGCACGAAGAAGAATGAGCCCGAATGAAGAATTTTTAAAATTCGAACCACATTCGGGGGAAAAATTTTCAAATTGACCTTAATTATTGTAAGAGTACTGTTGGAATACTCAGAATGCGCTTGAATTCGCCTGGAATGATGAGTGCATTTTCGACTGTGTAGCTCTCAAAAGCAGTTCGAATGTAGTTGGAAAACTAGGAATATTTATAATGCTGTAAGAAGGCAGTAAGAATATTTAGAATATACTTTGAAGGGCGCTCTAGTGTAGTTCGATTGCTGCCAAAATTAATATTTCAGCTCATCCGAGGCACATTCGAAACACTCTGGCGGAGTATAAAATCCCCGTCACACTAGAGGCAGAATGATTAAGAATGGCATCGGAAATACAATTCTTTGTGCATTCCAGGATATTCGAATAGCATTCTAAAAGAATTCTAAAAATTCTGAGTGCATTCTAAATATTTTTGACCCATTCTTGTGGCCGGCTCGAATGTTTTTGTCATGCAAAAACTTTCGAAGTGCATTCCAAGAGGAAATTTATCGAATGGCATTTGAACAGTATTCTAGCTGCACTATGACTGCATTCTAAATATTCTCACGGTATTCCGACAGTATTCGAAACATTATGATCAGTTACCATTCCTGTGCCATTATTTATACACTCTGGGCATCCTGTTACATTCTAAACATGTTGGAAAGTAATTTTAATTAAGTATTTTAGGTATTTCAGCTGCATTATGTTTGAATTTAATTTATATTTCAAACCATCATTGGCAGCCATACCGGGAGCAGTTGACTGCATTTGAGTTCGCTTCATATATCATTCGATGCATCTTCTTACATACATGTACTTCTGTCTGTATTTGTCAAACCACACTCGTACGGCATTTGAATTTCACTTGGAATATTCTGACTGCAATTTGAAATTCCCTCCAGATTATGGCAGGAATTTTTCAATTTATTCATTCTGGCTGGTTCTAGCTACCTTGATTCCTGCTGGTTCCGAATAAGTGCGACGGGAGCCTTAAGTCGCGTACCAGTTCGAATATCCCTCGAATGTGATCAGAATGTTTTGAATGTTGTCGGAATGCCGTGAGAATATTAAGAATGCAGTCACATATATTGCTGTTTGAATATCCAGGAATGAACAAAGAACTGTCTTTCTTCAAACGGCATTCTTGTTCATTCTGCCTCTAGTGTGACGGGGGTATCACTGACTGCTGACAACATCTTCTCACACCAGTCTGATGAAGGCCAGTACATCCAGGTTGGCCATATAATAAGCTAACAGTATGAAAGTATTTTAGCTTGTGTTTGCCTGAAAATCATCATATATAAATAATGTGTAGTATAGATAGATAACATACATGTATTTTTCAGCTGTTTGCAGTGTCAGTTGTAAAAATGGTGGGACTTGTGTAGCACCCAACAGTTGCATCTGCCCTTCTACACACTATGGCTCATACTGTCAGAACAGTGAGTAGATCCTCTCTTGGAATGATTTTCTTTATTGCACTTTTATCAAAAAGGTTTTTCATTTTGAGAAGAGGGAAAACAGCTATTTCCCCAATTGTAGACCTTATATTGTATCGAATCCCATTACTTTAAAGCACTGACCTAGTGTAGTGCATATTTATGATTTCAGTTAATCTTCTGAATAATATTAATTTCACCTTAGTTGATTACTGGCCTTGTATTAACTAATAAATGCTAAATCTAGAGCATCAGAAAAGTCTAATTTTTACCATAGCCATACAAACATTTTTATTGGTTAAAGGTTAAGGTATTTTTTTAATTAACTGTTTCAAAAAGCTTTTGATACTTTAAGAACAGAGGTTCAAAGCAGACCATATCCTACAAATTGACAAGATTGTCTTTGAGGATGTAAAGCAAATAATGAAAAAACAAGGCAGTACCCTAAAAGCCTTTACCTCTGTTATATAGGCCAGTGTTCTTGGAAGTTCCCATGTTACCCAGGTATTTGCAGTTATGGTACTAACTGTAGGTGTACACCTGGATTTGGAGGAGCGCACTGTGGAAGTGGTTAGTCATTTGTATCTAAATTTGTAAAAGCATTTAGATATATTAATGCCACTTTAGAATAATTTTGATAGACCATGCAAAGAGCTTATAGAGCTATCAATATTTTGAAATATAAGAATAACTTCATTGATTTTTTAGGTGGTATTCTAAACAGATAATTTGTGGACCAACTGACTAAATATTAGTGACCCCACTTATAAGTAATGCCTCCTACTACCCTGGTGATGTCCCTGCCTCTATACACCCCAGACCTGCAGAGACCGAGCAATTAAACCTCAGAGCCGAGATGAAGTCCATATTTAATTGCTAGGCCCCTAGCTGCAGGTCTGGCAGGGTAGGCATGGAGATCATTAGGGGATTAGTGGCACTGCTTTCAGGTAGGGTCTGCCATATTTGATCCGCAGACCATCTGTTAAGAATTTTGCCTTAGACTCTTTAAATGATACTAGTTTATTACCTTTTATCGTACATGCATGTACAGTAAATAATTTTTGCCATTACCAAAAATATTAAAAGCTTATCAATTGTTACATGCATTAAATTCTACACACAATTTAAAAAGTAAAACTGCCAAAGCTTGGCCAAAATTTGGTCATATTTTTGGCACACAATAATAAATATTATTTTACACAAAGTAAACAGCTAATGTAACATTTTGACATGGGCATTTTTTTATTAGTTATCAGTGATTCCCAAAGCCCAACCATTACATCCTGTAAGGCAACCATGAGTGACCGGACAGGAAGTAGGGATCACTTGGTGGCAGTTGCCAGCTGCCCATCTAACACAACCATTTATGTGAAGAAACAAGATTGGAACCACATGCGAGTAGAGTGGACAAGTAGATATAGTTTGACCACAGCACCACCTCGTCCTTCTTACATTAGGGGTATACTGCTTGGAATTGTGGGAGGGAGTGTTCACCTGAGGTGGCATAGTCAAGGTATGTGGAACATGCTTGATTGTCCTGGCAATTTTAGAAATTCAAATATTGATATTTTAATTATACATGTGTGGAAGTGCCAATGTTGTATTTCGAAGGTAAAAAGCTTGTTTGAAATTCTTAGTTTGTAGTATTTTGTAGTTATTTTCAGGTTAGTGATGTTGCAGTGAGGAAAAATGCATTGTTTATGTATATGACTTATCATTATTTTATCAGACAAATTGACACTGTTTAACTCAACTGTTTGTTTGTTTGTTGTCAAATTTTTGCTTAATTATACTTGTAGGCCACAAATAAAAAGATTTTGGTTTCAAAATTTTTTGTAGATTAGCAATAAATCTTGGATATGAACCCCTTTTGATTTTCATTAGGGTCATGTTTACAGTTAATATGTAAAAACATTTGATATGTTACCATCTGCGAGAAATCGAGGGGAGTAGTAGGTGATTTTCTTTTTACTTTAAGCATTTTCATGAATATTTTTATGCTGTTATTGAAAATAACTTGCAATTACTTTATACTTTAAACATGTAAAAACAGCACCATGTCAATTTCACAATACATGTAGAACCCCATAGATGCAATATTGCTGTATTATACATATAGTTCACAAGTCCTTGCTCTGTTGAGCAATTTTATTTTGTTTTTCAATTTGCTAATCTGTCTCCTGTTTCTTTACAATATTTCCCAGCAGGCATAGTTGCGTTGGATCAACGTTGAAAACAGAGTGATATGTTGAATTGCCGTTGATCTACCTAAATTCAACGTAAAATCAACGTTGATCCAGCCACGTCGAAACACTGTCATAATGTGACGTTGACTCAATGTTGTATTTTGGTCATTGACACAACCTTGCAGACATGGATTATATTTTTAAATATTAATTGTTGAAAATGTGATACTTTGTTTATCAATACTGTAACTAACTTTATCAAAATAATCAAAAAAAGTGTTAAAAGTAAAAGTGACAGTTGTTTTGTGTCTTTAGTGAAGTAGTGAATTTTCTCAACTTGTTATTCAGAAATACATTCCAATAAACTGAATTCTTTGCAAGGTCAGCTAACACTAGGATGAATAAGTTGCTGTAAATGTGATGGAGTGAATTAATAAAGTTAACAGTTCTTGGTAACCTGATATACATAGACAGGCTGAGGTGACTGTGACTTTGTTACATATATATATATTTATATATATGAGAAAAGAAATATATATATATATATATATATATATATATATATATATATAAATCTAAACCTTGGAAATTTTAACTTAAGGATCATACTTTTATACCCTACCCTCAGGTCATTTCAATGTCTTTTCATGCAAGAATGTTGTCTAACAACTGGGGTTGATACAATGTTGTTATCTGAGGTTGAGTCAACTTTCAAATTCAATGTTTATCCAACGTCTAATCAACGTTATGGTTCAACGTTGGTTCAATGTTAAAACAACATATTTTACCTGCTGGGATTACTTTACAAGATTTTTTTTAACTTATTGTTTTAATAGGTGTTGTACAGAACTAATAGTATATTTAGGTTTTTATCATTATAGTAATCTTATTTAACTTTTTAATAACTTAATATCATAAAATGTCAGCTCCCTACTTTTTCCACTATTTAATCTCAAATTAAATGGTACAAACTAGCTGGCCAAGTATGTAATAAATGTGTCTGTGGATCATTCGATACAATGAGCTGCTGAAATGAAACCAGACTGGTGTACCACAGATTTATTTGACTTTTATGGGCCTTTGGTTTCCATGCCATGGTAAGCTATTTACAAAAAAAAAAAAAAAAATACCTTTTATTAGCTGTGACTCATGATCATGCAGTCTACTTGTGCATAGTTTCTAAAAAATGTTATCTTACATCAGATAGAAAAGGAGGTCTCATTTAATAAGAACTTTGTATTGAGCACCAGGGGGTTGATAAGAAAGCAAATATTGAGTCAAAACTTCCATGCACTCAAGGCCATACCATGTAGTACCATAAAGCAAAATTTTATTTAAACATGTATTGTACTTGTTTTTTTGTTTGTTTGTTTGTTTGTTTGTTTGTTTGTTTTTCTTTTTTTAGGATTGAAAGTATGTTAAGTGTATTTTTCTTGTAGACCCAATATATATTAATATAAATTTATATCTTGTATTTTTATTTTCATGCCCCTCTTAAAAGAAGGAGCTATATCGTTTTTAGCACGTCTGTCTGTCCCTTGGCCTGTCAAGACTGTTAACAGTCCTTGTCTGACCAATATAGAATATGATTTGCTTTAGGGTCAGCCTTTTTAGTAGGGAGGATTGTCATTTCACATAGCTATATGTGACCCCTATCAATTTTGAGGTCAGTACTTTAAGACCAAGGCCACAAAAACCTGATCAATAAATAGAGAACAATTTTACCTATGGTCGTAATTATTTAGAAGGGAGTTCCTTACATGTGTAGGTGACCGCTATCAGTTTTGTTTTAATGTCTGGAGGTCAAAGGTCAAGGTCACAGTTGTGTTCAACACAAAAAACTTCACTGGCCAATAGATGGAGAACGATTTGACTTACTTGGGGGCATCTGTGTTTAAGGGCCAGAGCTAGAAAATTAGAAAGACATTGTATTTTTCTCAAACATATTAATGATGGTAAAAAATAAATTGTACAAATCCAAGGGGCAGAGCTAGAAAATAATAAAGACATTGTATTTTTTTCTCAAACACATTAATGATGGTAAAAAATAAATCGTACAAATCTACAATTTTTTTAAAAATTTTTTATTTTTATTTATTTATTAATTATTATTATTTTTTTTTTTTTTGCAATTTGATATTACCTAGAATGAGTGACCATAAAATTTCACAATTGTTGCAGCCATATATATTCAACTGTGTTAATGTTTGTGCTTTTTTCACATTTAGTGAAAACTGATAGATCTATTCGGAAATATTTCAGATGGAAGATACCTTTTTTCTCAAACTCTTCCCTGTGTAAATGGTGATAGTGAAAGTAAGCCTAATCACGGCATCTCCAGTTGCAGTGTGGAATACAGTTTTCCCAGACATAGCATACAGCATGAAGACAGGTAATCTTTATTTACTTTGTGGTTATTTACTGATTTTTTGTCATTGGAGAATTTCCTGCCAACCTCTCCCAGCAGGCATAGTTGCATTGGATCAACGTTGAAAACAGGTTGATACATTGAATTGCTGTTGATCTACCTAAATTCAACGTAAAATCAATGTTGATCCAGCCACGTCGAAACACCGTCATAATGTGACATTGACTCAACGTTGTATTTTGGTTACTGACACAACCTTGCAGACATGGATTATATTTTAAAATATTAATTGTTGAAAACGTGATATTTTGTTTATCAATACTGTAACCAACTTTATCAAAATAATCAAAAAAAGTGTTAAAAGTAAAAGTGATAGTATTGTTTTGTGTCTTTAGTGAACTAGTGAATTTTCTTAACTTGTTATTCAGAAATACATTTCAGTAAACTGAATTCCTTGCAAGGTCAGCTAACACTAGGATGAATAAATGGCTGTAAATGTGATGGAGTGAATTAATAAAGTTAACAGTTCTTGGTAACCTGATATACATAGACAGGCTGAGGTGACTGTGACTTTGTTACATATATATATATTTATATATATGAGAAAAGAAATATATATATATATATATATATTTCCAAGGTTTAGATTAATATATATATATATATATATATATATATATATATATTAATCTAAACCTTGGAAATTTTAACTTAAAGGCCATACTTTTATACCCTACCCTCAGGTCATTTCAATGTCTTTTCATGCAAGAATGTTGTCTAACAACTGGGGTTGATACAATGTTGTTATCTGACGTTGATACAAGGTTGTTATCTGAGGTTGAGTAAACTTTCAAATCCAATGTTTATCCAACATCTTATCAACATTATGATTCAATGTTGTTTCAATGTTAAAACAACATATTTTGCCCGCTGGGTCTGGTATTTCAAAATGAAAGTTAGTTAAAGCAGTACTAGGGGCCTAATGAAGCACTGAGCAAAGTAAGGCAGAACATTTGATTGAACTCATAACCACAAAAAAAAAAAAAAATAATAATAATAATAATAATCTTAAAGTTAATGCCATAGAGATACTGAGTTGAAAAAATATTAATTCTAGCTGCGTACACTAGTCTGCTTTATCCATGACTGTATTACTAGCCATAATATATATTGCATCTTGCTCCTGGTCAATATATACATGAGTATAGTTGTGTATCTTTTCCCCTCCCCCTCTCTCTCTCTTTTTCTTTGTGTGTATATCTTAATTCTTTCAATGAATTTCATTCTGAATGATTTTAAGTTTGGCTAAATCCATCTTAGGTTAGAAGTCGGCATATCAAGCAAGAATGGAGGCTACAAGGCTGTGTTCAATACAGATACTAGTTCAGTTACAAACATTGCTATCACAGGACGAGACACAACCAAGAATTTAACATACATCTTTGACTTTGAAGAACCAAAGCATATTTGCCGTGACCTAGGAAAATGTGCTGATAATGACTCTGCCTTAATGATTTATGTGGCAAAAAATGGAACATGGGTAATTTTCATACAATTATCAAGAAGAAATGGAGGCAATTTATTATTTATCATTAATTATTAATTTATATGTAATTGGATAAGAAGATCAATATGATAATTCATGCACACCTTTTCGATGACATTTAAGATGAGTGAAAAATTTTACATATTATTTTTTTGTGCAAATTTTCAATAAGATAATGGTATCCAAGTCCAATTACCTATACAGTCAAAGGGATTACCTGAGTTTTTTGTTTCTCTGTGACAGCCTCAGTTAGAGATCCAGTGGGCTAACTGGGTAGATGTGACATCTGGTATTGAGAAGTACATCTACACCATCAACCGTGGCAGCTTACAAAGTGGTTCACCTGTGTATACAAATAAGGAATGGAGAAGTGGAAGTCCTTGGCCAATATACACTTTGGATACAGGAACTTATACTATTATTCTGAAAGCTGTGGACAGAGCTGGAAATGAGGCAACTGTAATTAAAGGTGAGCATTGTAAATTACAGCATAGGCAAAATATATTGTTCCAAAATAAAGTAAGGTTTGAGATTGAACTTCAGTTTTGGAATAAATTTGCCATTGACGGTTAACAATACCAACAACACATAAAGTGGAAAACTGGTCAACCAAAAAAAATAAAATAAACTTTTTTGCATCATTATTTTTGTCTGCAGTATATTTGACAGCATTAATTGCTGCCTTGTTCATCCTGTATTTTATTCACGTTTCAGAGATCAATGTTGATGATCAACTGCAAACTGTCAGTCCAAGTAAGTTGGTCATATCAGCTTTTAACAATTAACTGATGAATAATAACTTTGTATAATTGTTGTTTGTAAAGAAAAATGGAATCAATTTTTTTAAATAATCACTTTTTTATGATATTTAGATATGTGTCGCAGCCAGAACTGTTACCCTGGATTTTGTGCCCCAGACACTGGGAAATGTGTGTGCACAGCTGGATTCAGTGGAGACAACTGTAATACAAGTAAGATATTTAACAACATTCAATATTTAGTTTCATTTCCTGAAGTTTTAGACAGAAAAGTTTGGAGTGCCTATCTCTGTTTCCACTCTTTGACCGCCAAAACTCCGAACTTAGTATTGAATCTTTTAAACCACTTAATTTTTTCATCAATTTGTGTTTTGATATGTTTGAATTTTGTTATGGATAGACACCCCATGTCTGGCCATATACGTTAATATGCCAAACAATTTGACCAAGATTAATTAATTAATTTCATGGAAATGTCACTTTGGTCGAATTGATTAAAATATAGCAATGGAAACCACCATCTGCCTCTGTTTACTCTTCCAGCAGGTCATAAGTAGAAAAGATCATACAGGTTGATTTATTATTATTATTATTATTATTATTATTATTATTATTATTATTAATTCAGTTAGTGGAGCTATCCAAGATCCTACCATCAAGACAATACAGATTATGCTGAGTGCAAATGACAGCCTTCCCTTTATGTATGAGAATGCAGCAGAGAAATCAAACCTCATCAATCTGTACACCAATAAGCTTGACTTGGCAGATTTGAAGTTGACATGGGATGCTGCATACAGAATGATAGGGGACTTGCCATCAAGACCACCATCTGTATCCGACTTCAAGTTAGGACTTGTTTCCTGTAAGGCTGAAATAGAAATTGAGTCAGTTGGTAAGATTATTGCCTCAAAGCTATATAAATTGAAAAGAAAATTTAAAATAAATATAATTTAAAATAAATAAATAAATGAACATGAGACATGTGTGAACCCCAACTCTGAGTTTCACGGACATTATACCCATAGGGTATGCAGGACCATCATATATATATATATATATATTCTGGTATTCACTATTATTTCACATTTGCACTTTGAATGTAATTTTGTTTTCAAAATATATCTGAAAACTAAATATTTAAATTAAACCATGTTAACAGGAGGTGGTGCCAAAAAAGAGGCCACTCTAGACTGCCTTAAAGTTGACACCTCTTTGGAGTCCTTTGTACCCTGCAGCCAAACCCACAGACTGTCTGGTTCTAGAAAAAAACGGGACAAGTAAGAGAGTATATACAGTATTCATTTACATGTAATACATAAATTTGTTTTTGGTACCTCAACAGCACAGTTTATCTTAATTCCCTGTGCTTTTTCACAGTACTGTATTATTAGACTTTGGCATAATATGTAATAATTATGCTGACATGAATTTGAATTTTAATAATTATTTGCAGTGGATAGGAAAAAACCCTTAACTCCAAATTTTGACATTGCCAAAACTGCCCTTTTTATAATATCTTTGTGTAGTGGAATTTTTATACTAGTATATTGCTTCAAATGACAACTAACAAGACTTTGGACTACATACACAATTATTATACAAAGTACTAAAGTATGACTGACATCCACGACAAGCTACTCATCACTCTTCTTTTGACTTCCAAACACAAATATGACAAAAATTTATATTTACCAATTTTTCAGACTAAAAATTGTCCTCAAAGCTAGCAATGGTGGCCACAAAATTGTTTCTGGTCGAAATGTTAAATACCAAGGAAGAACAATTCAGCGCCAAATCAACATCCACTATGATACTGAGGCTCCGTATTATAACTGTGCTGCTGGCTCTGGGAAATGTGAAGATGAGGAATTGAAAGTAGCAGTTGGACAACAAAAGAGTATAAATGAGGTCAGGTTGACAGTAAATGTGGATTTTCCTGTCCTAAGTATGTCTTTTTTTTTTTTTTTTTTTTGCAGTTTTAATTTTGTTATATATAAGATTGTTATTATGTACACACTAAGTTTATGTATGACATTTAGAATGCAGTGTTTATGTTGTCGGTACAATGAAGCTATTGCTATTGATATTGGGGTGAAATTTTCAAATTACATTAAATGCCAGAGAAGATATTAGTGTGCACATTCCAGATAATTTTGATATATTTCTTGGTCTTATGGCAAAGAAGCACGAATATATAAAAGTGAGATCTTGGGGTCTAACTTATCAGAAAAGTTTAGTGAATGGAAACTGCTAAGGGGAAAGGACTTCCATAACACTTTGCATGGGCTTAAAATGGAGAGAGGCCTTTCGGTGGATTTCTTTCCTTTCTTTTCAGAAAAAAATACTTTTGACCTTATCATGGGGTGATAACTGGAAGGATGCATTGTCTGGCATTGCCAAGTTTCATTATTTCATATACACCTACCTAAGCACCAAAGAAATAGGATTGGAGGATGCTCCACTTGCAAATGGCTCTTGGACAGCTGGAGACAGGTTTCCAACATATGATGTGAAAAGTGATAAAGCTGCGTTTACTGTTGTGCTCCTAGTGCTGGATAAGGCTGGGAATAATATCACAGTGAGGCGAGGTAAATAGATCTAACATAGAGATTATATTATTGAAAATAAATAATTTTATGATAATAAATAAAATTGCAAAGCAATGACAGGAAAATTATAGAACAATTAATATCTTAAATCCTTATCTTCTAATTTTCAAATTTTAATTGATAAAATGACTAATAATTATAATATGTCTGATCTTTTAAGATATTGATTTGACCAGTCCAAGAGTGGCAGCTTTGCTTGGAAATGTGCCAAATGATAAAGAAGAGGATAAAAGTGGACTTCTAACATGTATGTCACTTATTTTATACCACCCTACATCCCAATATTTAGGCTTAAAGGGTAAACCTGTCTGTCGTTGTGTCTGTCTGGGGGCCAATATTGTTTTCATAATTAAATTAGTTTTTATTTGTTGGATTTTTTCATTTTCTTGCAATTTTGAATGTCCTTTTTTCCACGCATAAGAATTCAAAATATTCATATAGCATAACTGTTGTACTTTGCATATCAGAAAGTATTTTCAGGTTTTCTTAAATCATTACGATAATTCAAGTACAAATTTGGAGATAAACTGTTTTTACAACTAGGTTTTAATTTTTTTCTAGACTATGAGTACATGACAATAACTGTTTATCATTCAATTAATTTATTTCAAATTGTTTATTACTATTATTGTTTATCGTGTAGTGCCAATCTTATTCATAATACTGGTTGTTGCTGTGGTGGTGCTGGGAGTTGTGGCAGTAGTTCGTCGGAGGCATGGTCATCCATGGTTATGGAAAGATGAAAACTTGAAGTTCTGGCGACAAAAAAACAGGCGGGAAAATGCAAGTGCAAGTGTAAGTGTGCATTTTTGAATGAAATGCCTTGATACTAGAATCAATTAACCGAACTATAGTTTTGTACCCAAAAGAAAAACATTAATTAAAACTGCTATCAAAAATGAATATTGGTCATGTTTCTTAAATAATTTGAATCATTTGTTCAGCATGTTTTTAGAGCAAAAATGCTGGGAATTAGGATATGTAGTACCCTCTACCAGGGCCACAAATTGATTTTTCACTTGATATTCACAGATATGTCTCTGGTAAAATTGACAGTTGTTCTCTGTACTGCTACCGCTATTTGTTTTAAAACGTAGTCACAGCAAGGAGTTATAACTCCTTGGTCACAGTAACAGCCAGTTTTAATCAACAGTTAAATCAAATTAATTTTTGCACTCGGATACTTCAGTGTCCATCAGGTCGGAGGTTGGAGGTTACAATCACCAGCAAGTCACTTTGTTGGCTTAGTAGCCTATTACTGGAATACATTTAAGTAAAGTTGAGATTTTTTTTGTAAAGTTCCAATAAATACACATCATAAATGTTTAATTTTTTTGGATTGAAGCATAATAAAATTATTTTATTGCCCTTCAGCCCTTTCGTAATCCCAACTAATTTTTTTTTTAATTTTAGCTCATTGCTACATGTGGCCAGGTAGCACAAAATCTCTTTTATGATACATAAGCTTACTATGGGTGTTCACCTATATAATGCATAAACACAAACATATACACAGTCACAGGCCAAGTTCATTAAAATCAGCAACCAATATGAAAACGGCTGATAAATTTCATTTTTGACTGTATGGATCATGCTCTGCTACGAAAATAGCAACTTTGGCTACAAGCAATTTACTCTGTTGGCATCTGACAAAAAACTTAATGTGACTGTGGCTATTTTTCTTACAATTTCAGTATGGAATTGTGGGTTATGTGTACAGTGCACAGTTTTAGGGAACTCCTTCAAACCACATGTTTCAGCAGACAGACAAGACAGTTTGTGTAACAATCACATTTGCGTGAAGCCCAGCTCCCACTGAGCTCCTGCTGAGCAGATACAATGCCAGCTGCATGCCTGCAGATTTAAGGGCTTCCATCTGGCCAAAGGTTACAGGATTGCATCAGAGAAAATGTCAACATAATAAAAACTGTGAAGTGAAGTGAAGGCAGCAATTAAATTCTAACTTGCAGTTTTTGTACTTTACAGTATAATAACTATACTTACCATGAAGATGAAGACCAGGGCATTTACTATGAGAGTGAGGCATTCGGCAGAAGTGTGGAGATTTCCAGCAGTCATATTGTTCTGGGAGACATACTCTGCAATGGTCATTTTGCTATAATAAGACATGCTGAGTGGACTCCTGATAGACAGAATTCTATGGCAGTTATTGCAAAAGTGTTGAAAGGTAAAATGTTTCTTAAGTATTTTTAATCACAGAGTTACATAAAAGTGAGACAACACAACATATTTTAATTCTGAAAAAAAATTCTCTACATTTACTTTGAGTATCTGTCACAGAAGAGCACTTGTCTGATATGTATGGTAAGGAAAGTTTGTAAACATACGTATCACAACCTTGGTTTTCGTTCTATTATATATTACAGACATTGTACATGTATATGTCTGTATATATTCTGACCACTAATTCCATATTATACAGTGTAGGTATCTGTATATTTGTAAGTTCTGATGTCAAGTGCGAAATATATTCTTCAGTTTATCCAAAACTTTTCAGATGCCAACAGTAAGGCAGACAGGCAGTTGATGTTGGATAAGATAGAGTTTGTTGGAGATGTTCCTCGTCATGAGAATGTTCTGGCCATGCTTGGAAAGGTGACCAGTGACCTCCAGACAGGTGAGAGGAGTGACCATGCTATGTTACATAATTTTGTAATTTCATATATCCAAGGCAATTCTCATCTGTAACAAGTGTCACAATAGAAAGGTTATTTCGCACCAGAAGGGGAGTTCATTAAGATCCAGTTTGGTCCAGTTCAGCTGCTGCAGCAGCTAGTACAGATATTTTCAGTGTGGTTTGGCCTGTATTTGGCTAGATAGCGCAAGATAAAAAATTAGCTTCTAGGTGACAAAATACCATACTGCAGGGGTAATCAAAATTTGTTACAGGCCCATACATGGTCTTGGAGTATTGCAGAAATGGTTCACTGCGTGACTGGTTGCTGGCACAGAAGGCAAAGGGAGGTGAACTGAGCGTCGACACCGCTGATCGTATGACGGAGTATGCTGTACAAATAGCATCAGGGATGGAACATCTGAGTAACAATCTGGTAACTACTACAGTACATGTATTACACAGACAACCAAGACCAGTTCATACTAATTATACAAAAATGTTANGAAGTATTGTGGAAAAAAAAAAAAAAAAAAAAAAAAAAAAAAAAAAAATATATATATATATTCTGGTATTCACTGTTATTTCACATTTGCACTTTGTAATTTTGTTTTCAAAATATATCTGAAAACTAAATATCTAAATTCAACCATGTTAACAGGAGGTGGTGCCAAAAAAGAGGCCACTCTGGACTGTCTTAAAGCTGACACCTCTTTGGAGTCCTTTGTACCCTGCAGCCAAACCCACAGACTGTCTGGTTCTAGAAAAAAACGGGACAAGTAAGAGAGTATATACAGTATTCATTTACATGTAATATATAAATTTGTCATTGCCAAAACTGCCCTTTTTATAATATCTTTGTGTAGTGGAATTTTTATATATTGCTTCAAATGACAACTAACAAGATTTTGGACTACATACACAATTATCATACAAAGTACCAAAGTATGACTGACATCCACGGCAAGCTGCTCATCACTCTTTTGACTTCCAAACACAAATATGACAAAAATTTATATTTACCAATTTTTCAGACTAAAAATTGTCCTCAAAGCTAGCAATGGTGGCCACAAAATTGTTTCTGGTCGAAATGTTAAATACCAAGGAAGAACAGTTCAGCGCCAAATCAACATCCACTATGATACTGAAGCTCCGTATTATAACTGTGCTGCTGGCTCTGGGAAATGTGAAGATGAGGAATTGAAAGTAGCAGTTGGACAACAAAAGAGTATAAATGAGGTCAGGTTGACAGTAAATGTGGATTTCCCTGTCCTAAATATGTCTTTTTTTTTTTTTTTTTTGCAGTTTTAATTTTGTTATACTATAAGATTATTATTATGTACACACTAAGTTTATGTATGACATTAAGAATGCAGTGTTTCTGTTGTCGGTACAATGAAGCTGGTGATTGATATCGGGGTTAAATTTTCAAATTACATTAAATGCCAGAGAAGATATTAGTGGACACTTTCCAGATAATTTTGATATATCTCTTGGTCTTATGGCAAAGAAGCATGAATATATAAAAGTGAGATCTTGGGGTCTAACTTATCAGAAATGTTTAGTGAATGGAAATTGCTAAGGGGAAAGGACTTCTATAACACTTTGCATGGGCTTAAAATGGAGAGAGGCCTTTCGGTGGATGTCTTTCCTTTCTTTTCAGAAAAAAATACTTTTGACCTTATCATGGGGTGATAACTGGAAGGATGCATTGTCTGGCATTGCCAAGCTTCATTACTTCATATACACCTACCTAAGCACCAAAGAAATAGGATTGGAGGATGTTCCTCTTGCAAATGGCTCTTGGACAGCTGGAGACAGGTTTCCAACATATGATGTGAAAAGTGATAAAGCTGCGTTTACTGTTGTGCTCCTAGTGCTGGATAAGGCTGGGAATAATATCACAGTGAGGCGAGGTAAATAGATCTAACATTAAGATTATATTATTGAAAATAAATAATTTTATGATAATAAAAAAAATTGCACAGCAAGGACAGGCAAACTATAGAACAATTGAATACTGTAACAGCAAATATGATTAACTTATAGTCATTCATTTACTGAATACAGATGGCAAATCTTAATTGCCTGATGTAACTGATGTTTTAATTTAGAACCAACCACCCCCAGGGACACTCCAACCCCCACATGCACAGTAAATCCTAAGTGCTTTTGCATATCCTTGGAATTATTATATCAATACCAAAATTTTAAATCTAAAATCAATCCTTATCTTCTAATTTTCAAATTTTAATTGATAAAATGACTAATAAATATAATATGTCTGATCTTTTAAGATATTGATTTGACCAGTCCAAGAGTGGCAGCTTTGCTTGGAAATGTGCCAAATGATAAAGAAGAGGATAAAAGTGGACTTCTAACATGTATGTCACTTATTTTATACCACCCTACATCCCAATATTTAGGCTTAGAGAGTTAATCTGTCTGTCGTTGTGTCTGTCTGTGTGTCAATATTGTTTCATAATTAAATTGTTTTTATTTGTTGGATTTTTTCATATTCTTGCAATTTTAAATGTCATTTTATTCACACATATTAATTCAAAATATGCATGTTGCAAAACTGTTGTACTTAGCAAATCAGCCAGTATTGTCAGGTTTTCTTAAATCATTAAGATAATTCAAGTACAAATTTGGAGATAAACTGTTCCTACAACAGTTACTATGCTTTTAATTTCCTAGAGTATGGGTAAATGATAATAACTGTTTATCATTCAATTGATTTATTTCAAAAAATTTTATTACTATTATTGTTTATCGTGTAGTGCCAATCTTATTCATAATACTGGTTGTTGCTGTGGTGGTGCTGGGAGTTGTGGCAGTAGTTCGTCGGAGGCATGGTCATCCATGGTTATGGAAAGATGAAAACTTAAAATTCTGGCGACAAAAAAATAGGCGGGAAAATGCAAGTGCAAGTGTAAGTGATACTAGAATCAAATAACCAAACTATAGTTTTGTACCACAAAGAAAAACATTAATAAAAACTGCTATCAAAAGTGAATATTGGTCATTTTTCTTAAATAATTTGAATCATTTGTTCAGCATGTTTTTAGAGTAAAGATGCTGGGAATTAGGATATGTAGCATCCTCTACCAGGGCCATATATTGATTTGTCACTTGATATTCACAGATGTCTCTGGTAAAATTGACAGTTGTTCTCTGTACTGCTACAGCTATTTGTTTTACAACGTAGTCACAGTAACAGCCAGTTTTAATCGACAGTTAAATCAAATTAATTTTTGCAGTCAGATACTTCAGTGTCCATCAGGTCAGAGGTTCGAGGTTACAATCACCAGCAAGTCACTTTGTTGGCTTAATAGCCTATTACTGGTATACATTTTAGTAAAGTTGAGAATTTTTTGTAAAGTTCCAATAAACACATCATAAATGTTTAATTTTTCTTGAATTGAAAAATGATAAAATTATTTTATTGCCCTTCAGCCCTTTTGTAATCCCAACTGATTTTTTTTAAAATTTTAGCTCATTGCTACATGTTGCCAGGTAGCACAAAATCTCTTTTATGATACATAAGCTTACTATGGGTGTTCACCTATATAATGCATAAACACAAACATATACACAGTCACAGGCCAAGTTCGTTAAAATCAGCAACCAATATGAAAACGGCTGATAAATTTCATTTTTGACTGTATGGATCATGCTCTGCTAGGAAAATAGCAACTTTGGCTGCAAGCAATTTACTCTGTTGGCATCTGAAAAACCTAGTGTGACTGTGGCTATTTTTCTTACAATATTTCAGTATGGAATTGTGGGTTATGTGTACATTGCGCATGCAGTTTTAGGGAACTCCTTCAAACCACATGACTTGTTTCAGCAGACAGACAAGACAGGTTGTGTAACAATCACAGTTTAATCACATTTGCGTTGAAGCCCAGCTCCCACTGAGCTCTTGCAGAGCAGATACAATGCCAGCTGCATGCCTGCAGATATAATTGCTTCCATCTGGCCAAAAGTTACAGGATTCCATCAGAGAAAATGTCAACATAATAAAAACTGAGAAGTGAAAACGGCAATTAAATTCTAACTTGCAGTTTTTGTACTTTACAGTACAATAACTATACTTACCATGAAGATGAAGACCAGGGCATTTACTATGAGAGTGAGGCATATGGCAGAAGTGTGGAGATTTCCAGCAGCCATATTGTTCTGGGAGACACACTCTGCAATGGCCATTTTGCCATAATAAGATATGCTGAGTGGACTCCTGATAGACAGAATTCTATGGCAGTGATTGCAAAAGTGTTGAAAGGTAAAATGTTTCTTACGTATGTTTAGTCACAGAGTTACAGAAAAGTGAGACAACACAACATATTTTAATTCTTAAAAAAAATTCTCTACATTTACTTTGAGTATCTGTCACAGAAGAGCACTTGTCTGATATGTATGGTAAGGGAAGTTTGTAAACATATCACAACCTTGATTTTCGTTCTATTATATATACAGACATTGTACATGTATATGATCTGTATATATTCTGACCACTAATTCCATATTATAGGTATCTGTATATTTATTCTGATGTCTAGTGTGAAATACATTCTTCAGTTTATCCAAAACTTTTCAGATGCCAACAGTAAGGCAGACAGGCAGTTGATGTTGGATAAGATAGAGTTTGTTGGAGATGTTCCTCGTCATGAGAATGTTCTGGCCATGCTTGGAAAGGTGACTAGTGACCTTCAGACAGGTGAGAGGAGTGACCATGCACTCGCCATTGCATGTTGCATAATTTTCAAATTTCATATATCCAAGGCATTTCTCATCTGTAACAAAAGTCACAAAAGAAAGGTTATTTCGCACCAGATGGAGGCTTCATTAAGATCCAGTTTGGTCAATTTCTGCTGCTGTAGCAGCTAGTACAAATGTTTTCAGTATAGCTTGGCCTGTACTTGGCTAGATGGTGCAAGATAAAAAATGAGCTTCTGAGTAACAAAATACCATCTTGCAGGGGTAATCAAAATTTGTTACAGGCCCATACATGATCCTGGAGTACTGCAGAAATGGTTCTCTACGTGACTGGTTGCTGGCACAGAAGGCAAAGGGAGGTGAACTGAGCGCTGACACTGCTGATCGTATGACGGAGTATGCTGTACAAATAGCATCAGGGATGGAACATCTGAGTAACAATCTGGTAACTACTACAGTACATGTATTACACAGACAACCAAGACCAGTTCATACTAATACAAAAATGTCATCATACATTCAATTTTTAGACAGAAAGTTGAAAACTTTTAGAAGTNGACACCGCTGATCGTATGACGGAGTATGCTGTACAAATAGCATCAGGGATGGAACATCTGAGTAACAATCTGGTAACTACTACAGTACATGTATTACACAGACAACCAAGACCAGTTCATACTAATTATACAAAAATGTTATCATACATTCAATTTTTAGACAGAAAGTTGAAAACTTTTAGAAGTTGAGGAAGTTGATAATTACTGTGATTTGAAATATGCATGATTGTAGATTTAATTTTTGTAAAACCAGTTACATGTACACTGACTCAAGGGACTTACCCAATTTCAGTGAATTTTATACCAAAACCAATAATGCCCTTCTCTACTACATAGCTGTTAAATGTACTAGCATGTTCTTTTTCAAACCTGAAATACCCAATTAAATCACAAGGTGCTAAATATTAAATTTTAGCACTTTGGTACTTTTTCTCTTTCAAGATTGTCCACAAGAGGCTGATGTCCAAGAATGTCCTACTCAATGGTAGAATGGTTGCGAAGGTGATGGGATTTGGTCCCGAGGGAAAAGATGCAGCCAAAAATAAGGTATTTTGCTTGGTAAAAAAAGTGTGTAGTTACAAGAAAGTATAAAATATAAAAAAATGGCTTGATATTTTTCTTACAAAGAGGCAGCCAAAAGTAAGGTATTTTGTTTTTTAACTAAAGGGTGCGATAATTAAAAATGGAGCCAAATAATGATGTGTGTGTTGTGTGTAATTGATATTTTTCATAGAAACATTTTTACAGTCTGTGAGATAAAATTTAGAAAAAAATTATCAAGATAATACATGACACATTGTCTTTCTATACCTTCAGAGCCGTTTACCCACCAAATGGATGGCCTTGGAAATTCTGCAGGATCCACAGCTGAAATATACCACTGCGTCTGATGTCTGGGCCTTTGGTATCACTTTATGGGAGATATACAGCCTGGGTGATTCTACTGCAAAAATGATTTGTTTTTAAAGATATAAGTTTTGTGGTTCATTGACCAGCTGTTCATGCACCAAGCAAAAAAGGCTTAGCTTTTTGATATATTCAATAGTGATTACTAAGTCAACTTCATGCAGCCCGTTTACATCAAAACAGACTGTCAAACGCAATGTCACATCTAACACATAACAATAACCAGATTGTGTTTGATATTTAAGGTGACATCCCCTATCCTACTGGACACAAGGACAAACTGATAACCGTGCTGGAGAGTGGAACCCGCCCTGACAAGCCTGTAGAGTGCCCAGATGACATGTAAGTGTGTTTGACCAGTTGAGCATCTAGCTGTGCAAATTGTGTTAGTTGTGAATGTGATTTTGATAAGTGTGAATGCATGTTATACATTTTATAAGCTGGCAGATTAAGGGAATGACAATATTGCTGTAAGTCTACAGATAAAAACCTCTGCTTTTCATCAAATTATACATTGCAGCTACAACCAAGTGATGCTGAAATGCATGTACCATGATCCAAGCAAGCGTCCATCATTCCACCAGATCAAGAACCAGTTGAATGATTTCTTCCACCCTCCCCCAGATGATAGTGGCATGTACTATGGTTTATAAGAGTAGCTGTGAACATGTGTCTTGCACCTGGACATGTTCTTTTCGTTGGAGATGGAATTAAGAACAGATCAGTACTCTTTGGAGATTGAAATAAGGACTGATTACTGGACACTGATAAAACGATTTTATTTGCAGTCTTTAGAAGACTCAAAGTAGCTGCCTTTACTGCTTAAAATGTATTTACATACAATATATACATATCCTCACCTTTTTATGCAGAAAATGTACTTGTATTACCCCCCCCCCCTACATGCTCTTGAACAGTGATAATAGTAATCAGTAATTCAAAGTAACTTAAGTCAAAGTACATGTAGTAGTTTTCTTCCTGACTTCATTCTTTTTTACAGAAATGTTGTAATGTAGAGGTATGCCTCTTAAGTCATATTGCATATACCCATAACTTGCATGTTGTATGGAAACTATACATATTCTGGATGGAAAATGAACAATAACTGCCATTGCAATTAGGCGCTTATGTGTTTTGTTCCTATACACCACTTCGTTTGGTTGATTGTTAATTACTATTACTGGATATTAGAAATGCAGCAGTAAAATATGTAACATTTTAAATGAAGAATGTGATATGGAGCCCATGATATATAATGAAAACAAATTTGAAATGTGTGTCAGTGTGTGTTGGAGGCAAAACAGGTGTTATATCAAGTTATAACCTGACAGAAAGTATATATATATATATATATATATATATATATATATATATATATATATATTAGGCTTTAAAGCTTTGGTAGACACAATTTTGATAAGTTGATGGTAGCATCTTGTATCAAATGTTTTGATTATTCAAATACATAATAATCTAGAACTTATTTAATCACATTTTTGATGAACGCATTACAGTAATTATAGTTCAAAGATAAAATTTGAAATTATTACAATTAAATTGACCATTTACCTGTTTGCAGTAAAGTGCTTCAGCAATTTGTTTGTTTGTTTTATTTTTATGAAGAGCATTTTGTGGCTGCTTTACCGGTAAACTTCAATTGCTTTAGGTTAGTTTATCATGCTTTTGGTACTTCACTACCACAACTACTTCGTGCTTCTCAGCCAGTGACAGAAATTGCATTTTAATGAATGTGGGTGAAATTTTATTTCCACAAGCCATGTGAATGGAGTTACAAAGTTTGAGCAAGTCTAGATTATAAACAGTGGATCAATTCTTCATGTGATACTGATGTTTAGACTTTAACTGTAGCCTACATACTGTATGTCTAAAATTAAGATATTTACTGTTTAACTTTATTGTCAAGACCTGCTCCATTTCGTCAAACTCTATTTGCACAATTTTTGAAAATAACATTTTGGTGGAGTATATTTACTGAACAATTCACCAGCAGCACACCTAAGGGGTGTGTATCTCAGTATTCAAAGATACATAGCCAGGTGAAATTTCATGTGCCTGCATGGAGCTTTTTTGCGTTATAAATGTATTTTGTTGAAATAAAATTTCGTGAAAAACATATATTTTAAATAACAGATTAGAGAAAGTTATTTATTTCTTTATTTTTCTCATCTTACGATTATTAGACCACACCTTTTTTTTTAATTTTATGGATGACTTCCTTTGTAGACCCCAAAATCGGCGCGAGAGGGCGAAAAAAAAGCAAAAAATCTGCTGAAGTAAGGCCACACTTTTTTATTTTTATGGATGACATCCTGCTCGCGCACAGATTTTCGCCCGTTCTACAAAAAAAAAAAAAAAAAAAAAAAAGGAAATAGAAAATATCTTAATCTTTGTGGAGTGTTTGTTGCACCATTCTTCAGTCACGAGGCATTTAGGTGAATGATTTAAATCATGCGAAAATGTTACTAAAATGGCTGCTAAGGACAGCACTATCATGTCGTCTTACATTCGTACATCGCAATGATAAATAGTTAAGATTGACAAGTACTTCATTTGTTTGAAAAATATTCCCAGTACCCATGTGGTTTTCTAACACTCACCATTTNTTTTTTTTTTTTTTGACTGTTTTTTTTTTTTTCGCCCTCTCGCACCGATTTTGGGGTACCCAGAGGATGTCATCCAAAAAATAAAAAAGCGTGGCCTAAAGGAATGCTGTCAGTACACAACTGGAAACAAATTTACCACAGAAACACGTATCAAACTAACAATATATCTTCATCCATGCTCTCAGAATATTAAAGCGTTAGGCCACACTTCACAGAAATGTTAAAAAAAATATTAATACTACCAAATCTATCAAGGTTATTATTTCAGTCGATGCCATTTTGTCTACTTCGACTCACGCGGATCAGCCAAACTGTCGGGTGGCTTACTGAAATTTTCCGGGCGATAGTCGCTGGCCGCCGCCAGCCTTTCGTATAATTGTAAAACGGTGCTATCTCCATGCCCAAGATCAATGGCATACCAATCCAAAACAACGGCCCCCTTTCTCTTTGACTTTAATTGTTGTGTAATTTGAAAGTAATCCTAGAGATGAATTTGACGGCAAAGCGGCCATATTTCCACGTGGCGATAATCACCCAAACCCAATATATGTCACAGCCATGCTCTTAAAAAGATTTAGTGCACAGATTGCAAACTATGTCTGATTATTTTAGGTTCATACGTGAAGAAGTTTACATCAAAGTTTCACTCTCCTGGAACCATGATAAATAAATAATAATTCAACTTCTATCCCCAAAAAGGAACATACGTTACTGTTACAAAACGAAACGTTTCACTCACTTCAAAAATTCAGTCATCACTGGATTTTGTTCTTTGATTTATCCCTAACAAGTATAACCTAAAAAATTATAATAATTTTCTGTATAGAGCAATTTTAATTGCTTTTGAGCTACTTTAGTTTGCTTGTCACTGAATATTAAAACGACGGGGGAAAACACCCAACCGACAGTAAAATAAGCATTAAATAAATTATTTTTGTCCTCGTGCTCCAAATATTATATAAGAAATGTCAAACCAAGGAGTTATAACTGTTATGACTCCTTGGTCAAACTATCATACTGTAGAATCACATTATATTTTTCGGTCAGCAAAAGAAAACATTTTTTCTGCACACCAAGTACTTAAACAAAATGAAACATTGTAACAATTTCTCTAGGGAACGTACGTTATTCTATTTTACACTAATTTACCATGACTGAACCACTACAAAATATACCGGAACGTGGTGTAAAAATTAAAATCAATTGACCCGGAACATACCGGGTACGTTACCGTACTTTTTTTAACGTACGTTACTCTTAGCGTAGCTAATGTAAAAGACATATATAAAAATTTAAATTTGAATTTAAATTGACACAGTCGTGGATTTTTGTTCTATACAAATATATGTTTTAAAAATTGAATACAACTTTGAATTCATTCAATTTTATTTTTTGACACTTCAACATGTGAAATGCTCTCTATATTGGGTTTAGATGTAATACGCATGCGCAGAAAGCGTATTTTCCGGCAAATTCAATATTGACATTCGCGACAACCGACTTGTTTTTTTTTTTTTTTTTTTTCGGAAAATGGAGGAAAATCGGTGCGCGCGCAGAATGTCATCCATAAAAACAAAAAAGTGTGGCCTTATTGGAACTAAAATATTTCCTGCTTGATGTTGATTGGTCTGCATGTGTTTACCTAAAATTTGGGAGTAGCTTAAAATGGAGAGTATGTAAGGGGTCTCCCGTGATCCAGAAAATTGTATCCAAGTATATATGATGGCTTATCACACTCTCATGTTCTGTTCCTTGCAAGTAATTGTAACAGTTAATATTTTTGCCAATTTTGCTTCAACATCTTTGGTTTACAGGTGAGTCATTCTGGTCGACGTACCTCTGCACAAAATATAAATTATAATTGCTTTTCTTAAGTTTTATTTTTATGTTAATTGGCCTTTGCTGCATGTTTCAGTTTTCACTTCAAAATGAACAGGTTCTCTGAGGATATGTCCTGAACCTCAGGTAAAAATTTCAAATGTTTTTTTTTCTTCATATCTGAGGTTTTGAAAGAGTGATATCAATCTAATATGAGTTTTGACTATCGAGGTGTTACGTATACTGATATAGATACCATTATCCCTAGTGGTCATGTCTGCTACTACTCTGCAACAGCTGAAAGATATGTCACCTATTATAAAACGTATAAGTGCGGACTTTTTGGATGGTCAAGGTTGGTGAATTTCCTTAAGTTCAGTCATCAAAGTCATCATAAATACTTGTAAATGCAGTTCATTGTTTTAGAATTTAAAAGACTTGTTTATTTACAATTAAAATTAAGGGACCATTCCCACATATATTTGGATCAATCTATCTCCCTGGGGAGTCTCACTAAATTGCTGTCAACTTGACCAGTTTAAATGCCTGTCACGCCTAGTAAAGCTGTTATAGGGGTAATTATCTTTACCCCCTAGCTAATTTGGTAGGTGTGACAGACATTTAAGACAGTTTGTTGACAGCAATTAAGTGAGACTCCCCAGGGAGTTAGGTCGATCCAGATGGATAGATCAAGGCATGGGAACCCAGTCTATGTCGTTTTACTGCATGCTTGTTGTTGATTCCCATATATCTTAATTTTTATTGCTTTCTTCCAGATGAAAATCACAATCATTGTCATGCATTTACCGGATATAATATGTATTTTTTTTTACTTTAAATTCTGTTGGATAGGTGTAAAAGTAGTGGGTCCCATAGTGTCCCGTACACGTATCGCCGGAGCCGTTGCTGTCGGGGTTGGACAAGTAGAAATGCAGCCTGTGTGGTCCGTAAGTATATGTCTTGATAATATTGTACATCATTCAAATGTTCTTTTTTTTTTACAAGGTATACCTAGTCGCAATTTCAACTCTAAGATAAGAGGAGTTGGATATACTATTATAGTCTATATTGTATGTAAACCATTTGAGTTTTCAGGCAAAATAAAAAGCAGTATAAATAGGTGTCTGATATCAACAACTCTTCTTATAAATGATAAATAATTTTAAGAAAGATGTTTGAAAAAGTCTTTATCCTTTTAAACATAAAACAAACTTGATTGCAGCAAGTGCAGGCAGAAAACAAAAGTACTTGAGTTTCAAATTTACACTAGCAATAATGTTCTTTAAATTGTTATTCAGCTACTATGAAATGTTATTTTGTTATTTACTTTTCAGCTATTTGCAGTCCCAGTTGTCGAAATGGTGGAACATGCATAAGACCAAACGTGTGTATTTGCCCAGTTACACATTATGGTTCTTACTGTCAGTTAAGTATGTGTACTTAATTCACATTGATTAATATAGATTTTTGTGACTATTCTCTGGAGGGAATCCAGATGAAATTTGTGTAAAAAAAGACAGATTGCTAATTTAGTTGTTTCTTGAGTTCTGGAGTTCTGAATTCAATTACTTTAAGATAATTTTTTTCCAAAAAACTAATCATTTGATATGGTTATTCAAATAATTACTTGTCAACTGCTTTCATGATAAAAACTATATCTCATATATGCAGGTCAATGCTCCTGGAAGTTCCCATGTTACCCTGGTACTTGCAGTTCTGGTACAAACTGTAGGTGTACACCTGGATTTGGAGGAGCACACTGTGGAAGTAGTAAGTTTTATCCAGTATGTTGCTGCTTTTTTAAACCCATAATCTGTAATCTGAAGCCAGTGATGAAAATTTTTAAAGAAAGTTCTTGGCAAACATAATCCTAAAAATAATGAGTGATCCACCCATTCCAGAATTTTTTGACACTCTTTTTGACACATAAAACATCCTATCAGTAATCACAAAATTTAGATGTATTGGTATATTGGTTGCAATGCTAATAATCTATCACATTTTGAATCACGAGATTGGGGTATTTTAAAAAGAAAAGAATAAATAATTTTAATTGTATATTTTCCAGTCATTGGTGGTTAGTGTTTTGACTGGAAAATAAGAATTTTTTACAAATGATTCACACTATTTGCAATTGCATTTCATTTGTATATTTGTGTTATTAGTTATCAGTGATTCACAGAGCCCAAACATTACATCCTGTAAGGCAACTTTGAATGACCGGACAGGAAGTCGAGATCATTTAGAGGCAGTGGCCAGCTGGCCATATAACACAACAGTTTATGTGAAGAGACAGGATTGGAACCACTTGAAAGTAGAGTGGACAAGTAGATACAATTTGACTACTGCACCACCTCGCCCTTCATACATTAGGAGTATACTGCTTGGAATTGTGAGCGGAAATGCTCACCTGAGGTGGCATAGTCAAGGTAAGCAGATTGTGAATATCACAAAAGCAAGTTTTTTTTTTTCTATGACATGGTTATCATAGATTCAAAAGAATACATTTAATTGATTTTTAAAACTTAAAGAGCGTTTCTTATGGCCTTTATATCTGATAAGAAAATAGTGTGATTGGACCTACGCCACAATTTTTTATTCTAAAGTAACACCCCCGTTGGCCATTATATATCTTGATGCCTGTCTCACATCTAGGGATGGGACATTTTTTCACTAGCCAATTTCTCTGAAAATAGCCTTATGTTAGTGTTGAGTCTAAATATGCTTCTGTTTGCATTCAATTTTTTTTTAATACAAGCCCCACCAATATATTATATTATAATTAATTATTTCCTGGCATTACCTTCAGCTTTAAGTCAATTTCAATAAAATTATAATTATACAAATATAAAGTATGTTTTGTGAAATTAGCTCCCACCATTAGAGCCTAACTTCAAAAAAGCCTCTTGGTGCAGTAATGTGTTGGCTAGGATCTCTTGATTTAGACCAAAAAATTGACTGCTGGATTGACATACACAAGAATCTCATGGGGCTCTAATATGATTTGCCAAATGGTTAAGTCTATTTTTCAGATGAGAGGTACCTTTCTTCTGAGACTCTTCCTTGTGGAAATGGTGATAACGAAAGTAATCCTAACCAAGGCATCTCCAGTTGCAGAGTGGAATACAGTTTTCCCAGACATACCATAAAACATGAAGACAGGTGATCCTTACAGGTTTTAATGTCATAAAATTTTTGTTTGCTGATTTTTAGTCCGAAAAACTTGTTTGCCTAGTGAATACTTAGTGATAGCGTTCAGAAATTTAAATATTTAAAATTTAAATTTATAACACAGCAAAAGAAGCATTAAGGTTTTTATTAAGGTAAGGGTCAGTTGTATAAATTTAATTTTTTTTAGATAAGGTTTTTATTAAGGTAAGGGTGAGTTGTATAAATTTACATAGATGAAGAAAAATATAAAATTGAGGTATAAAATTGCTATTAAGACATGGGAAAGTGTACGACACTTAAAATGGGCCTCATAAGTCTTAATTGCATGTGATTGTATTTCCTTGTGAAGTAGAGTTTGTTAGAGAAGTTTGTTGTGACATTGTGACTTGACTATATGCATGTTCTTGATTAACTCAGGTGGTGGGTTTATTATTCAGGCCATGTTCTTTGCACCATTTTTTATTTCTCATGTCACTTCCCAATTTCCAAATGATAAGAATTTTTTTTTATTTTCCTAGGTTGGAAGTGGGTATATCAAGCAGGAATGGAGGCTACAAGGTAGTATTAAATACAGATGCTAATTTAGTAAAAAACCATGCAATCAAAGGACGAGATGCAACAAGAAATTTCACCTACATTTTCGACTTTGAGGAACCAAAGCATATTTGTCGTGACCTGGATAAATGTGCAGAAAAAGACTCTGCCTTAATAACTTATGTGGCAAAAAATGGAACCCAGGTAATATAATTTATCATATTTACTATTAATATTTTGGATTTTTAGAACGATGTGATGAAATAAGGCAATTCATGCATACCTTTTTTCTTGACATTCACCTTTTTTAGATGCATGCCATTAAACTTTAGTGAAACACCTGTTTGTTTGTGGTTGAAAATTTCAATATGAGTATGATGTGCAAGTCGAATTACAAATAAGATCGAAGGGATAACCAGTCAGTGTTTCTCTATGACAGCCTCAGCTGGAGATCCAGTGGGCTAACTGGATAGATGTGACATCTGGTATTGAGAAGTACGTCTACACCATTCTCCGTGGTACCATACAAAGTGGTTCACCTGTACACACTGGGGAATGGAGAAGTGGCAATCCATGGCCAATATACATTGTGAATACAGGAACTTATGCGGTTCTTCTAAAAGTTGTGGACAAAGCTGGAAATCAAGCAACTGTGTCTAAAGGTGATTAAAGTACATCCTAGTTGCGATATATGCAAAAGTAATACAGTAGAACTGAAAATAATATAATGCAGAACTATTTCCATATACAGATAGCAGCAATGTATCATTTTAAAAATGTCAATGATTTTAAAGGTATAATAATTTTAACAATGTATAATATTTTAGAGATCAATGTTGAGGAGCACCTCCCTACTGTCAGTCCAAGTAAGTTGATCAAATCAGCATTGCTCAAGGATATAGAACCTGTATGTGTAACAATTATTTTAAAAAAGCTATTTCATGCTTGGAATCTTAATTAACTGTTATCCTTTTGGGTGAAGTTCTGCCAGGATAGCATTGTTGGAATGTTGCCAAGTTGTTTGTTCCAAATAAAATGTGACATTAGAGTTTGAATATACATATTTCCCTTTTTTTATTTTCTTATAATATTTAGATTTTTGCCCCAGTCAAAACTGCTACCCAGGATTCTGTGTCCCTGACACTGGAAATTGTATCTGCACAGCTGGATTTAGTGGAGACAACTGTAATACAAGTAAGATTTTTCTTTATTTTTAGACAGAGAAAATTTCCAGTGCCCATTTATTTACATCTTTTGGCTTGCATACCCCAAAGCTATATGAAATCTTTTTTAAGCCATTTTCTAAGCTTATGTCAATTTCATATATCAATTTTTATACGAATATATATAAATATATGTAATTTTTCACGTTTTGAAAATCCTAAAATAAATTCATTTTTCCTAAGAATACTGATGCTTTGTGTCTCTATCTGAATGCCCTTTTCAGTCAACTTAAATTCTGAACATCAATGTACCAGTAATTCCACTGTGTAATTTCTTTTAGTCAGTGGAGATATCCAGGATCCTACCATCAAGATGATAAAGATTATGCTGACTGCAGATGACAGCCTTCCCTTTGTGTATGAGAATGCAGCAGTAGAATCAAACATCATCAACATGTTCACCAATAGGCTTGATTTGGCATATTTGAAGTTGTCATGGGAGGCAGAATACAGAATGATGGGGGATTTGCCATCAAGACCACCATCTGTGTCAGACTTCCAGATAGGACTTGTTTCATCTAAGGCTGAACTAGAAATTGAGTCAGCTGGTAGGTTTTTCAGCTCAAAGTTAAAATGAAAGCTTTCATAAAACCTTAAGTTTTTTATATTCTTAAATGATAACAATTTTTTGAGCCCAATATTGTTTTTACATTTATATTTTCACTACTTAACAAGAAAGCATAGAATACAATATTATTAATAAAAGGAATGCTCCATATAAATTGATGTTGATTAATTATGATATAGTAGAATGACTGGTGTATTTTGACAATGGCAGCAAAAATAAATGTACAGTATGATTTTAAAAATTGTGTTTTGTAAAAATTTAAACATATTTGACTAGCAATTTGAATCATAGTTTTCACAATTCAAAATATAAAAGAAGATATTATTTTTTAAATTTATAAAATGATGATACCAGGTGGCAGCACAAAGAAAGAGGCGACTCTGGACTGTCTTAAAGCTGACACCTCTTTGGAGTCCTTTGTACCCTGCAGCCAAACCCACAGACTGTCTGGTTCTAGAAAAGACCACGACAGGTAAGGCATATTCATTGATATGGATTTTTTTCAATTACTCACGAAAATTCTTTAAAAGTGCTATTGTACAGCATTATTGGATTTAAGTGATGTTTAAAACATGAATTGAAGATAGGAGAACTATATTTGCTTTCTAGACACTAATCCCCCCCCCCCAAAAAAAAAAAAATAATAATAAAAAAGGTTTATCAATTTTACAGACTAAAAATTGTCCTGAAAGCTGAAAATGGTGGCCACAAGATTGTTTCTGGGCAAAACATTAAATACCAAGGAAAAACAGTTCAGCGCCAAATCAACATCCACTATGATACCGAGGCTCCATATTATAACTGTGCTGCTGGCTCTGGGAAATGTGAAGATGAAGAATTGAAAGTAGCAATTGGACAACAAATTAGTGTTAATAAGGTCAGTTGCAGTTGAAAGGATGGTATATGTTTGGGGATTGACCTTGCCCTCACTGTTTCTATCCCCCCCCTTTTTTTTGCCCTCAAGTATTTTGATTGATGAAATATTTATGGCTTGCCTATGTCATCAAAAGAGAATATCAACTTCACTGGTTTCAAAAAGAAATCCATTTTTGATATCACACATGATCGAAGGCTTGTAGTGAGGAAAAAAAGGTGCAGAATCTTGGACAGAAAAAAGAAATGATGATTAAATGTTTGAGTAAGGTGAAGTTGACAAATAAATAAAAATGGGAAAAAATATAATGAAAAATTTCTCATTTTCGTTAGCCAATTCAAATTAATATATAAGTATTTGTCAAAAATCGTAAATACTGGCAAAACTTTGATTCTTTTCATGCATTTCATTTTTTTCTCATTTTCAGAAAGAAATACTTTTGACCTTATCATGGGGTGATAACTGGAAGGATGCATTGTCTGGTATTGCAAATTTCCACTACTTCATATACAGCTACCTCGGTACCAAGAAGATAGGATTGGAGGACGCTCCTCTTGCAAATGGCTCTTGGACAGCTGGAGACAGGTTTCCAACATATGATGTGAAAAGTGATAAAGCTGCATTTACAGTTGTGCTCCAAGTGCTGGATAAGGCTGGGAATAATATTAGAGTGAGACGCGGTAAATAGAACTGACATAAACATTGTGTGATAATCAAACTGCATATTTTGATTCATCCAGTTGTAGTTTCACAAATAACAAGTGGAAAAATATGGTATGAGCACCTGCCAACATTTCATCTAGCTGTATTTCATAGATTTCCTTCTGTAATTGAAGTTATTGTCGCTGTGGTCATGTGACAGGCATAATGATGATAATGTTTGTTGGTACAAACAAATTGGTTACAAAAGGTAGGAATTAATATTTGACAGCATAATATTTTATGTTGAATTTTTTTTCAATTTATCAGATATAATGAGTATACAATCAGTGTACTTTTTCATCTTTTAAGATATTGATTTGACCAGTCCAAGAGTGGCAGCTTTGCTTGGAAATGCACCAAGTGATGGTGGAGGGGATCAAAGTGGACTTCTAACAGGTATGTCACTTTTTTTCTGTAGTACAATATTCAAGGGCAGATCCAGACACATTTTATAACAATCTTCCAAATTACCTTTTTTTATTCTTCCTCCACTTTTGAAAGTCTTCCTTCATGAAAACAGATGCTGGTCAATGTGAATTTGAAAAATTCTGACCATCTTCTGGAAGGCCCTGACGACAGCTTCCATCCACCCTTGGTATTAATAGACCCAGCCATGCTATCTGCATATCTTTTTGCCTGTGTGTTTACATTGTTTCATGATTTGTTTCTTATTTGTTACATGTACATTTTTACATTTCTTATCTTTTTATGTTTTTATTTAATAGGTATATTTTAATCCTGACTTATGTTTTAGTGCCAATCTTCTTCTTCATCCTGGTTGTTGCTGTGGTTGCGTTGGGAGCCGTGGCAGTCGTGCGACGGAGACATGGTTATCCTTGGTTGTGGAAAGACGAAAAGTTAAAATTTTGGCAACCAAAAAAAAGGCATGAATATGCAACTGCAGTTGTAAGTGTACATTGCATCCAGTTTATTTTGTTGTGTTGCTTTTCTCTCCGGGCATGACCCAAGTCAAGTCATTGACCGAACCTTAAAATCTTCAGTAGACGGATTAGAGCCCTCAGACTAAATTATACCCCGCAGTATCTGTAAGAAGATTTGGCGCAACAGCTCGCACATGATTCCGTTTTGAGATTTTTGTTATTGCCAGAGAGAAAAGCAACACAACACCACAGCTTAGTTTTAGAATCTAAAACTCTGTTTTTTTCTAGCTGCTACCTGGTTTTATACCTCAAATATTTGCGTGTCAAACCACTTGGCCGCAAATTATTGTAACTTTAGATAAAGGGAAATAAAGTGAGAAAAAATTGAAGTGGAATGGGATTAATTAAAGTAATAGGGACAATTGCATTACTAATATGAGCCGCGTGCATTGATATTTCCTTCTGCCATTACATAACTTCAGTGGTGAATTAATTCCAGTGAAATTCTTATTTGTTTCAAACACTTTTATACATTATAGTACCATAATGACACATATGATGAAGATGAAGACCAGGGCATTTACTATGAGAGTGAGGCATACGGCAGAAGTGTGGAAATTTCCAGCAGCCATATTGTTCTGGGAGACACTCTCTGCTATGGACATTTTGCCATAATTAGACATGCTGAGTGGACTCCTGATAGACAGAATTCTATGGCAGTTATTGCAAAAATGTTGAAAGGTAAATTTTATATTTAGACTACTGACTTTGTGATTATGTATTATACAATATTAGAAAGCTGTCATTCTCAGTTGGACAGTTTACTTTGTGTGTTTGTAACAAATCATTATATTTATTGTAAGACAATTAGATTTCAATGTACAAAAGTCATCTAGAATATTATGATGATTATATGTGATGTGAAGGCCAAGCAGTTTCCTAAACCTTGGATGTAATTTTATTTGAAATATGCTTTTCTGTTAATCCCAAACTTTTCAGATGCCAAGAGCATAACAGACAGGCAGTTGATGTTGGATAAGATCAAGTTTGTTGGAGATGTTCCTCGTCATGAGAATGTTCTGGCCATGCTCGGAAAGGTGACCGATGACTTCCAGACAGGTAATCATAAGAGTGACCAATGCTTTGTCCAGTCTTACTTATATGTGAGTCTTATTTATTTTATTACAGTCTTATTTATTTAAATTAGTTGTGAAATCAGCTCTAGTACAGTCAATATCAGAATATTTTCCTACACATGTGTAACAAGGTAGCAGATAAAGTGCCATATTGTGGCAAAGGCAAATATTTGATCCATATTTACCTATCTGATTCTCAAAGAAAATAATATCTACTAGTATGTCAGTGTATGAAATGGCCGCCTGCCCGCCAGCCCGAGGCTGGTAACTTTCAGGCCGGGCGGGTAAGATTTGCAGATTACCCGCCCGACGGGCTGGCTGTTTTTACAGCCTATTTTCACCTTTTATTTTGTCTATGTTCACAAGCGATTTCAGCAAAATATCAAATAAACTCACTGTTTTCACCCACTTTCATAGAAGCAAAGAACTACCATAGCTTGCAATCGAACGCTCGTATCGAAGTGTAACCAACAGTCTCCCTCTCAGTGGCCTCATTTTCGAAGTTCTGTCTGTGTGATATGAAGTTGAAAGACAATTTGAAACGAGGCACAATGTTCTTAACCAGCTTCAGTGCACAGCAGATAACGTTACGTCATTGTTTTGTGTAGAGGACATACCGCGAGTAGCAATTTGTAGGTTGAGAGTAATAAAAATGTGAAAGTATAAAAAGTTGATATTGATTAAATCGACTTATAGGTACATGAAGTGCTTATAATCAACAGTAATAAAGGCAATGGAGGCAAATAAAAGGAGAATTTTACCAAAAATTTGAATCCCAAAATTATGAGTGAACGTACGAGTTTACGCCGTGCGTCAGATGTAGTGCTTTTNTCATATAGATACCATTATCCCTAGTGGTCATGTCTGCTACTACTCTGCAACAGCTGAAAGATATGTCACCTATTATAAAACGTATAAGTGCGGACTTTTTGGATGGTCAAGGTTGGTGAATTTCCTTAAGTTCAGTCATCAAAGTCATCATAAATACTTGTAAATGCAGTTCATTGTTTTAGAATTTAAAAGACTTGTTTATTAACAATTAAAATTAAGGGACCATTCCCACATATATTTGGATCAATCTATCTCCCTGGGGAGTCTCACTAAATTGCTGTCAACTTGACCAGTTTAAATGCCTGTCATGCCTATAGTAAAGCTGTTATAGGGGTAATTATCTTTACCCCCTAGCTAATTTGGTAGGTGTGACAGACATTAAGACAGTTTGTTGACAGCAATTAAGTGAGACTCCCCAGGGAGTTAGGTCGATCCAGATGGATAGATCAAGGCATGGGAACCCAGTCTATGTCGTTTTACTGCATGCTTGTTGTTGATTCCCATATATCTTAATTTTTATTGCTTTCTTCCAGATGAAAATCACAATCATTGTCATGCTTTTACCAGATATAATATGTATTTTTTTTTACTTTAAATTCTGTTGGATAGGTGTAAAAGTAGTGGGTCCCATAGTGTCCCGTACACGTATCGCCGGAGCCGTTGCTGTCGAGGTTGGACAAGTAGAAATGCAGCCTGTGTGGTCCGTAAGTATATGTCTTGATAATATTTTACATCATTCAAATGTTCTTTTTTTTTACAAGGTATACCTAGTCGCAATTTCAACTCTAAGATAAGAGGAGTTGGATATACTATTATAGTCTATATTGTATGTAAACCATTTGAGTTTTCAGGCAAAATAAAAAGCAGTATAAATAGGTGTCTGATATCAACAACTCTTCTTATAAATGATAAATGATTTTAAGAAAGATGTTTGAAAAAGTCTTTATCCTCTTAAACATAAAACAAACTTGATTGCAGCAAGTGCAGGCAGAAAACAAAAGTACTTGAGTTTCAAATTTACACTAGCAATAATGTTCTTTAAATTGTTATTCAGCTATGAAATGTTATTTTGTTATTTAATTTTCAAATGGTTTCAGCTATTTGCAGTCCCAGTTGTCGAAATGGTGGAACATGCATAAGACCAAACGTGTGTATTTGCCCAGTCACACATTATGGTTCTTACTGTCAGTTAAGTATGTGTACTTAATTCACATTGATTAATATATATTTTTTTGACTATTCTCTGGAGGTAATCCAGATGAAATTTGTGTAAAAAAAGACAGATTGCTTATTTAGTTGTTTCTTGAGTTTTGGAGTTCTGAATTCTATTACTTTAAGATAATTTTTTTCCAAAAAACTAATCATTTGATATGGTTATTCAAATAATTACTTGTCAACTGCTTTCATGATAAAAACTATATCTCATTTATGTAGGTCAGTGCTCCTGGAAGTTCCCATGTTACCCTGGTACTTGTAGTTCTGGTACTAACTGTAGGTGTACGCCTGGATTTGGAGGAGCGCACTGTGGAAGTAGTAAGTTTTTTCCAGTATGTTGCTGCTTTTTTAAACCTATAATCTGTAATCTGAAGCCAGTGATGAAAATTTTTAAAGAAAGTTCTTGCCAAACATAATCCTAAAAAATGAGTGATCCACCCATTCCAGAATTTTTTGACACTCTTTCTGACACATAAAACATCCTATCAATAATCACAAAATTTAAATGTATTGGTATATTGGTTGCAATGCTAACAATTTATCACATTTTGAATCACGAGATTGGGGTATTTTAAAAAGAAAAGAATAAATAATTTTAATTGTAGATTTTCCAGTCATTGGTGGTTAGTGTTTTGACTGGAAAATAAGACATTTTTTAAAATGATTCACACTATTTGCAATTGCATTTCATTTGTATATTTGTGTTATTAGTTATCAGTGATTCACAGAGCCCAAACATTACATCCTGTAAGGCAACTTTGAGTGACCGGACAGGAAGTCGAGATCATTCAGAGGCAGTGGCCAGCTGGCCATATAACACAACAGTTTATGTGAAGAGACAGGATTGGAACCACGTGAAAGTAGAGTGGACAAGTAACTACAATTTGACCACAGCACCACCTCGTCCTTCTTATATTAGGAGTATACTGCTTGGAATTGTGAGCGGAAATGCTCACCTGAGGTGGCATAGTCAAGGTAAGCAGATTGTGAATATCACAAAAGCAAGTTTTTTTTCTATGACATGGTTATCATAGATTCAAAAGAATACATTTAATTGATTTAAAACTTAAAGAGCTTTTCTTATGGCCTTTATATCTGATAAGAAAATAGTGTGCTTGGACCTACGCCAAATTTTTTCATTCTAAAGTAACACCCCCAGTGGCCATTATAGATCTTGATGCCTGTCTCACATCTAGGGATGGGACATTTTTTCACAAGCCAATTTCTCTGAAAATAGCCTTATGTTAGTGTTGAGTCTAAATATGCTTCTGTTTGCATTAAAATTTTTTTGAATACAAACTCCACCAATATATTATATTGTATTATAATTAATTATTTCCTGGCATTACCTTCAGCTTTAAGTCAATTTCGATAAAATTATAATTTTACAAATATAAAGTATGTTTTGTGAAATTAGCTCCCACCATTAGAGCCTTATAACTTCAAAAAAGCCTCTTGGTGCAGTAATGTGTTGGCTAGGATCTCTTGATTTAGACCAAAAAATTGACTGCTGGATTGACATACACAAGAATCTCATGGGGCTCTAAGATGATTTGCCAAATGGTTAAGTCTACTTATTTTTCAGATGAGAGGTACCTTTTTTCTCATACTCTTCCTTGTGGAAATGGTGATAGTGCAAGTAATCCTAACCAAGGCATCTCCAGTTGCAGAGTGGAATACAGTTTTCCCAGACATACCATAAAACATGAAGACAGGTGATCCTTTCAGGTTTTAATGTCATAAAATTTTTGTTTGCTGATTTTTAGTCCGAAAAACTTGTCTGCCTAGTGAATACCTAGTGATAGCGTTCAGAAATTTAAATATTTAAAATTTAAATTTAAAACACAGCAAAAGAAGCTTGAAGGTTTTTATTAAGGTAAGGGTGAGTTGTATAAATTTACATAGATAAAGAAAAATATATAATTGAGGTATAAAATTGCTATTAAGACATGGGAAAGTGTATGACACTTAAAATGGGCCTCATATGACTAAATTGCATGTGATTGTATTTCCTTGTGAAGTAGAGTTTGTTAGAGAAGTTTGTTGTGACATTGTGACTTGACTATATGCATGTTCTTGATTAACTCGGGTGGTGGGTTTATTATTCAGGCCATGTTCTTTGCACCATTTTTTATTTCTCAATTTCCAAATGATAAGAATTTTTTTATTTTCCTAGGTTGGAAGTGGGTATATCAAGCAGGAATGGAGGCTACAAGGTAGTATTAAATACTGATACTAATTTAGTAAAAAACCATGCAATCAAAGGACGAGATGCAACAAGAAATTTCACCTACATTTTCGACTTTGAGGAACCAAAGCATATTTGCCGTGACCTGGATAAATGTGCAGAAAAAGACTCTGCCTTAATGACTTATGTGGCAAAAAATGGAACCCAGGTAATATAATTTATCATATTTACTATTAATATTTTGGATTTATAGAACGATGTGATGAAATAAGGCATGCGCAATTCATGCATACCCTTTTTCTTGAAATTCACCTTTTTTAGATGCATGTCATTAAACTTTAGTGAAACACCTTTTTGTTTTTGGTTGAAAATTTCAATATGAGTATGATGTGCAAGTCGAATTACAAATAAGATCGAAGAGATAACCAGTCAGTGTTTCTCTATGACAGCCTCAGCTGGAGATCCAGTGGGCTAACTGGGTAGATGTAACATCTGGTATTGAGAAGTATGTCTACACCATCATCCGTGGCAGCATACAAAGTGGTTTATCTGTACATAAGAAAGAATGGAGAAGTGGGAATCCATGGCCGGTGTACATTGTGAACACAGGAACTTATGCTGTTCTTCTGAAAGTTTTGGACAGAGCTGGAAATGAAGCAACTGTGTCTAAAGGTGATTATAGTACATCCTAGGGTCTATTCCCACAACTTTAGATCGATCTATCACCGCGGGGAGTCTCACTAGGTTACTTTCAGATAATCCCCCTTAAGTGTCCGTCCCCGCCTACTACAAGCTGTAAGGGGTAATTAACTTGCGTGTCTGCCCGGCTGACAGCTATTTAGCGTGAACCCCCAGGGAGTTAGGTCGATCTAAAGTAGGTCGATCTAATCTATGGAAATGGGGTGCTAGTTGCGATGTATGCAAAAGTAATACAGTACAACTGAAAATAATATAATGCAGAACTATTTCCAAATACAGATAGCAGCAATGTATCATTTAAAAATGTCAACGATTTTAAAGGTATAATAATTTTAACAATGTATAATATTTTAGAGATCAATGTTGACGAGCACCTCCCTACTGTCAGTCCAAGTAAGTTGATCAAATCAGCATTGCTCAAGGATATAGAACCTGTATGTGTAACAATTATTTTAAAAAAGCTATTTCATGCTTGGAATCTTAATTAACTGTTATCCTTTTGGGTGAAGTTCTGCCAGGATAGCATTGTTGGAATGTTGCCAAGTTGTTTGTTCCAAATAAAATGTGACATTAGAGTTTGAATATACATATTTCCCTTTTTTTATTTTCTTATAATATTTAGATTTTTGCCCCAGTCAAAACTGCTACCCAGGATTCTGTGTCCCTGACACTGGAAATTGTATCTGCACAGCTGGATTTAGTGGAGACAACTGTAATACAAGTAAGATTTTTCTTTATTTTTAGACAGAGAAAATTTCCAGTGCCCATTTATTTACATCTTTTGGCTTGCATACCCCAAAGCTATATGAAATCTTTTTTAAGCCATTTTCTAAGCTTATGTCAATTTCATATATCAATTTTTATACGAATATATATAAATATATGTAATTTTTCACGTTTTGAAAATCCTAAAATAAATTCATTTTTCCTAAGAATACTGATGCTTTGTGTCTCTATCTGAATGCCCTTTTCAGTCAACTTAAATTCTGAACAACAATGTACCAGTAATTCCACTGTATAATTTCTTATAGTCAGTGGAGATATCCAGGATCCTACCATCAAGACAATACAGATTATGCTGACTGCAAATCACAGCCTACCCTATGTGTATGAGAATGCAGCAGAAGAATCAAACATCATTAATCTGTACACCAATAAGCTTGACTTGGCAGATTTGAAGTTGTCATGGGAGGCAGAATACAGAATGATGGGGGATTTGCCATCAAGACCACCATCTGTGTCAGACTTCCAGATAGGACTTGTTTCATCTAAGGCTGAACTAGAAATTGAGTCAGCTGGTAGGTTTTTCAGCTCAAAGTTAAAATGAAAGCTTTCATAAAACCTTAAGTTTTTTATATTCTTAAATGATAACAATTTTTTGAGCCCAATATTGTTTTTACATTTATATTTTCACTACTTAACAAGAAAGCATAGAATACAATGTTATTAATAAAAGGAATGCTCCATATAAATTGATGTTGATTAATTATGAAATAGTAGAATGACTGGTGTATTTTGACAATGGCAGCAAAAATAAATGTATAGTATGATTTTAAAAATTGTTTTGTAGAAATTTAAACATATTTGACTAGCAATTTGAATCATAGTTTTCACAATTCAAAATATAAAAGAAGATATTATTTTTTAAATTTATAAAATGATGATACCAGGTGGCAGCACAAAGAAAGAGGCGACTCTGGACTGTCTTAAAGCTGACACCTCTTTGGAGTCCTTTGTATCCTGCAGCCAAACCCACAGACTGTATGGATCTCGAAAAGACCACGACAGGTAAGTCATATTCATTGATATGGATTTTTTTCAATTACTCACGAAAATTCTTTAAAAGTGCTATTGTACAGCATTATTGGATTTAAGTGATGTTTAAAACATGAATTGAAGATAGGAGAACTATATTTGCTTTCTAGACACTAATCCCCCCCCCCCCCCAAAAAAAAATAAAAAAGGTTTATCAATTTTACAGACTAAAAATTGTCCTGAAAGCTGAAAATGGTGGCCACAAGATTGCTTCTGGGCAAAACATTAAATACCAAGGAAAAACAGTTCAGCGCCAAATCAACATCCACTATGATACCGAGGCTCCATATAATAACTGTGCTGCTGGCTCTGGGAAATGTGAAGATGAAGAATTGAAAGTAGCAATTGGACAACAAATTAGTGTTAATAAGGTCAGTTGCAGTTGAAAGGATGGTATATGTTTGGGGATTGACCTTGCCCTCACTGTTTCTATTCCCCCCCCCCCTTTTTTTTGCCCTCAAGTATTTTGATTGATGAAATATTTATGGCTTGCCTATGTCATCACAAGAGAATATCAACTTCAAAAAGAAATCCATTTTTGATATCACACATGATTGAAGGCTTGTAGTGAGGAAAAAAAAGGTGCAGAATCTTGGACAGAAAAAAGAAATGATGATTAAATGTTTGAGTAAGGTGAAGTTGACAAATAAATAAAAATGGGAAAAAAATATGATGAAAAATTTCTCATTTTCGTTAGCCAATTCAAATTAATATATAAGTATTTGTCAAAAATCGTAAATACTGGCAAAACTTTGATTCTTTTCATGCATTTAATTTTTTTCTCATTTTCAGAAAGAAATACTTTTGACCTTATCATGGGGTGATAACTGGAAGGATGCATTGTCTGGTGTTGCAAATTTCCACTACTTCATTTACAGCTACCTTGGTACCAAGAAGATAGGATTGGGGGATGCCCCTCTTGCAAATGGCTCTTGGACAGCAGGAGACAGGTTTCCAACATATGATGTGAAAAGTGATAAAGCTGCATTTACAGTTGTGCTCCAAGTGCTGGATAAGGCTGGGAATAATATTAGAGTGAGACGCGGTAAATAGAACTGATATAAACATTGTGTGATAATCAAACTGCATATTTTGATTCATCCAGTTGTAGTTTCACAAATAACAAGTGGAAAAATATGGTATGAGCACCTGCCAACATTTCATCTAGATTTCCTCCTGTAATTGAAGTTATTGTAACTGTAGTCATGTGCCAGGTGTAATGATGCTAATTTTTATTGCTACAAACAAATTGGTTACAAAAGGTAGGAATTAATATTTGACAGCGTAATATTTTATGTTGAATATTTCTTACAATTTATCAGATATAATGAGTATACAATGAGTGTACTTTTTAATCTTTTAAGATATTGATTTGACCAGTCCAAGAGTGGCAGCTTTGCTTGGAAACGTACCAAGTGATGGTGGAGGGGATCAAAGTGGACTTCTAACAGGTACGTCACTTTTTTCTATAGTACAATATTCAAGGGCAGATCCATACACATTTTATAACAATCTTCCAAATTACCTTTTTTGATTCTTCCTCCACTTTTGAAAGTCTTCCTTCATAAAAACAGATGCTGGTCAATGTGTATTTGAAAAATTCTGACAACAGCTTCCATCCACCCTTGGTATTAATAGACCCAGCCATGCTATCTGCATATCTTTTTGCCTGTGTGTTTACATTGTTTCATGATTTGTTTCTTATTTTATATTTTAATCCTGACTTATATATTTTAGTGCCAATCTTCTTCTTCATCCTGGTTGTTGCTGTGGTTGCGTTGGGAGCCGTGGCAGTCGTGAGACGGAGACATGGTTATCCTTGGTTGTGGAAAGACGAAAAGTTAAAATTTTGGCAACCAAAAAAAAGGCATGAATATGCAACTGCAGTTGTAAGTGTACATTACATCCAGTTCATTTTGTTGTGTTGCTTTTCTCTCCGGGCATGACCAAAGTCAAGTCATTGACCGAACCTTTAAAATCTTCAGTAGACGGATTAGAGCCCTTAGACTAAATTATACCCCGCAGTATCTGTAAGAAGATTTGGCGCAACAGCTTGCACATGATTCTGTTTTGAGATTTTTGTTATTGCCGGAGAGAAAAGCTACACAACACCACAGCTTGTAATAACCAGTCGGTGGTTATACACTTGTTCTAAGAGTTACATTTTCACCAATAAGACAACTGAGACAGGCAGTTATAGTTTTCTGCTACATGGTTTATTCAAGCGACTGAAGACTCAGGTCTCTTCTACCGTATCTATAACTATCTCTCCCCCTCCTCAGTCTGTCGGTCTACTTTTATACCTGAACTTCATTTACATTTTAGATTAACTTCTATTACTGACATGCGACATGCCATGCCTTAAGATCTTAAAATTTAACTGTGGATACAATTTGCATTAACGAATATATGTAAATCACATATTTGGAAATTAGCTCTCAATACTATTAATAGTTCACTGCATGCAAACTGTCATGCTAGATCCTTCTGGATATATTTATAATTGAACAAATATGTAAATGACATGTATTCAAATTTATGTTAGCAGCACTAATTAAAAGTTCACTACAAGCTTAGTTTTAGAATCTAAAACTCTGTTTTTTTCTAGCTGCTACCTGGTTTTATACCTCAAATATTTGCGTGTCAAACCACTTGGCCGCAAATTGTTGTAACTTTAGATATAAAGGGAAATAAAGTGAGAAAAAATTTAAGTGGAATGGGATTAATTAAAGTGATAGGGACAATTGCATTACTAATATGAGCCGCATGCATTGATATTTCCTTCTGCCAGTACATAACTTCAGTGGTGAATTAAGTCCAGTGAAATTCTTATTTGTTACAAAGACTTTTATACATTATAGTACCATAATGACACATATGATGAAGATGAAGACCAGGGCATTTACTATGAGAGTGAGGCATACGGCAGAAGTGTGGAAATTTCCAGCAGCCATATTGTTCTGGGAGACACCCTCTGCTATGGACATTTTGCCATAATTAGACATGCTGAGTGGACTCCTGATAGACAGAATTCTATGGCAGTTATTGCAAAAATGTTGAAAGGTAAATTTTATATTTAGACTTCCGACTTTGTGATTATGTATTATACAATATTAGAAAGCTGTCATTCTCAGTTGGACAGTTTACTTTGTGTGTTTGTAACAAATCATTATATTTATTGTAAAATGAAAAAGTCAGGTTTCATTATACAAAAGACATTTAGAATCCTATGATGATTATATGTGATATGAAGGCCAAGCAGTTTTCTAAACCTTGGTTGTAATTTTATTTTAAATATGCTTTTCTGTTAATCCCAAACTTTTCAGATGCCAAGAGCATAACAGACAGGCAGTTGATGTTGGATAAGATCAAGTTTGTTGGAGATGTTCCTCGTCATGAGAATGTTCTGGCCATGCTCGGAAAGGTGACCGATGACTTCCAGACAGGTAATCATAAGAGTGACCAATGCTTTGTCCAGTCTTACTTATTTGTGAGTCTTATTTATTTCATTACAGTCTTATTTATTTTAAATCAGTTGTAAAATCAGCTCTAGTACAGTCAATATCAGAATATTTCCCTACACATGTGTAACAAGGTAGCAGATAAAGTGCCATTGTGGCAAAGGCAAATATTTGATCCATAAAATTTACCTATCTGATTCTCAAAGAAAATAATATCTACTAGTATGTGCTTCATTTATATCCAGTTTGGTCAATTTCTGCTTCTGCATCAATACAGGCACTTCCATTATAGCTTTTTGTATACATACATGGAATTGTTATTAGATAATTATGACTGCTAGTATAGTAATCACAGTATAAAAATTTCACAAAAAAAAGCAGAAAAATTTTGTTAGTGGCAAAATACCACATATATATTGCAGCGGTAATCAAAATTTGTTACAGGTCCATACATGGTCTTGGAGTACTGCAAAAATGGCACCCTTCGTGACTGGTTGCTGGCACAGAAGGCAAAGGGAGGTGAACTGAGCGTTGACACAGCTGATCGTATGACGGAGTATGCTGTACAAATAGCAGCAGGGATGGAACATCTGAGTAATAACATGGTAACTAATTATGTCACAAATTTTACGTCGACTTCATGATCAAGATCAGTATTATTTCATGACCTGTTCAGGATCCAGTTTTTATTCTGAAAGTTGAAAACTTCTAAAACTTAAGAAACTTGATAATTACAGTGTTTTCAATCCCTTCAGTCAACCTCGCCTGGATATTTGGGGGAGGGGAGTACACAGTTTCTTGTAGATAACTTTTTTTTTGTAAAATAAGTAGTACTGGTTGAGAGGATTTACCTGATTTCAGTGAATTTAATACCCAAGGCTATCATGCCCTTGTTTACTACAGTCACTGTTATGTGTTCTTTTTCTGTATCGAAATTTCTTTTACCAAGTTTGATATTAAATTGTTGCATTTTGTTCTTTTTCTCTTTCAAGATTGTCCACAAGAGACTGATGTCTAAGAATGTCCTCCTCAATGGTAAAATGGTTGCCAAGGTGATGGGATTTGGTCCTGAGGGAAAAGATGCAGCCAAAAACAAGGTATTTTGCTTTCTAACAAAAGTGTGTAGTTATGAGAAAATATGCTTTATAAATAATGGTTTGATATTTTTCTTACAAAAAATTTGTTATCTGTTCCATATTGATGAAAATAATTGTTGTAATGGTTATCATTGTCTTTTTGTATCATCAGAGTCGTTTACCCACCAAATGGATGGCCTTGGAAATTCTGCAGGATCCACAGCTGAAATATACCACTGCGTCTGATGTCTGGGCCTTTGGTATCACTTTATGGGAGATATACAGCCTGGGTGTGTCTTCAGCAAAAATGATCTGTATTAAAATGTTTGAATTTCATGGTTGATTGAGCTCTGCATGTTCTAAACAAATATTCGTAGCTTTCTAATATATTCAATAGTGATTACTAAGTCAACTGCATGCAGCTTGTTTACATCAAAACTGACTGTCAAACGCAATGTCACATCTAACACATTACACTATCCATGTTGTGCTTAACATTTTAGGTGACCTTCCTTATCCTACTGGACACAAGGACAAACTGATAACTCTGCTGGAGAGTGGAACCCGCCCAGACAAACCTGTAGAGTGCCCAGATGATATGTAAGTGTGTTTGACCAGTTGAGCCTCCAAGTGTTCAAATTGCATTAGTTGGGATTTTGATATGCATCACTGCAGCTTAACTCTGCTGAATGCTAATATGTTATACATTTTATAAGCTCACAGATTAAGAGGATGACAATATTGCTACAAGACCACAGATCAAAAACTCTCTGCTATTAAACAAATATGATCCATTGCAGCTACAACCAAGTGATGCTGAAATGCATGGACCATGACCCAAGCAAGCGTCCATCATTCCAACAGATCAAGAACCAGTTGAATGATTTCTTCCACCCTCCCCCAGATGACAGTGGCATATACTATGGTTTATAAGAGTAGCTGTGAACATGTGTCTTGCATTGGAGATGGAATTAAGAACTAATTACTCTTTGGAGATTGAAATAAGGACTGATTACCGGACACTGATAAAAAGATTTTTTTTGCAGTCTTTAGAAGACTCGAAATAGCTGCCTTTACTGCTTAAAACATGCATATTTAGGCTTCATTCACATGGAAAGTCTATTTTCTAAATTCTATTTTCTATTCGCGGTATGTTTTGTGATCAGGGTCTGTGCCCTGAAAATCCTGCAGCGTAATTACTGGCAGCACGAGCCAGTTACTTATACAAAGCTGTAATTAACTCTCGGCTGTGCTCGGAGGAGATTCTGATACCTTGACGCATGTGCAGTAGGAAGTTAGCAAGTTAATGGCCACCGCAATTGCTTTGAAAAATGTGTTTGTCGATTTTGTACATATTACGCATCTGTATGCTTGAGTCATCACAACTAAACTGATGAACTTCACATCTTAGAGATACTACTGCGCTTGCGTCAAGGTATCAGAATTTCCTCCAAGCACATCCGAGAATTAATTACAGCTTTGTATAAGTAACTGGCTCGCGCTGCCAGTAATTACGCCGCGGGATATTCAGGGCACAGATCCTGATCACAAAACAAACCGCGAATAGAAAATAGAATTTAGAAAATAGACTTTCCATGTGAATGAAGCCTTACATACAATATATATTATCCCCACCTTTTCATGCAGAAAGTGTACCTGTATTGTCCCCCACCATGCTCTTGAACAGTGATAATAGTGGTCAGTAATCCAAAGTAACTTAAGTCAAAGTACATGTAGTAGCTTTCTTCCTGACTTCATTCTTTTTTACAGAAATGTTGCAATGTAGTGGTCTGCCTCTGAGACATATTGCATATACCCATAACTTGCATGCTGTATGGAAACTATACATATTCTGGATGGAAAATGAACAATAACTGCCATTGCAATTGGATGCTTTTAAGCTTATGTGTTTTGTTATTTTACACCATTTCATTTGGTTAATTGTCAATTACTATTACTGGATATGAGTAATGCAGAGGTAAAATATGTAACAAAATAGAGAATGTGATATGTAACCCAAAATAAGTAGTTCTAGCGTATATAATGAAAACAAATTTAAAAAGTGCATTTGTGTGTGCTGGAGACAAAACAGCAGGTGCTATATTAAGTCTTAACCTTATTGAAAGTATATATATATATTAGGCTTTAAAGCTTTGGTAGACACAGTTTTGATAAGTTGATGGTTCCTAGTATCTTGTGTCAAATGGTTTGATAATAAAAATATATAATAATCTATAATTTATTAATTCACATTTTTGATGAACTTATGACAGTTATTATCACTCTAAGATAAAAGTTGAACTTATTACAATTAAAACAATTTACCTTTTTGCAGTAAAGTGCTTCAGCAATTTGTTTGTTTATTTGTTTGTTTCCATTTTTTTCAATTGTTTTTGTTTTTGTTTTTTTTAATGAGCATTTTGTGGTTGCTTTACAGGTATATTTTCAATTGCTCAAGGTCAGTTTGTCATGCTTTTGGTACTTCACTACCACAACTGCCTCCTACTTCTCAGTCAGTGACTGAAATTACATAAAAAAAAAACATATTCCCACCCCCTCCAACCCCTTCCCCCACTCTTACCTTAGTTTTTATAAGATTTGCATTTTATGTATACCTTGCTAAGAAGCGACTCAAACCCAGCCTAGTCTGAGGTCTATCTTTTTTAATCATTGCATTGTTCCCTTTTTGAGCTTAAATGGCACTTTGAGGTCAATCAGTATTCTGTACCTGGCAGTTTATAAACCTTGGTGTATTTTTAACAAATAATGGGTAGGACAATTCCATTCAAAACTAAAATAACAAGGACTAAAATCAGAAAACCGTTTTTGTAGTGACGCATAATATATAAACCTTTCATGATCCACATACAACTATCAACACAAAAGGTGGAGCAGTTATTTTTGTGAAGAGACATAAAAGGCAAAAGGTATTCATCAGCTTGGTGTAGATACACATGGAGTACAAATAGTTGTTTGCGAACAAAAGGTGCACGCACTGTCACCTGCACGAGATCGGTGTATCTATCAGTAATATCTCCGCAGCCTGACATACGACAATGATTCGATCTTTTTAATGGGCAAAAATTAGCAAACTTTAAGATACTGTTATTTTATAATCAGAAAATTATATTTTTATAGAGCATTTGTGGTGCTTGTACTGCACAGAATAGAACTATAGACTAACCTGCCTTTCAATTTCGTTGCCACCAATCAACAGAAATTTTCTGATTTTTAGAAATTATAACCTAAAAAAAAACAGTATTTGTAAAATTCACAGCTTTCCCCACTTTGAAAAGATCGAGTAATTACCGTAAGTGTTTATCCAGGTTGGCATTAGCTAGCACGCTAGTTTCACTATGATTTTTATTATATACAAATTACGACCTTTGTAGCTGTAGTCTTAAAAAGGACAATACTTGCTGACGCGCATTTCTTTTTTTTTTTTTTCATTTCTCTTCCTGGTTGTTTCCATTGGTCTTGAAATCGAGTCTACACGAGCTCCACCAAAGTATTTTCTTATGAATAAAAGGCAATCTTTGTAGCCATTAAAAAGGGCTGATCGATATTTGCTGTTGCAGTCCAGTATTTTTTCACTTCACTTCCTGGTTGCCGCCATGGGTGTGGGACACGAATTGTCGCTCCTGCTTATTCTGGTGATATATATCGTGCCGTCCTTAACTTCCCCAACGTACACGTAAGTTTTAAATAATATTAAAAGTGATACTGAGAAGATTACTTTCTGACGCTGCTTTTTTTGGAGGGGGGTTATTCAAACCTACGTTTCAGTTATTTTTTAAAGAGAGGAACAGTTCATGGATTTTTGGACAGTTAAAACTTCATTATTAGGATATATTCTGGTTCTAAAAGACACATTTCATCCATTTCAATCGATGAAATCATAGTTCTTGCTCAAATGTGTATTTTTACTCGCATAACTGTTTTTTCACCAGAAATTAGAAATGCTTAATGATATGTAAATGCGGCACTAATAAACTTGAAAACACAGGTGTATTCCGGATAATTTCAAACACTGTAGAGCAAAGTTTTTTCTATTACACGCCAGAAAAATTCCCTGTGTAATCCATAAATGTTTTGATTTGTTTTAGTGGACACGTGTGCACGTATACCTTGGTAGGGAGAACAACCAGAAGTTATTATTCCACATACAGGTGTGGGTGGTGGAGTAGGTCAGTATTTGCTTTACAATTAATAAACTACTTGAAGATTACCAAACATAAAAAGATGATTTCTCATTTATAATCTACCCTCTACCAGGGCCTGCAGATTTTATTGTGCGCCCTTTTCTCTGATGCAAGCACAGTGCAGAAGTCCCATCATTGAAATACCAGTAAATACATATCTGTGAATATCTAAAATCAACCCATGAAATATTAATCTGTGGCACTGGTAAAGGGTATGGATAATCCAAACGCTTAACCATTTTAAAGGATTAAAATTAACATACATCGTCGAGCTTTAGTTGGTACAGTACAGTACATTGAGAGTTAAAGCAATATTCTTTTTTTCTGGGTCGGTCTGTTTTCTAGGTGTGGGAGAACAACTTATTATACAACCACACACACAGAATATCGTCAAAGGTGCTGCACTGGTTGGACCTCTGACTCGTCAAATGCCTGTATTATCCGTAAGTGCATGTACATGTATATGTCTACCGGGTACACGGTTCAACAAGGAAAAAAAGGGAGAAAATAGGACAGCTGTTTTTAAATAAATCTAAGTCCCCCTCCTCATACTCGATTTGTTGATCAAATTATTTGGGCATGTACCTTGTACAGTTGATGTCATAGCTTGAACATTTTAAAAATAAAACAGTAGAAGACGTGTACATTGTTTTAATATAACACGAATAGAAAGTATAGACTAAACTCCGGGCTTGAAAAGAAAAACTTTCTACAATGGTGTTTCTCGCCCCAATAATGAATCTACTGTATCTTTAAGTGTAATGGGAATGATCATGACTAAATAGTGTGCAGTATAGATAAATTATACATGTACTTTTCAGCTGTTTGCAGTGTCAGTTGCCGAAATGGTGGAACTTGTGTAGCACCCAATACTTGTAGATGCCCTACTACACACTATGGCTCTTACTGTCAGAACAGTGAGTTTTCGCTTCCAGTGGTAATCTTTATTGCACTTTTATCAAAAAAGTTTTCAATATAAAAGAAACGGGGAAAACATCTATTTCCCGATTGTAGACGTTTATATCGCATCGAATCCCCCTAAACCTCCGACCTTGTGTGGAGCATGTTTATGATTTCAATTTATCTTCCAAATTATATCACTATATTACTAGTGTATTATTTTGACCAGAAGAGAAAAGCAGCTCCGTAACACGTATAGCTAAATAAATTATGGGCATTATAGGTCAGTGCTCTTGGCAGAATCCTTGTTATCCCGGAACATGTGTCACCGGCAACAATTGCAGGTGTGTCACCGGATTCGGCGGGCCGCATTGTGCAACAAGTAAGTCTGAAATCAAACCCCCCACCCCTCTCCCTCTCTCTCTCTCTTAGGGATGCATATATAAGGTGAATACAGGGAATTTCATAGAAATTAGAATGCTGTTTATCAAGTTCTTCCTCTATAGGGTCTATTGAACAACGCTTTTAATTTCCCATTTTTGTGACAGCTTCACTAATTATAAGTTTATCTTTAACAAATCTTTGAAATGGTTAAGCCTTGCCAAAAACATTCCCATTTTTCCTGGTTTAGTGATCACAAACGTGCAGACTCCGGGGTTCACATCTTGTGAGGCCACTCTTAGCGACCGTATTGATAGCCAGGATCACCTAGAGGCCACTGGCCGCTGCCGAATTGCAACCACTGTCTTCGTCAAACAACAAGATTGGAACCACGTGAAAGTGAAATGGGCGAGTGCGTACAGGTTTTCTTCGCCGCCGCCTGAGCCGTCTTACATTCGCAGTATGGTACTCGGGGTCGTGAGTGGGAACGTGTGGCTTAGACTGAAACGAAGGGGTAAGGTTAACGGTGTCATAATAACACAAACAACGCAGTGTATTTGGCCTTGAAAAAAACATTCTTATCCAGTGGGGCAGAAGTTGATCTTTATTTTAAAACCAGCAGGAAGCGCCGTTGTTATACAATGATTTTGCAAACAGTGGCAATGCAACCATATGTTTTTCTCCAAAGATTTTTTGTCAATATCTTTTTATTTCTTTTGAATGAGTTTCCAATTCATTGCCCTCTTTCAAAATATTTTGATAATGATTATTGATTTTCCGACCCCTTTCAAAAAAAGACTACCAAAAAGCACTGACAAAATTTTCCCCGTGACTTTTTCTTTTTACGGCAAAGGGTGCCTTTTTTTCAACGAAAGCTACCACTGTGCCTATGAAAATTATTTTAATATCAAAAAGCGTATTTAAAAATTGAGAAACATTACATAAATCACCTCCCCCAGGGGGTTATGTTTTCGCTGTGTAGGATCGGTAGTTAATAAAATATCTTAAGAATTCATGGGCGGATTATTATAAAGTTCTTAGGATAGGTGAAAAATGGACTTAAAATCTGTTAGATTTTGGTGGTGCTCCATAAATTAATTAATTAATTAATTGATTAATTAATTAAGAATGGTGGAGATATTATATTATATTATATTATATTATATTATATTATATTATATTATATTATATTATAACAGCAAGATGATATTAGTTATCAAAGAGAACAGCCCAATTCAAAACTACACTCGTAAACTAATAATAGAGATGACCCAAACAAAATTTAAAAACTGATCTGAAAAGTTTATATACGTGTGTGTGAATATCTCAATTTGTTCTGAAAAAAAATTTGTGCGTAGATCTACATTTATAGGATGAGTGTATAAAAAAAACATAATAAGCCTTAAAGAGAACTGTTATAAAGCATACTGTATTGATTCTGTTTTAGATGCGACGCCGGTTTTCTCACGGTATATCGTGTGTAACAACGGTGACAGTCGTGACAACCCGAACCAAGGTGTATCCGACTGTAGCGTTGAGCATAGCTTCACGCACGCGGTGAGGCACGGTGACAGGTAGGAGTCTGATTGTATAACAGTGCGATTAAGGGCCAATAGTCACTATGTCAAAATGTCATGTATGACAGTCAAAACCGTGATATAGTGTTATAAGAAATAACATTGTATTATATTGAACTTTTTTCTTTTTCTTTCTTTTCTCTCTCTCTCTTTTTTTTTCCTTTGGGGGGGGGGAGGGGAAGGGGGGAGGGTATATTAATGAGATGTTACAACCAGGCGATGGAATTTTTTTACATCAACAAAATGTGCTGTTTTGCAACTTTTAGATTGGAAGTCGACATGTCAACTGTCAATGGTGGTTACAAAGAAGTGGTCAACAAGGATGTCACCCCTAACAGAGTAACAAAAAGGTACTTCACTGGACGCTCGGCAACCAGAAAACTGACTTTTTTCTTTGACTATCAAGAGCCGAAACATTTGTGCCGTGACATTGGCCTATGTTCAGAGACTAACTCTACCTTGATGTTGACTGTTGCAAAAATGAATGGCCAGGTAAGCTTATATCATCCGACGTTTTCTATCCATAATAGTAATTTCCATATCCTTTCTTGTTTATAAGCTTTTAATTATTAGGACACGTTTACAAATGGTAATATTCGGTCATTTTTTTAATACAACTGATAGGAAAAGAACGCAAATTATTTGCGAAAAAAAAAATCCTTATATTCATTTCGATTTTATACAGTACAAATCAGAGTTGAACGAGAAATCATCTTGAAAATTCGTTGAGGCTGTGTTCAGAATAGAAGTTATGGAGCTGGCAGAATTGATCTATTCTTACGTGCACTTCCCCAAGTCAGTCAAAAAAAAAAAAAAAAAAAACCCACTAAACCTCTCAGATAAAAGTACCCGATAACGACATGTGTTTGAAAAACGCGCATGTCATTGTGGTGAAACAGCGTTATTTTTCATCTCAAAATTAACGTGGACGTGTTTTACTTAATTGAGCTAGTTGCTTCACCTAATGTTTATAACAGATGAAATCAAAGTGCTAGTATCCCTCCTTTGCTGTTCTCTCTAAATAAAGTTTAAGTTTGAAGGGTGCGCGAATGAGACTACAAACTGGACCTGCTGCTACTACTATCTCTATAGAACATACTGAGTAGCTCTATTTTATAGGTTCAGTTAGAGATCCAGTGGGCAAACTGGGTTGACGCCCTATCCGGAATTGCCAATTACAATTACACGATATATCGTGGCAACACTCAAGATGGTTCTGCCGTGGTGTCTGGACAATGGAAACACGGGGATCCATGGATAAAACAGTATGTGAATAGCGGATTATGGTCCGTGGTCTTGAAAGTTTCAGATAGGGCTGGGAATGAGGCGATTGTAATCAAGGGTAGGTGCTCTCTCAAAAAGCAGACTTTGTTGTAATTTTATGAACTGTGTTTTTTTTTATTTTGATAATATTTCACATCTTAGACTTAACGTAGACTTAGACTCGATGTAGATTAAGTGACTCCACATGGTTTGAATTTCCAATCTTGTGACACTTTGACACAATTTTCTCATTGACGTACTTAAGTCAATATTTCGTCTAAATTGGTCCAGTTGTGAACGTGCCTTTGTAAACCAAAGGTATCCTGAGTTTTAGATCCTGTCAGAAATTTTCGAGCAGTTTGCATTGTGTTAAACGGGTAGGTGATAGAATAATAAAAATGGGTAGGTAATAGGATAACATTGTTCAATTGTGTTTGGGTGTGTTGCTTAGACAATCGCAGGGTCTATATTCCTATCACATAGACATTTACGCAAGCTTGTTCTCCTTTTCAGAGATAAATGTTGGAGACCACCTCCCCACTGTGAGCCCAAGTAAGTACAAACAAAACCATATCTGTTTTTTAAAACATTAAAATTAATTTTTTTTTATTCAGCGTGCTATGTTTACCGTCTTTTCTTTTTCTTTTTCTCCTGATGAAATGCACGAAAGAAAGGCGAACTTACTTTAAATAAGTGACGTTGATTAAAAAAAAAGAAATCGGAATATATTTTTCACATATAACAAACATAACTATGTTATTAGATCAAATGTCATATCCTTTGTTTTATTTCATAAATGTCAAGATTTGTGTGTCGGAAAAGATTGCTTTCCGGGATTCTGTGTCCCCGACACTGGTCGTTGTGTGTGCACTGCTGGATTTAGTGGCGAGAATTGTAATACAAGTACGTAATTTTAGGAATTGTTTTTGTTTTTCAGTTTGATAATATTTCACCTATCTATCAATTTAATTTAGATATTTTAAATGTAGGCCTACATGTAGATCATTTAAAGCGTGGTTTCTACCTAGGAGACATCACGTAGTGACGTATCGATTCTTTGTCAAGGGGGTTTCGATCTCCTGTTGTAGTTTTATAAGAGGGACTAAAAAACAAAATAACAAACTTAGTTTCTCTCTCTTTATCTATACATTTATTTAATTTTCAATTCAGTCAGTGGAAAAATCCAGGAGCCTCAAATTAAGACAGTGCGGATTTCACTGAGTGGAATAAACAAGCGACCCTTTAACTATAGCAACACTACGGAGACTTCAAACCTTGTCAATGTATACACCAATAAAATCAACTTGACAGACCTAATGCTGTCGTGGCAAGCTGAGTACGAAATGATGGGAGATTTACCATCAAGGCCGTCGTCTGTGTCTGACTTCAACGTAGGGCTGGTTTTGAATAAAGCTGACATAGAGGTGGTTTCCAGCGGTTAGTTCGATTTGTATCGCAAATTTTAGCTTCAATATTTGTGCACGGTATGTTGACGAATATGACAGGCAAGTGACGTAATGAGTGACCTAAGATCTGTGTTAGGATTGAAAGTGAGTTTTATGTCACAAGCGAGACATTGCCTTTATATGAGCGATAACATCATATACCGCAATTAAGTGTTGTGTTGCATTGTATTTGTCAATCAACTATATATCTCATACCTGCACAACGTTTTACCCTTACGTCATTTCAGAAGGAACTGTGCAGAAGGAGGCAAGTTTTTCCTGTCCAGTTAATTCAAGCTCAACCTGTAATAAAACACACACTCTGGCCAGCCCCAGAATGCACAACAGCAAGTGAGTCTTCTTATTCCATATATCAAATACGGTAATTCAAGTGCACTGCAATTATGATTTATTGTGTAATGAAAGGGTTCATTTTATTATCGAAAGCTTCCCAATTTTCTGGAGGTCTTGCAAACGCCGCTCATTTGCAAAATGGGGCGAGTAGGCCTAATATTGGCGCGAAAAACTTCATGAAACGGATTTTGGTCCCGTCTTCGTTATTTTAATGCTATTACACGTTTTGATGTGCAATATCGTTGACCTTTAATTGAAAAATGTGTTTTGAACAAAATGTTTATAATGGTATATGTACACGTAAGTTAAAAAAAACGGTCATGACTGTGCCATTTAACGCTCAGCGCTATTTATTTTGGTTAAAAAATAGTCCCTTAAAGCAAAAAAAAATTATCGCTCTTCTATTTTCAGTTTGAAAATAACCCTGGAAGTTAAAAATGGAGGTTACAAAATTGTGTCTGGAACCAGAGTCGAGTTTCAGGGTAAAACGGTTCAGCGCCAGATTAACATCCGTTATGATACCGAGGCTCCGTATTTCTCCTGCTCTGCTGGTGCAAGGAAATGTGACGATGAAGAAATGAAAGTGAAAGTATCTCAGATTAGTACCGATGGCAAGGTATTTGTTCATTCTACACCTTGTGGTCTTTTAGGCAAATATTTCAAAGCATACGTTTCGTTAATATCATAACTATTTATTCATTTATTTAATAAACAAAATTAATACAGGGGCCCATATCAAAATATAAATCCATAATTTCGTTTATAAATTATTTGAAGCAAAAAATGGACATAAAAAAAGCAACAGTTACAAAGGACTTATAATTAAAGTCTTATTATCTCTTACCATGAATTATCTTCAGGTTTTTTATATCATCTTAGCTCCAAAAAAGGGCGCAGAACTCAATTCCTCATTGAGATTCGATTTTTCAAGTTTTTTTTTCCAAAAGATGTTTTTCTTTCAAAATACATTACAAGTCTGGAAGAATGAGATTTGATCCCCTTTTGAAGAACATAATAGTTCGTATCCCCACAACCAGGGGCGGGTCCAGGAATATTTGAAAGGGGGGGGGGGGTCTGCAAATGATGAACGGATGAGTTATGAGTCATCTGATTTTCTAATTCTATAATCATAATCACTCGCTACAAATTTTGTTGCAGCAAGACGCCTCCTAAAGAATTTTTGAATAATTCGTAATGACCGGAAATATTTCAAGCATAGAAACCTAGTTCATGAATTCAAAACGATTTAAATCAATGACCCTTAGGTCAAGTTATTACTTGTCTCTTTTCAATATTAATAGAAAGACATCATCCTGACATTAACGTGGGGAGACAATTGGAGAGATTCTCTAGCCGGCATAGATTACTTCCAATACAATATATACAACTATCCTGGCACTAGAGACATTGGTTTAGATGACGCCCCAATCTAACGGCTCCTGGGTTGAGGGGGATGCTTATCCAACGTACATCGTTACAAGTCCGACTGCTGCTTATACCGTTGTCCTCAACGTTTTTGACAAGGCCGGGAACAGCTTAACACTGAGGAGAGGTAAATCTTACTTTTTTTTAACCTGGGACCCACCTAAAAGCTGACCCCAGTTTAATTCGTTATAGTTGTCAAAGACGTTCCTATTTTATTGCCGTACATGTAACCTGTATTATATAAATGCGAAGTCTTGCAGGTCAAAAACATAAGAGCAACCCGGCGACAGCGCTTTGGTCTTAATCCTATACTATACGTGACGTATCGCTTGAAAATATGCATTTATTTCTATTTTAATTTTGAATAAGACATATTAGTAGTCGAGTTAAACCCTCAGAAACCTTTGGTTAATCATTTTTGACTTTGGGCGTTTTGTACTTTGTCATCTAAACAATTAAACCAATGCCATTGCTGCTGTTTTTGTAAATATCTTTCTGATCATTTGTGCACTTCAGATGTTGATTTGGACAGTCCCAAGGTAGCCGCCATTCTTGGTACTCAACCTCAGGAGTCAGAGGAGGAGGATAAGCGTGGATTAGCTGCATGTAAGCCACGGTCTTGAAAAAGTTACCGCTCTTTTATAATGTATATGCAGTAAATATAAGAAAAACATTTAAAAAATAGAGAATGACTTGGTGAAATGGGTTTTTCATTGTCTGTTATGTAAAGATAGCAAAAACAGATTCTAAAGGGACCAGACGTTTATTTCCACCAATGGCGCAGGACATTCGGAACCATCAGTAAATGAACTTTGATTATATTATTCACCAATCATCAGCTTATGTTATCGTAATTTGCAGGAGGGGGTGAGGGGGGGGAGGTCATGTGGGAAGAAAAACTTGTTCCATACGTAGAAAACACGTTTAGTTTCTAAATTAAGTGAAAACATTCTAAGTGAAACGGTAGTGTGATTATAATTTTCATTGCCCAATCGAAAGTTCATATGCAAATTTAAAAGTTGGATTTTTACTTTCTAGTGCCCATTTTCTTCATCGTGTTTGCGGCGATATTTATCATTGTGCTTGTGGTGGCAGTAATACGGCGTCGCCAAGGGCACCCCTGGTTGTGGAAGGACGAGAGACTTAGATTCTGGCGAAGAAACACGGAATCGAGAGACCGCCAACATATTAACGTGAGTGGTCCTTGTAAGAGGTCCTATTGAATGATTTTTATTTTGAATTACTTAAGAATGATATGTTCTACATAAAAACAAATAAGTGGTTCTCAGGTTTGTAGGTTTTCTTTGACCTACAAATGCATGGAGTCGTCTTGAAAATATTGCGTAGTGAGTTTCTTCACATTTCTCAGTAACTTTACTGATTCAACCTGTGTTTTACGGTAAATAAAGGGTATATGATAAAACAAAAGACACCACATTTTAATTATATTATTTTGTTTGCTTATGGTGGTAGAATACCAAAGAGAAATGTTTTATTCTAATATCAAGGTATGGACGATTATCAAATTCGCTCAACAATTTAACCGTGTACATGTATTTTTTCCGTCTCAGTTCAACGACTATAATGTTGATGAGACAGATGACCCAGGCATATATTATGATAATTCGGCATATGGTCAGAACGTTGACATCCCCAGCAGTGACGTGACCATTGGCAGTGTCCTGTGTAATGGTCACTTTGCGGTCATCAGGACTGCTGAGTGGACTCCGGCCCGTCAGCAGGCTGTGGACGTCATCGCCAAAATGCTGAAAGGTAGAAATTGACGGCGAGTTGCTTCATAACTCATTGCTTTACTAGGCACGCACGCACACGTGCGTGTATGCATGCACTCACACACAAACACACGCACGCACACACACACACACACACACACACACATTCAGCAGATTAAAAAAAGTGTTTACGCATTGTATTCTTTTGGGCATAACTTGCCCGAGATTGAATTGAGCATTTTGCAACATATGTGAGTGACAAATACATTTAAAAGGAGCAAAAAAGTATTTTCAAATCTCTTTAAATCTTGTTTATCAGAGTTTGAAATTCAGTATTTTATACAGAATGAGACGTGATTTATTCATATAAATACACGAAATAATATTTTCTACAGACCCTAAAAACACCGCTGACAGAAGACTGATGTTGGAGAAATTGGAATTCATGGGAAATGTTCCCCGCCATGAGAACGTCCTGATCATGCTTGGTAAAGTGACGGATGACATACATACAGGTAATACTTAATGAAATTGAATATGATTGGGAATAGAAAAAATAACCAAAGACAAAAAGCAGCGAAGTTCTGTTGAAAAAAAAACTTGGAAAGAAACCTAAAAGTTGGACAAAATATATATATCAATTCATACAGTTTCAAATAGTGTTGCCGTGAATCTATATAATTGGCCGCTACGTGTGTATGATGCAGTGAAATGGTGAAAAATTCTCGTTTTAGGTCCATACATGGTCTTGGAGTATTGCAAAAATGGCACCCTTCGTGACTGGTTGCTGGCACAGAAGGCCAGGGGAGGTGAACTGAGCGCCGACACAGCTGATCGTATGACAGAGTATGGTGCACAAATAGCATCAGGGATGGAACATCTGAGTAATAACATGGTAAATAATTATGTCACACATTTTATGTCGACTTCGTGACAAAGATCAGTCTTATTCCAGGACCTGCTCAGGGTGCAATTTTTAGACTGAAAGTTGAAAACTTTTAAAACGTAAGAATCTTGATAATTACGGTGTTTTGCAGTGGTTTGAATCTCTGAGCATCAGGAATGGAACATCTTGAAAGCTGAATGGCAATCACACTTGCGTTCGTGCTGCCATCTGGCTATTGAAACACACCCGACCCTTTTTGGTTTTTAATAAGGCTGCTATTACCAATAAATTTTCATATGATCAAATTAATCTTTGTTTTCTCTTTTATGTCGAAGTATGGATTTTAGACCACAAAAGGATAAAACAGAAGAGTATTTTGGGTATGAGGTAAATCTTAATTTAACATTTCATTCATTTTTTTAGATCATTCACAAGAAGTTGATGTCAAAGAATGTCCTCCTTAATGGAAGAATGGTTGCCAAAGTTGCGGGATTTGGTCCTGAGGGAAGAGATGCTGCAAAGGACAAGGTAATGCGTGTCTCCTGCTAAAAGTATTTTGTAAATTTTGTGTTGAGATGAAAACGTCAGATTAAACTGTTTAATATTTAATAAGAACAATCTCTAACTTATTGTGCCATTTTGATATCTTATTTAATGCAGTATCACTTTTGCATGTCAAGAACACTGAATGACATTTACTGCCACATATACATAAAGTACAATATCACAATCTACAATTTGGTAAAGCAATTAATTGTTTTAGAGAGACTAAATTTATTTTACCCATCATTCATGACTTTACCTTTTTATCAGCACTATATAAGAGACAATAATATAATCTATTTGATTTTTTTTCTGAACTTGCAAATTGACACACGTTTTCTGTGGGTATCTCCAGAGTCGTCTGCCAACAAAATGGATGGCATTGGAAGTTCTGCAGGATCCTGAGTTGAATTTTACAGCAGCGTCGGATGTCTGGGCGTACGGTATCACGCTATGGGAAATATACAGCCTGGGTTAGTATACATATCGTAATATTTATACCTGGCAAATACAATCCAAACACAATCGAAGACAAGCATTCTGCACTAACACAACCCTGGACGGACATACTGTCTTCTCTTCTTTGTGCCCTATTTTGACAACTTCTTTTACCTGTATGGCCGCATTTAGAACAGTGGACTAATTAGTCCGAGGATGAAATATGGCCGACCCACTTGTATATTTCCCCACGGGGAATCTATTCAGTGTCTATAGTAGCGGATTAGACGGCAAGTTTTTTAGTGGATCGCCGTATTTGGCCTGCAGACAAGTTAGTCCACTGTTCTGAATGCAGCTAATGTTCCTGATTGTTATAGGTGATCTCCCATACACAACTGGAAACAAGGGTAAGCTGATCGGCATGCTGGAGAGTGGAGTTCGTCCAGAGCGACCCACAGAGTGCCCGGAGGCGATGTAAGTAGGGCGTTTTTAGTTGTAAAATGGCATTATGACATAACAATAACAATAACAGTTAAAACTAAGAAAATGTTTTATGTTGACTGTATGGTTAGACTTTGAAAGCTGATAATGCTGTTTTTTTTAATATAATGAGTACATGTGTGTATATGCACCACCCGAATACGTGCACGTGCATGTCTTTATGCGTACAAGCGTTAGTGAACGTGTTTTTAAAATGTGTGTGTGCAGGCGGACCCTCGTACGTGTGCAGTTATTTGTGCGTGTGGGCGTTGGTGTGTCTGCATCATTTGTATGTATCTCTATGTAATACTTATGCCATGATTCTTTGAATCGTCTTGTTCTTACAGCTACAACGACATGATCTTGAAATGCCTGTACAATGACCCCAGCGCGCGACCGACGTTCCCACAGATCAAAGACAAGCTGTACAGTTACTTCCACCCATCTCCCGATGACCACGGAATGTACTACAGAATAGATAATTAATCTGAAATAAGGACTCTTTATACCTAAGCCGGCTACATTCTGAAGACCAAAAAACTATAGAATACCAAAATACTCCATGAACAAACTAATCGAGATTAATTCACCCCGGACTAACACCTTATTGCCAGTGTTTTTTTTTAAATTATTTTAGATATCATGAAAGGTGCATTGAGTTTTTTTTTTACTGGAATGTCCCATAAATGATTTATCGTTATTATTTTCAATTTTATTATCATCTTTGTTACAGATTATGTTCTTAGTTTGGTGTGAGGCTTGTTTTACGCCACATTTTCGGTTTTATTATCTGTGCATAAGCTTTAGGCGCCCATTTCTGTTATTGATACACATGCATTTAGGGTGGTATTGAATTAAGAATGAAAACTAAACAACTGAGCTACACGTATTTTAACACAATTAATATTGTAGAAGTGTATCACTTAATTACTCGTTTTAAAACTGGATAGACATGCCTGTTAGACGATCACACCTGAAACACCTCTATCCAGCACAAAGTTTTAATGCAAATTAATTATATATATATATATATATATATATATATATATATATATATATATATATATATATATATATATGTGTGTGTGTGTGTGTGTAACTTCAAGTGTGATCATTTGTGCTTTTAATTAAGATATGTATTTATTCAAGATGATTAATTGTTAAAACTCTATCTGCGTTTTGGAACATAAAAAATCAATGTACGTCACGCAACTTGGACACTTTGGGCCCGGAAAATTGTCCCTGTTGTGTGGAGGTGCGAGTTAGGCATGGTTCATTATTTTAAGCTAAAAACATGATTTCTTCGACATAGACGATGACGTTACAAGAAGAGTTACATTGCAGAGCACACTGTATTTATAATACGTAGATCTAGGCCAAACCAAAAGTCGTACCCGTATAATTTAAAACCGCGTTTAGACTAATTATTTATGTTGTTATTTCCGCATCTCATGATATTTATCCAAGAACGTGTGAAAATATATTATTCAAGAACGTTAAGCTTTTGTTCTAGTATCTCTTTTCAGCCATCATAGAAGTGTTGTAATTACATTGTGTGAAAATAAAAAAAAAAAATATATATATATATCATTATTCAAGAACGATCACCAGTTAGTCGATTTTTTGTCGTTTCATATTAGTTTTTTATCGATTTTGTCGGTTGTCATTTGCAATTTTCTTAGCAAAGGAAAGGGATATATGACATAAGACACAGATACTGAACTTCTGAAATCCCCGATGGAAGTCTACATTAAGCAAGCCTTCTGACGCACGCTAAAAGCAACCCGAGCTTTATAGAAAACTTGAAACAAACTACTACACTATAGCATACACTTGCCGTTTCAGCTAAGAATAGTTTATAACTATGACTCAGCTAGTCAATTTTCTAATTTCAAGAGAGGAATATTAGTGTGATCTTTTCAGAAACCGAAGGAGGGGGGGGGAGGACCCTCCCCCCTCGCCCAAATCCCCAATGCGTGGGATGGGACGGCATCCAACCCACGTCCTTCCTCTCTGGACACTGACACCACACGACCATCCGGGCGGTAAAAATAGGCAAAATATATATTTGCACTCGAGTCCGAGTCCGCATGCAAAATCTGAGCGTAGACAATGCCTTCTCTTCCCGCAATATCTTACAACTGATTTTAAAACACAACAATGAAGTTATACTATTTATTTCCCTGATTATTCACAATAAACTCATGCTAAAGCTATTTAGAATTTCATTCAATGTTATCTTATGGCATGATGAAATTTTTAACTTAATGCATTGTAGATATAAATCCTAATACACGAACTGGACATTTGCACTTTGGGTATAAGGTTCCGTTTAGAAATATTGCCCAAATATACTTTATATATAGTACACAATGTCCGTCTATTTACCTGTAAACATCTAAAGCTGTAAATGAGTAACAAGTGTAAGTAATACAAAAAGAAGGTTTTTTTTAGAATTTCTTTAAGGTCTATTGTTCAATCACGCACTCTCCTCTAATCAAGAGATAAACAGAGTTTCGTCATCAGAGTAGTCTTCACTGGAGTCTGACATGTCACTGAGCCAATCGACGTGAAATAATAAGTGGTCTAAAGCATCTTGTAATTCTAATTCTATCATTCTTTCTCTCTCTTCAAAAAAATCATGAAGAAGAATCCTTTGAAAGGTGTCTAAATCTCCGTCGGCATTTTGTCTCCTGCGTCGCTGCCTTGGCTGAGGTTTAGCTATGGTTCCATCAAGATAGGCGTGGAGATAGAAACATTTCTCATTGAACGGACACTCGCCTTTGCCTCTTTTAAAATACTTGCAGTGTTTTTCACTGAAAATATAAGAAGAAAAATAGAATAACAGCTTCATCACATTATATCCCAAAAATATGAAAAAAAAAAGAAATATTGAAGACCACTGAGAACAGAAGTATTTCTTAATATCAATCTTTATCCACTAAAACAAAAGACCCTACAAATAATAGTTTATAAAAACATGAGGTGACTTGAAAGATTTTTCTCATACCCAAGAGCATTTTTGTATCCTGCAATCAGCCTTTCTTTGTCCTCCTTGCTCTCCACCCAGTGCTGACTGGGTGTGACAAAATCCGACTTTACACGACACTCTGGACAAGCTCTGTAATAAAACATTTAATATTTATTTTGAGTTGAGGAAAGTGTAACACATTTTTGGGGTGTACCTCATCTAAATATCACTGTCTTTGAACCTGTTACACATTTTGGAAATAGACTGACTGACACCATCAGACTGCTAGGTTTTGTTTACAAAGAAGTTAGGCCCATCCTTCTCAGAATAATCTGTTTACTTTGATAAAATTCAGCCCTGCAGATGATACTGGCAGTATTTTAGACCTACAAGATATGCCACATTCATAAAATTTTGCACTTTTGCACTTTGACTCAACATACCTTATGATTTTATTCTCAAACTGTTTTGCACTCCTCCACTTACGGATACAACTCAAGCAGAAGACGTGAATACAGTTTGAGAGAATTCCAAATCTTCGCTCACTAGGGGGCATCTTTTCCAAGACAGTCTCCATACAAATTCCACACACTTTGTCCTGGCTCCTAGCAACCGCAAATGAAAGTTCCATGTCTTCTTCATGCTGTTTGATACATTGCTAAGGAGACAAAAAAATATGAAGTGATAATTGACAGGACAATGGATGAGTTATCTCTGCAATTAAATTTCTGATACATATTAAGAACAATGAATTTAGAATTGCCAAAATTACTTGCTTTTACTTAAACAATATACATAAAATGAGCAACACTCGATAAATAAAATGAGCAGTAACTGAAACAGTTCTCCCAGTGAAGGGGCACTGAAATTCCAAATAGCTTGTTGGTACAATCTTACCAAACGAGTATTGCTTATTATCAGTTGCTCTCACACTAATGAAAGAAAAATTATAAATTTAGAAGCTACGGATTTGAAACATATTGACAGGTATTGACACTATGAGTTCACAATGACCAGCAATGCATATGTCCCCATTCACCACCTAGGTGACAGAGACAGATGCAGGAGATCACAACAGTTGAAGACGTAACAGAAAAAAAGGAATCGAAAAGGAAATAGATATAATTACCTGCCGATGTTCTTCTTGCATTTTCTCATCAAAGGGATGTATCATTGCCTCTCCACACAAATCACACATTTCTCCATGTAAGTATGGACACGCCTCTTCATAACGACAGTACCCCTTCATGGCAAATGGACAAAGTAAGGTCTGAGCAACTTCAGGGTCAACATGTGGGAGGGGAGATGTGGGGATGCTCATGTCAGCGTCAGGAAGTCCACTCCTGGTGGCCGAGGAGTAAGACAGAGCAGCTGTTCAACAAAAAGGAATATATATATAAATATCAATGATATGAAAAACAACTGCAATTCTCAGAAAAAAAAAGAAATCCAACCATGTAAGTAATATTTATTAGATAAATTGGATCTTGCACATCTACTGTACAGTAAAACTATAGCCTTTATTTACAGAGGCATTGTCAAGACTGATGCTAGTTCAAATCTTTTTTTAGATAGCTTGTTCTCCATAATTCACTTATTTTTTTAAAGATTTGAAAATATTACCCTGCATAAAAATTCCATTTTATATAAAATGAATAAATCCACTTTGGATTAAAAAATGAAGAGCTAAAAACTNCATATATATATATATATATATATATATATATATATATATATATATATATATATATATATATAAATATCAATGATATGAAAAACAACTGCAATTCTCAAAAAAAAAAAAAAAGAAATCCAACCATGTAAGTAATATTTATTAGATAAATTGGATCTTGCACATCTACTGTACAGTAAAACTATAGCCTTTATTTACAGAGGCATTGTCAAGACTGATGCTAGTTCAAATATTTTTTTAGATAGCTTGTTCTCCATAATTCACTTTTTTTTAAAGATTTGAAAATATTACCCTGCATAAAAATTCCATTTTATATAAAATGAATAAATCCACTTTGGATTAAAAAATGAAGACCTTGACTTTCCAGAAAAAGTTTTTTCTTAAATTGAACTGAAGAACATAATCTTTAGAAGTACTTGGTGAAAATCATCTGTACAAGCACGAGGGATCCAAGGCATTACCTGCCCCAGCGTAGGGCTGACCAGGTACGAACTCTGCGGCCTTGACCCACTTTTCTGGATCCAAGGTCACAGAAGTCAGATCAGTTTCTATTCCACTGTCAGCTGAACCAGTCTTCTTCTTTAAGGTGACCATTTTGTGTGAGGCACATTGGGAGTCTGCTTTGAGCAAAGGGACAGGTTTTGGTGCAGGGTTATGAGCAATATGTTTAGCTGAGACTTCTTTGGGTCTGGTGTGGTCATATCTGAAATATTACCAGAGAGTTTGTCTATTTTTCTTTAAAAAAAAAAAAAAAAAAAAAAAAAAAAAGAAAGAAAGAAAACTGCCCACAGTGGGAAATTTTAATTCTGTCATTGTTTCTTTCCTATTTACCTGCAATGATTGCCATAAGTACAGTGTCCTTTGAGGTAATAGCGGCAGATGTTGGATGGCCTGTTGTCTCTGTCATGGGAAAACATGCAGTGCTCCCCCTGGCGGCAAACTCCACTTGTGTAGTAGCTGTAAAGATAANCAGCTGTTCAACAAAAAGGAATATATATATAAATATCAATGATATGAAAAACAACTGCAATTCTCAGAAAAAAAAAGAAATCCAACCATGTAAGTAATATTTATTAGATAAATTGGATCTTGCACATCTACTGTACAGTAAAACTATAGCCTTTATTTACAGAGGCATTGTCAAGACTGATGCTAGTTCAAATCTTTTTTTAGATAGCTTGTTCTCCATAATTCACTTATTTTTTTAAAGATTTGAAAATATTACCCTGCATAAAAATTCCATTTTATATAAAATGAATAAATCCACTTTGGATTAAAAAATGAAGAGCTAAAAACTTTCCAGAAAAAGTTTTTTCTTAAATTGAACTGAAGAACATAATCTTTAGAAGTACTTGGTGAAAATCATCTGTACAAGCACGAGGGATCCAAGGCATTACCTGCCCCAGCGTAGGGCTGACCAGGTACGAACTCTGCGGCCTTGACCCACTTTTCTGGATCCAAGGTCACAGAAGTCAGATCAGTTTCTATTCCACTGTCAGCTGAACCAGTCTTCTTCTTTAAGGTGACCATTTTGTGTGAGGCACATTGGGAGTCTGCTTTGAGCAAAGGGACAGGTTTTGGTGCAGGGTTCTGAGCAATATGTTTAGCTGAGACTTCTTTGGGTCTGGTGTGGTCATATCTGAAATATTACCAGAGAGTTTGTCTATTTTTCTTTAAAAAAAAAAAAAAAAAAAAAAAAAAAAAGAAAGAAAGAAAACTGCCCACAGTGGGAAATTTTAATTCTGTCATTGTTTCTTTCCTATTTACCTGCAATGATTGCCATAAGTACAGTGTCCTTTGAGGTAATAGCGGCAGATGTTGGATGGCCTGTTGTCTCTGTCATGGGAAAACATGCAGTGCTCCCCCTGGCGGCAAACTCCACTTGTGTAGTAGCTGTAAAGATAAAAATACTGGTTCACAGGTTTTGTTAAATGCTGGCTAAAAAGACACTGCTTTTATAAACTGATTGCAGTGACTCTATGTGATAACTTATTTCTGCTGGCCAGGCTTTTGTATAAAAATAAGTTAATATAGAATTTTAAATCTGTCTAATTGGGGTTACCTGAAATCTTTTATTCAGGTGATGAACTCGAATCAATTGCTGCTGATAGACAGTTCCCTTAGTTATGTTTGTGCACAATTGAGGATTTAAAGATAAAATAATTGTCATGCCTCTGATCTAAAGCTCAAGGTTCAGTTAGCATGGCAGCATGTTTTTTTTCTTCTAAAAGTACTGTTGGCAGTTCAGTGTTTGAATAAATAAGACCTTCATATGATGCCTTAACTGTACAGTTTATAGATATTATCTTTTTTGTTCAAACCAGGGGCAGATTAAGGCCGTCTTCTGGGTCTTCCGGAAGACGGTCAGAATTTCAAGTTTACCTTGATGGGTATGTAATTTTTTCTCTCGGAAGACGGTCAAAAATGGAGGATGGATCAATAAAGATAATTCAGAAGCCTATCAGAAAATATCTCTGGATCCGCCCCTGCAAACTTACCACATTGCTAATTACAATATTACTGCTGTAGTGCTCAAGAGGAACTTATTAAAGCTTAGAAATGGGGAAATTTTTTCACTTTTTACAATTTACTAAGCAAATTACCAGGTATTTGTTAATTCTTTACAAGTAAAGTGTATCAATTTCCGCAATTGTACAGTACTAATACTAGTACGAAAATCCTTATATACAAAGGGCGTAAAATTGTTTATTCCACACTCTGTGTACATACTGTGTTGTAATGATAAGTGCTACATATTAAAATCAATCGCACGGTGTCAAGTAATTATTGCATTATTTTTATAACGTTATAAATTAAATATGAGCATAAAAACACCCAGTTTTCTCAATCATTTAAAATGGCTGTTTAAATTCAAGCAAGTGCAACTGAGGTTCGGGTGTTTTATTTATGTACTACATGAATTGTTTTTTGCAGCTATGTCACTGTCATATGTCGAGATTCAACATACCGGCATAACACTTGACCACGGGGAGATGCTGCTTCCGCCATTTTTTGTTGTTATTAGTCATCTCCACACATTTTCCTTTTCTTCGCGTTGACCTCGGTCTCAGATAAACGTGCTTGTATGAAATTTGGTAGGGCACAGGTGCAATCGAGGCTTCCTCATTGTGCTTTGTTGCAAAAGCCCTGCGCAATCACAAATGAACATTCAAATACAAATTATATTTTGTGAAAGTTTGATAAATTGCAATAGAAAAATTAAAAACGTGTTTCTTTTTATTTTGATGACATAGTTTAATGGGAATAACTGCACTGCATGACATTCCTGAAAAAAGTCGAAACAAATGTTCGATTCTGGAAGTAGCTTTGTGCGAGCAAGGGTGTAGAAAAGAATGATTAGTAGATTCCGGTTAAAAGTACAGAGGTTACTTCACGAAACAAGGTAAATCTTTAAACTTCTTCATTTGAGCTTGCATAAGTCAACCTACAAGCGACTTCAGGTACAAGGCTTTATTGTATTTCTGTCAGTACAATATACGTCCCGTCATAGTTGGTAATCCCCGTGAGAAATTCCCCATCTGTTGTTCAGAGTTTGTCACTTATGATATGACAGATAAGAAAGTCTTATTTGTAAAAATATAACTATTCAGCAGTTATTTTTTAAAATATTTTTTGAAAGTATTACCACAGGGGTGACTAGAGTTACATATTTCAGTTTTCTCATATAAAACACCAAATGATAATAATAATAATAATAATAATAAATTGAGCAATGACACTTTTGTTAATGCGTGATCATGATTTTGTGATTCATGCCAACGGTTTCCATGTCGCAGAATGACTTGCACCCAATTATTTAGTTGACATGCTTTGACTGTAGAATAGGTTTGCCTGAACCATGACAGCTAGTGTATCACATGTCAATCGCCTTAGTCAGTAGAGGAATCTCAAAACCATCTAAAATGACTCTACTTGTATGCTTAGAAATAATGTTCCAGTTTTCTCCCCCCAAATCGCCACAACTCTTAATATTATTTGGGTCTTATTCTATTGTTAGTCAATGTTGATAAATCATGCATTTTAGATGTGTAACAATTGTCTGTGATCATGAATCATCTTCATTTTATAATTTTGTTTGTTTACACCCAGAAATATGGAAAAGATACAACACATAAATTAAAAAGCAACACATTGGCCAATATTGAGTGCATAAGGAACAGATTAAGATAAATATATTTTTCCTTCATATTTTTGCTTGAATAAGTATACATGTATCTTCTTTCAGGGAATATTAGACTAGCATATTATTAGAACAATGAGGTGTTCAGGCTATAAGCTCTTAATTATAGCTGCTTTGGTGTGTGGTGTATGTAGACAGGCAGAGGGCTTTACAAGTAAGTATTAACTAGATTTACTGTTACATTGTCTTGATCAACATAATATCAAACGTGAGTTATCATATTGAACAATTGGTTGTATACACGTACCAATCTTTAGAGGTGTGGGCACTTACACTGCTGATAAAGCTCATATCTTTGTTATCTGTCAATCTGAAAAGAAATGCACCTTGTTTGAAAAATGTAATAACGTTAAACCTTATCACCATAATTACTGTTGACCTCAGTTTTTTAATGTTAAACATGGTATACAGATCTTCTGGGCCATCCAACTGTCCTAACAAATCAAATTGTCATGTCCTAAAAATCTTTTAAAACATTGTAAGAAATATTAGCCATCTACTAAGAAAATTTTTTTGGGGAAAATTTTTGTATGATACTATCTAACATATTTTAATACTCGAGATTGTGTCCACCATTTTTCCCCATTGTGTAGTTCTTTTTCTTTTTCACAGGATATATGGATGACAGTTCTGACTGCAGCCAGACTGAGACAGTTACCAGTTATGGAGAAGTGACTGTCAAAGCTACAGGGACTGGAGGATCTGCATTTCTGCCATCATCTTGTAGAATGACCTTCAAAGCTTTTTTAAGTACATCTAAACTGAAAGTGACTTTTGATTACTTTAATATGCCAAATTGTGATACAGACCTCTTCATTTATGAATCTTTTACAACTACATCATTAAGGGTGAGTGAGAAAATTATGTATTTAACATCTCTCTCTCCCTCTCTCTCTCTCTCTCTCTCTCTCTCTCCTCTTCTCCTCTCTCTGTAGAATTGTTGGCTTGTCCTTCTGCCTGTCTTTTGTCTTGCATCTTTTCAATCCTTCCTGTCTTCACTGGTTTCTCACTATGTATCTTTCTGTATATACCAGTCCCTAGTGTTAGTGTCTAAGCTGCCCTTCATCCCACTGTTGGAGCACATGGTGGAGATTATGGCTCCAGAATACTTTGATAATGGGGAACCCAGCTTAGAAGCAGGTTTGTGAAATTTAATTGTAATGTTTTTTTTTTTTTTTTTTTTTTTTTTTTTTTTTTTTTTANACAGTCTGTGAAATAAGCTTTTTAGAGTGGTTGTCCCATCGGACAACCATTTAAAATTTTTTGGTTGCCCCCATTCACTTTTGGTTGCCCAAATAAATCGAAGAAAACTAATAGAAAACTTCCTAGATCCCTTTTTATTTCAGCGGGGTGAAGGCTAACATGCGCTTTGTAGCTTTAAACAGATTAACTTATGCAAATAAACAGATGATGAGCAGTTTAATGTTAAAGAACCTCAACAGCAACAATGCAGCATTTGGTTACGTCTTCCTTCCCACAAACAATTATTTTAAGAACAACTATACATCATCATACATATTGTACAAATACTAGAATATTTTCTAGTAAAAGAAGGCATTCCAGGTAAAGATTTGAAAACAAGCCAAAATCATAAATGAAGAATATTTTTCTATATATTTCCTGCTAGCAAAATGTAATAGCATTCTCCATTTCTCTGCCTCTTAGTCTATTAATTTAGTTTGAAATGTGGACACATTAATTTATTATATGTACAATTATCATAGTAAACAATTAAAATGCTGCATTTTCTGCCATCTCCATCTCATTTACTTCATCACATTCATCTTCACCTTTGTAATAATGATATAGGAAGTACAAGACATGTTGGACAGCATGGACAGACAAGGTGATCAGAATATAGAGTGTCTGTATATAAGAAGGAATGTCACTTTATTAAACATGATGAAATGTCTGGTTTAGACTAGTCTCTGAAGGACAAAAAAATAAAAACACTATTTTCTTCCATCTTCATAGATCTCATCTACTTCATCAAATTCATCTTCATCATTCCCCATTGAAGTAACCAAAGAATCTGTAACTACCTCCTGCTAGAAAAGACAGAAAAGTAAATAATTCAATACAAAATATCATACAGTACCATAAAAATGAAAAAAAATTGGAAGACTAATTCTTCTCTTTCCAGAAAAAGTGCTTGTCTAAAAACAAATCAATCGTCATCAGAATTTCACTTTTATCTTTTATTAAAAAGAAGTTAAAATACTTAAAAGCAGAAAACAAGAACAAGTACAAATTTAAAAAAATTAAAAAATTGAAACTTACATGTTCTCATTAAAACTCCTAGACTAGACGTTCAGATTCTGCCTTCTGCAGCCGATGCAAGCAGTCCACCGCGACACTTTGATTAGCAGCAGGAGCCGCCAGTACTCGTGCCGTCGCTTTGACGTGCGGCTCTGAGGACTTGTGCTTCTTAATGCCATCTTACTGTAGTGAGGTTTTGCCATGAACGAAAGGTGAAGAATCTCCTTGAGAGCATGCTTTGCACGCTGAGCTATGCTGTCAAAAATGCAAGTGCGCCCGGATTGCCGTGACGGTAGAAATCCTCTTCGGCGTGTATCTGTTTAATTTCGTATAATTTCTTTTTCTTTGACATTTCTGGCTCAGCTGTTTGTTAGGGTAACCTTTATCCGGGGTTTGCACCGTCAAAATATTTCAGAAACTTCTCCATGACAAAAGTTGGATAGAGAAACACGCGGTAGATAGAAGCACAATGATAAAATTGAAGTTATGTCCGCCATTGTTTCATTTCGACCAATGAAAAAGCGGCAAACATGACACCACCACCCCCCTCCCCAGGCATTACGTCATCTTCCTGTCTAAACGACCAGTTACTGGCAGTGCTATAAATAACTGTAGATCTAATAATAGCAACAGAGATTCTGCACAAACACGTCGAAGTCAGCAGGTCGGTTACTGCGACAGTGAATCTTGTGGAAAACATAACGATTTAGGTTAACCTAAAATTTTGTTTTCTGGGTAGATTTTGACAAAGATTTACTCTTTATGTCCATAAATTATTCAGTTGCCCGACCGGACAACAACTTCGTAATTTTAAGTTGCCCGACGTACTTTTTAGTTGTCCCGGGCAATCGGACAACCGCTTATTTCGCAGACTGCTTACAGTGTTGCATATATGCTGAAAAGTGAAAAAAAAGCATAACTACTAAAATAGTGGCCTGATCATGCCAATTTTCTAACTTGACCTGCGTTTTAGTAAGATAGATTACTCCTGTGAGTTTCATGACAACAGGCCTATCGGTTTTTTTTTTTGGAATGTGTTTACAGTGTTGCATATATGCTGAAAAGTGAAAAATAAAGCATAACTTCTACAATAATGACCCGATCATGCTGATTTTCGAACTTGACCTGCGTTTTATGAATATTCATCAGCTCTGTAAATATAAAGCCAAAATGTAAAGCTGCCTTCCACTTATCGTGTTTACAATGAAACAGTACAGTAAATATATATAGATGTGTCTGTACATATTGCCATCACCTGCCTCTGGCGTCCCCGTCATCTGTGTCTGTACATAAAAATACTGGTTCACAGGTTTTGTTAAATGCTGGCTAAAAAGACACTGCTTTTATAAACTGATTGCAGTGACTCTATGTGATAACTTATTTCTGCTGGCCAGGCTTTTGTATAAAAATAAGTTAATATAGAATTTTAAATCTGTCTAATTGGGGTTACCTGAAATCTTTTATTCAGGTGATGAACTCGAATCAATTGCTGCTGATAGACAGTTCCCTTAGTTATGTTTGTGCACAATTGAGGATTTAAATATAAAATAATTATCATGCCTCTGATCTAAAGCTCAAGGTTCAGTTAGCATGGCAGCATGTTTTTTTTCTTCTAAAAGTACTGTTGGCAGTTCAGTGTTTGAATAAATAAGACCTTCATATGATGCCTTAACTGTACAGTTTATAGATATTATCTTTTTTGTTCAAACCAGGGGCAGATTAAGGCCGTCTTCTGGGTCTTCCGGAAGACGGTCAGAATTTCAAGTTTACCTTGATGGGTATGTAATTTTTTCTCTCGGAAGACGGTCAAAAATGGAGGATGGATCAATAAAGATAATTCAGAAGCCTATCAGAAAATATCTCTGGATCCGCCCCTGCAAACTTACCACATTGCTAATTACAATATTACTGCTGTAGTGCTCAAGAGGAACTTATTAAAGCTTAGAAATGGGGAAATTTTGCACTTTTTACAATTTACTAAGCAAATTACCAGGTATTTGTTAATTCTTTACAAGTAAAGTGTATCAATTTCCGCAATTGCACTAATACTAGTACGAAAATCCGGATGCGCTTCGCTATGCCGAAGGTTCGCTATGCCGAAGGTTCGCTGTGCCGAGGGTTCGCTATGCCGAAGGTTCGTTATGCCGAGGGTTCGCTGAGCCGAAGGTTCGCTATACCGAGGGTTCGCTATGCCGATTGTTTTTAAAAAGATGTTAATTTTACACACACCCAATAACTACAACAAGTTCGCCAAAAATAATTAGAGAATGTTTTCTTGTCAGTAATTTCCTAAATGTGGGTGACGCCCATAGTGCCAAAAATAATTAATAAATTAACTTACAGAACTGATTATTTAAAGCGATTTAAGATGTTTATGTCTATAAGGATAAACCTTCAATGCGCAGTTTTAACAAATTCAAATGGTACGGATGGAAGAAGAGAACTTTTAAAACTCGTTTATTTTCAAGAAAGGCCACTGCTCGCCACGTTACATAACAAGCACAATGGGTGATGGGTAGCCTTTTTCGGCGCAGCGAACCCTCGGCACAGCGAACCATCGGCATAGCGAACCTTTGATTTTGGGGCTCCGGAAAAACTTAGCCAATTTTAGACCAATTTTCCGGTTTTGTCGGCACAGTGAACCCTCGGCACAGCGAACCTTCGGCACAGCGCGCTGTCCCCGAAAATCCTTATATACAAAGGGCGTAAAATTGTTTATTCCACACTTTGTGTACATACTGTGTTGTAATGATACATATTAAAATCAATCGCACGGTGTCAAGTAATTATTGCATTATTTTTATAACGTCATAAATTAAATATGAGCATAAAAACACCCAGTTTTCTCAATCATTTAAAATGGCTGTTTAAATTCAAGCAAGTGCAACTGAGGTTCGGGTGTTTTATTTATGTACTACATGAATTGTTTTTTGCAGCTATGTCACTGTCATATGTCGAGATTCAACATACCGGCATAACACTTGACCACGGGGAGATGCTGCTTCCGCCATTTTTTGTTGTTATTAGTCATCTCCACACATTTTCCTTTTCTTCGCGTTGACCTCGGTCTCAGATAAACGTGCTTGTATGAAATTTGGTAGGGCACAGGTGCAATCGAGGCTTCCTCATTGTGCTTTGTTGCAAAAGCCCTGCGCAATCACAAATGAACATTCAAATACAAATTATATTTTGTGAAAGTTTGATAAATTGCAATAGAAAAATTAAAAACGTGTTTCTTTTTATTTTGATGACATAGTTTAATGGGAATAACTGCACTGCATGACATTCCTGAAAAAAGCCGAAACAAATGTTCGATTCTGGATGTAGCTTTGTGAGAGCAAGGGTGTAGAAAGAATGATTAGTAGATTCCGGTTAAAAGTACAGAGGTTACTTCACGAAACAAGGTAAATCTTTAAACTTCTTCATTTGAGCTTGCATAAGTCAACCTACAAGTGACTTCAGGCACAAGGCTTTATTGTATTTCTGTCAGTACAATATACGTCCCGTCATAGTTGGTAATCCCCGTGAGAAATTCCCCATCTGTTGTTCAGAGTTTGTCACTTATGATATGACAGATAAGAAAGTCTTATTTGTCAAAATATAACTATTCAGCAGTTATTTTTTTAAATATTTTTTGAAAGTATTACCACAGGGGTGACTAGAGTTACATATTTAAGTTTTCTCATATAAAACACCAAATGATAATAATAATAATAAATTGAGCAATGACACTTTTGTTAATGCGTGATCATGATTTTGTGATTCATGCCAACGGTTTCCATGTCGCAGAATGACTTGCACCCAATTATTTAGTTGACATGCTTTGACTGTAGAATAGGTTTGCCTGAACCATGACAGCTAGTGTATCACATGTCAATCGCCTTAGTCAGCAGAGGAATCTCAAAACCATCTAAAATGACTCTGCTTGTATGCTTAGAAATACTGTACCAGTTTTCTCCCCCCAAATCGCCACAACTCTTAATATTATTTGGGTCTTATTCTATTGTTAGTCAATGTTGATAAATCATGCATTTTAGATGTGTAACAATTGTCTGTGATCATGAATCATCTTCATTTTATAATTTTGTTTGTTTACACCCAGAAATATGGAAAAGATACAACACATAAATTAAAAAGCAACACATTGGCCAATATTGAGTGCATAAGGAACAGATTAAGATAAATATATTTTTCCTTCATATTTTTGCTTGAATAAGTATACATGTATCTTCTTTCAGGGAATATTAAACTAGCATATTATTAGAACAATGAGGTGTTCAGGCTATAAGCTCTTAATTATAGCTGCTTTGGTGTGTGGTGTATGTAGACAGGCAGAGGGCTTTACAAGTAAGTATTAACTAGATTTACTGTTACATTGTCTTGATCAACATAATATCAAACGTGAGTTATCATATTGAACAATTGGTTGTATACACGTACCAATCTTTAGAGGTGTGGGCACTTACACTGCTGATAAAGCTCATATCTTTGTTATCTGTCAATCTGAAAAGAAATGCACCTTGTTTGAAAAATGTAATAACGTTAAACCTTATCACCGTAATTACTGTTGACCTCAGTTTTTTAATGTTAAACATGGTATACAGATCATCTGGGCCATCCAACTGTCCTAACAAATCAAATTGTCACGTCCTAAAAATCTTTTAAAACATTGTAAGAAATATTAGCCATCTACTAAGAAAACTGATCATCCAGTTCTCTGGGGAAAATTTTTGTATGATACTATCTAACATATTTTAATACTCGAGATTGTGTCCAGCATTTTTCCCCATTGTGTAGTTCTTTTTCTTTTTCACAGGATATATGGATGACAGTTCTGACTGCAGCCAGACTGAGACAGTTACCAGTTATGGAGAAGTGACTGTCAAAGCTACAGGGACTGGAGGATCTGCATTTCTGCCATCATCTTGTAGAATGACCTTCAAAGCTTTTTTAAGTACATCTAAACTGAAAGTGACTTTTGATGACTTTAATATGCCAAATTGTGATACAGACCTCTTCATTTATGAATCTTTCACAACTACATCATTAAGGGTGAGTGAGAAAATTATGTAATTAACATATGTTATTATGAATCTCTCTTTCTCTCTCTCTCTCTCTCTCTCTCTCTCTCTCTCTCTCTCTCTGCAGAATTGTTGGCTTGTCCTTCTGTCTGTCTTTTGTCTTGCATCTTTTCAATCCTTCCTGTCTTCACTGGTTTCTCACTATGTATCTTTCTGTATATACCAGTCCCTAGTGTTAGTGTCTAAGCTGCCCTTCATCCCACTGTTGTAACACATGGTGGAGATTATGGCTCCAGAATACTTTGATAATGGGGAACCCAGCTTAGAAGCAGGTTTGTGAAATTTAATTGTAATGTTTTTTTGTTTTTTTTTTTTTAGGAAAAACTCTCCTGTGGATCCAGCAAACCCACTAGTTTTGTAACTTCTGGACGGTATGTAACATTGTTCCTCAGTCGTGGGACCTCTGTTGGACACCGTTTTACCATAAAAATCAGCGCACAGGATGATGACACTGATTGTAAGTTTATTGGATCAGAAAACTTTGGTGAAAAGTCATGTTCATATGTATATACAGTAGACTCTTACTCAAAAATGGGTTTGATAAAACCACTAAGACTGCATCAGTTAAGAAGTAAGGGTTAATTTACATAATGTTATTTTCAGTGCTGTTCTGAGTTAGATTTTTTGTTATTGTTATGGGTTACTGGGAGTAGCTTCTTGTGATTGTGCTACTTTCCAGTTTCCTTAATATTGAAGACATTCCTTTTCTTTTGACCATTTTGAGGATTTGTCATTTTCTCTCTCTCCCCCTCTGATACAAAAATATACTTCTGTTTGAAGTTTATTTTGGGTTTAATTTCAGTACCAACATTTCTTGATTTCCAGCCACCAAGTGAACCTTTAATCCCCAAACCCTCCCCCCAATCCAAAATGGCCACTTTCATTGTAAGCATAACATTCACTTTTCAATTTCAGATGATTACAGTGACCTCCCTGGAAAAGTGTTCAACCTTGCTATTGGTGTTTTTGTGGCCATTGTGGTTGGGGTCGTGGCCGTAATCGTGATTTGCATTGTTGTTTGTATTTGTTGCTGTTGTCGTAACAACAGAAGAAGCACTGTCCGTCAGCCAGCTGCTGCTGCTGCTACAACCACTACCACTGTTACAGGTAAGGTTGAGGGTTAAGGTTGTCTTCTGGGATTTTAACTCTTTCTCTAAGATGCACATAAATTAAGTATTCTAGTTTATGATAAATTGTAGACCAAGAATTTCCTGTTGGAGATTGATGGGGTGGAGCGGGGTGGGGTGGGGGTGGGGGGTGGGGGGGGGTGGAGACAGAGGGGTATTAAGTAATCTTTATGACTTTACTCAGAGAATATCTGTACTCAACAGCTGGCAAGATATGAAACAGAGTGAAAACTGGATATTTAGTAACTGCTCTACAAATTTGAAGAAAATGTTTATGATAAAGTAGTTGTATTACATATCAAAGTTCTCTCTTAGTTATTCACTGAAATACATAATCTTTCTCCCTCTCTCTCTTCAGGCAGCACAGCTTATCATACAGTTCCCACGAGTGGGCCCCCAGGGTCTTACCCCCCAGGTGGTTACACACCTCAAGGTTACCCACCAGGGAGCACCCCATATCCACCCCCAGGGGGCACCCCATACCCACCCCCAGGGGGCACCCCATACCCGCCCCCAGGGGGTACCCCGTACCCACCCCCTGAGTCCACTCAAGGTTACCCAGCACCCCAGGCATATCCCTCTGCTCCCCCTGCCTATGGAGAGGTGGAGTATACCACAAATAATGATCAGGTCAAAATGGCTCCTCCTCCATGATGGATAAATCTAGAAACTGTATGAGGACCATGGTTGATACTACAATGTCGTGATGGATAAAGAGAAACTGCATGGTGGCTATGATTTTTTTGCCATTTCATCCTTATGGATAAGTAGAAACTGTATGGTGCCATGTGTTTTTTTTTTTTGCCATTATTCCATGATGGACAAGTAGCAACTGTATGGGATCCATGGTTTTTACCGTTATGCCATGATGGATATCCAGAAACTGTGTGTCGACCGTGGTCTTTAACTTAAAATATTGTAGATACTGCATGGTGGCCATCTAGAAAGTGTATAGTTCATGGGGATGAATGCCTGCGAAATTGTGTATTTTTCCAGAGTGGATGCCTTGAAACAGCTTACTATTCAAATGTTCCTATAGCCTTTTGATTTGCCGTAATGCAAATATGAAACCATGCTGTATTGTCTTGAAATTGCATTTATGTTGATTTGGTCAATATAGTGAAATCTGTTGGGTTGCTTGTTGATTGAAAAATCTGCAAAATGTATTACCTCCAGTTTTGTATTTGGTGCACTAGTACCTCTGTTTTTAGAAATTTAGTATTAGTATAGGGACAATCATGAAAGTTAGATGGGATTTTGAGAACTTTAGTTTATCTTGATGCTGCCTGGGATTCGATACTTTAGAACTGGGCCCCGTAACTCGAAAGCATCGTAAATCGAAACTCGAATAGCAACATCATATAGAGGCTATAGTGTATTATGTGGGGCAAGTATGGGCGAGTTATGGAATCAAGATGCTTGTGCTCGGTCGCTATGTGCGATACTTTTGAGTTACGGGGCCCTGGCATAACTAGAAATATGTTATGTGCAATTCAACAAAAATCTGTTAACACTGGTGAAAGAATGTGTATCAAAGTGTTGCCAGAAGTTATCAGGAAGTGTATGCTGTACATTAGAACAACCTAGTGTGAATACTAGTATTATCAAATTAAATAGTCAAACGTTCATAGGGTATAAGACTTTGTAACATACTTACTATATATAATATGTAGTCACTGTAGTATAATAGTGTTGTTATAGATTTTATGGCTATTGTCAGCTGATTTTATCCCAAGTAGAAAGTATATAATATTAGTCCAATTATTTTCTGTTTTTCTTCCATCGATGTTCATGTATAAAATCAGTAAACGTGCTCCAAGTTCCAATTTTGTAGCTTTACATTGCAGCTTCCCATGTGGTACAAATGGTATTTTATGTTTCAAACAAACATGTTTATTGCTGAAAGTTTCAGTGTATTATTCAGGTAATACCATGGTATGTTTTCCTTGTAAATTTGTAGAGTCCATTGCCTTTTATATATTACATTATAACACTGTTGTAGACAGTTATACCACTGGTATATATACTATTTGTGTGCTTACTGGAATTAAGGCATAATTCTGCTTTCAGAACACATGTTCATGTACATATATGCTCATGCTTTTAATTATAAATGATTGATGTCTCGTTGTAACAGGGTTTCTCCCAAAAGTTTTTTCCTGTTATGCATATTTGCATAATATATGGTACTCATGCAATGTAAAACTTATTTTCTTACTTCTAAGTAATACAGCAATACTGCAATAAAAGGGAGCAGTCTCTGTACTTTGATCCAACGGTATGAATTTACGCACATTTGTTGATATGGTATTCTTTGCTATTTTTGATATGAAACCATATCAATATGGCAGCCAGATTCCAATTTTCTGCCTATATGGAGATTTTCAGAAAAGTAAAAAAAAAAACTTTTTGAAATTATGTACGGTTCTTTCATTCTTTAATGCTTCCAAACTGAGAGCTGATGTATGTTTTGTCTTGCTATTATGGCAATTTCTCACCAATTTAAAATGCCACTTTTTCAAACATTTTCATAGTTCAACATTTATCATATAAGTTGCTCACTTAAATGCAAACTCGGTGACCTAAACCCATCTCAGTGTTCAAAATGTTTTAATGAAAATTGTGAAATGATTATCAAATTTTTATGTTGGAAATATTATTTATCTTTTTTGTTTGCAGTTAGAAAGATATTGTATTTGCTGTCTCAGAGGCCATGTTGATACAAGATTGGAGAAACAATTCGCTTTTTGAAAAAATATCAGCCAAAATTAGTTTGAATTCTATGTGTCTTTTTATTTTTATTGATTTGCTTTTTTTTTTTTTGTTTTTTTTTTTTTTCTGTGCGTGCATGCATGGGCACATGCCCCTGTAGGTTTATTGTCAAATGGCGAGGTGGGAGCTTTGGACTACAAACTAACTGAATAGAGTATTACATTGTCACAGTTAAATGGTCATTGCAAAGATTTTTTTTTGCTGAAGACTTGAATATTTTAGATTGAAAATCTGTTAAGCGTTCAGTGAAATAGATGTGTTGGTGTTTTTGTTTCATTAGAAGTAACTATGATTAGGAACATAATGAAGATGCAGTGTCCTAATAACTGTTAGAAATACACTACATGCGTGGGATTGTGTTCTGAATACAAAACACTTTGTGTTGTGTTTAGTTTGAATTAAGTCTGGGAGATCTGTAGTAAGGAAATGTACCCTAATTTAAAAACGTTTCTGTTCTGGATGAAATAATGGTGCCTTCTGTTTAAAGGTTCAAACAGCAGCCTTCTATTAGCACAAGTGAGCCATTTCAGAAGCTAATAGAGCAGAGAGTTGGCATTTTCACAACTGTATTGGTGTTTGTTTTGAAATGTTTTAGTGATATTAATTGTTGGAACATAACATTTACAAAACAGATATGTTTCCCTTGAAATATTTTGTTTCAAAGTGATTACCATCACTAAAACATTGCTCTAGATGTGAAATCAAAATGTTGTGTTCAGGTTATATATATATATATATATATATATATATATATATATATATATATATATATATATATATATATATATATATAATGCAAGTTTCTTAATTGCTGGCATGCTTTATCAGGAATGAAGAAATAAATGTCCAAAGAATAAAAAATTTTACCAGTCGGAATATTGTACTATTAGTTGGAGATGTGCATCAACATACGATAATTACTCTTATCTTTTCAATGGGCCAAAATTATCAAACTTTCCTATGCATGATTTTATAATCACAAAAAAGTAATATTTCTGTTTGGCATTTGTGTTGCTTTTACTGTATAGAAAAGAACTATAGAGTAATCTGCTTTTTAATTTTCTTGCTGCCACTCAATAGGAATGTTCTAGTTTCAAAAAATTATGACCTGAAAAAATGCAGTATCTGTAAAATTCAATTTTTTCCATTGAAAAGAATGAGTAATGACCACGTGTGGTCTCCATTATGTCTTTGTGTTTTCTTAGTAGTTATGATGATATTTTTATATGTAGATATATGTTATGTATTGTTTCTGTATACTTTTATGTACTGAAGCAGTTGGTGCTATGAAAATGATATTCATGTTACTTTTTTAGGCCTTGGTTAGAATTTTTGTCAGTACCTGAACTACTTTTTTTTTGATAGTTTTAAATTTTCTGATCAACCCCGCGTTTATATTTGTTAGCTTTTAGTATTATGCAATGATGAAACTTTGGACAAACAAAAATATACATGCACAAACCAGTTTTGTCTTTTTTTTACATTAATAATCTCATTTGTTTTAAAAATAATAAATAAACCTTTTTCCCCCAATATTTTATTCACCTGAAATGTTAACATTCTTTTGTTCGATGTATGAAAATATGAGTGACATAACTGATGAGACATTAAATATGAAAGTGACATTTTGCCCGTTATAGTCTATTATGAAGTTTTTCAAAGGTTACCACAATTTCTCTGGTACTCAAAGCCTATCAATTTATCTTGCTGCTCTGAATAATACCATATAGTTTTTGCTGTGTGGGTTGATAAACCAAGTGGTCTCGATCTTGGGTCAAGAAGCAGACCGTCGTCTTGTTATTTCCCTTTGTGTGTGTGTGTGTGTGTGTGCGCATGCTCTTATTTTAAAATGAATAATTTCACACTTCTGGAATAACAATGGGATGTGGAATGAACTGCGTACAATGATTTTTTTTCAGTGAAAATACTTTCTGTTGGTCTATGGAAAAAAATATGACCAACTGACTGTGCAGCTTCGGACTTGAAATCAAATGCCAAAGAACAATTCAAGTTTGCAGTAAAACAATTTTTATTTCTGTGATTCAGATTCTCATAATACATTGCCTCTTTTAAGTACTGAGATGTCTGAAATTTAACAGAAGGCATGTGAATGAGTATTATAATAATACAGTATTACAGCACAAACATTTTACAGTGACAGTGATAGGAAATTGACATTGTGACAGTCAATTTTAAAAACTTTCATGATCATTACTTTCTGCTCCAGTAACATGCAAAGTTTCAGAGTCCAAGACCTTAAAAATGACTTCCTCTCTGCAAGCTGACTTTCTTCATGAAGTAAGTGCACATAATATAATACGCATAATATAATAAAGGGAACATTAAAGATCCAGAAAAAAAAAATGCTTTCAAGATTTGCCAGTATTACAGTTATTTTTCATTTTCACTCTGAAATTATTTCAATTGTGAATTCAGAGACAATTCGCTATACTCATTATGGCACACATGGAGGAGAGGACTATTAAAACAAAGCACTAAGGCTCTGTTCTCACAACTTTTAGATCGATCTATCACCGCGGGGAGTCTCACTAGATTACTGTCAGATAATCCCCCTTAAGTGTCCGTCCCCGCCTACTACAAGCTTTAAGGGGTAATTAACTTTCGTGTCCGCCCGGCTGACAGCTATTTAGCGTGAACCCCCAGGGAGTTAGGTCGATCCAATGTAGGTCGATCTAATCTATGAGAATGGGGTGTAAATTAAGTGTAACTCGTGGTACTACTGAATGCAGTAGACACTTTCTGCCTTTTCTCCTACTGTAAGTACATGCCTTCTATGGCAGTAAAAGGCTTTCACAACTCCTAATTATGATATGTCAGTAAAGGCAGAGGGGCACATTTGTATTAAAATAAAGTTTTGTAATAAATTATCACTATTTATACTGTAACAGCAGAAATTGTTTTATAAAACCAATGACATTTCACCTAATGCATAGTGGCTCATAATGATAAGAAACGGTAACACTGTCACATTTTATTAGAACCAAAAGTAATTAAAAACTTGATCTGGCGAGGGCTTCTGGATCCATTATTTTGGATTAATATGAAAGATGAAGCTGAAAAGCTACATACAGAAAATAATTGGAAGTGAAAATTGAAACCCAATTTTATGAAATTTTTCAAGCCTTGTGCCTTAAAACATGATCACATTCTAATCAAAACCCACTGCCTTGGTCCTGCCATGAGCTTGAATTCCATAATTGATATTCATAAAATTTTGAAAATAACAATACAACATCATTATCGGTGTCAACTATTGCCATTACCAATGTGACCAGTCATAGATGCTATGCATACTAGTTATTTTTGATTACATATAATGTTCTTGAGGTATTTTTCTACACAGCTCAACCAGTACTGGCCTGTGCTTTGTGCCAGTGGTATCACCTGAGCAATCGAATCCTAAGTGTTCTGCCCAGTTCAACTACAACAAGCACCATGATGAAATCCGGGTATTCCCTTGTTTGTAAATACTTGGAAAAATCCTGCCAATTTTTACAAACGTGTCCTCTTTGACTACGCAAACAATCTGTGCAATCCTGCATTTCTCATTTAATCAACAAACTTTCACCAACAGATCCTGCATCTTCAGTGGCTGGTCCAATCATCTTTTCCCTTCCATTCTTATACTGACCATCATGGCCACTCATCTTTTCTCTTTTATTTCAATCTTCAACAACTATGGCCAGTCACTTGTTTCTCTGGTTTCTTCAGACCAATCCTAATACTTGTTACAAATTCAAAATTCAAAGATGTGTCTTCAGTACTGATTGTAGGTCCTCTGGCAGAGAACTGATGATACTGTGAAGGTGACATTTCAGTTTTTTCACAATGTCCATGGAGACAGGTATATCATTGTTTTGTGCACTAATCTACAATAATAAGAATGAAAATAAAATATAATAACGATAATCATTTGCACTTTAAAGCAACAACTCCAAATCCATAATAAGTATAAAAATCTAATCATGATATGTCAAATTTTTTCAGTTTCATTTTTTTCAAATGTGCAAGGGAACGATATAAAATTCAAATCCTGAAGACTGTTCTTTAGAACCAACTCAGAGTGTAAAACAAAAGTACTCATTTTCTGGTCTGCTTGCAACTATACATGTCAAGAATCAGGTGGTCTGCAAATCTTTAATCAATATTACATGCACACACATATACATGCAGTATAATAATTAACAAAGAGTCCAACAGAGCTGGCAAAAACATGCACACTTTGGATTTTCTCATTTTTCATATAATGAAAAAAAAAAAAGAATGAGCAGGTACCATTTTGTCCTTCAACCTTAGCACCAGGTCAACAATCTCCACTTCCTGCTTGTCCCTCACCCAGTTCACTAGGTCCTGAAAAGTATTTAGGATGTAATAGGATTTGATCAAATCTCCTTAATGCATAACATCAAACTACAGTCTATAAATGAGAAGGACAAAAAAAATAATAAAATCACATGGAACTTTCATTGTAAATTAAGAAAAAAGTTCACTATGAAACAATAATATTTTCACCAATGTTACTAAGTAAGTAGCGCCTCTTGAACATAAATTTAAGCTTTGATTCATAATAATACCCCAAAACTGCGAAAGATTTTTTTTATCATTCACCCTAAACAATCATCCTTTTACCTCTTTACACAAAGCCTCCAGGTGCAAAGCCTGTAACTTCTGGTTCACTTCTTTCTGCCTGAAGTGATACCAGCCATCAAAATTTGGGCACTTGAAAAACTTCCTGGAATACATAATTTCTGATAAATAGCTTGCACTTTCTAGCAATTTTCACAATTTGCATTTCAGAAACATACAATGACAAATAATATAAATGTTATCACGATCTTTCAAAGCTAAGAACAAAATTGAAAACTATCACAAAACAAAAACCCTTTAACCATCTACAGTATATTTTAGTCATTGACACATGGTGACTATCATATCAATACATTCCTACTTAGTCAATTTATTCTTGTTTATTCACTACACTTAGAAGACTACAATGATATATGTACAGTCCTACTTATATGCACAGTCATTGATCACTGAAGTTTTGTTTAGTGTATTGACAACTACTTAGTCTGTAGTCTGGTAACTGATGACTTCCATACCTGCACAGTTTATTGACTACTGAAGACTATGACCATATATCTATAGTACAGTCTTGTCTGTTTATTGAAGACTACCATACCTGTATAGCCCTATCTGTCTACTAAGGACTACCATACCTGTATAGTCCTATCCGTCTACTAAGGACTACCATACCTGTATAGCCCTATCTGTCTACTAAGGACTACCATACCTGTATAGTCCTATCCAGTCCCCCTTCAACCCAGAAGTCAATTGTGGTCCAGAGTGGTCTAAAGTCTTCAAGAACTCCTCTACATTGAATGGTTTCAGAACAGGTGGTCCCTTTAAGACATAATTATATTAATTTTGTTAAAAGACATTGAAAGTTATTGATATACAAATTGGAGAATTCAAAATGTAGGGAACACAAGACATACAATAAAGATTTACACAAAAACATAATTTTTTGTACTTACATGATCATAGTACACTCTGAAATTTTTACTAACAATTCATTCATAATCATACTGACAATATTACAGGTCTCAATGAAATTTCTCTAAAACCCCTTACCTTGTGAGGTGATATGTTCCTTTGCAGTGGCATTAAACTTGCCATATACCTCTCCTGTAATGAATCAATTTTTGGAATATTAAAATTTTGCTTTTAAAGTATATTGCTTTAAAATTAGCCTATGTATTCAAGGCTCACTCAATAAGCCAGACTGTGCTATAACAGTTACTGTGACCCAAATTTAAGCAAAGTAGCACTTCATACACAATATCTTACCCCAAAAAATGGTTTAGCAAAACTGGCTAAACTTAATTTTACATGTTAGATATATCAATGAACAACCAGGAGGTGTAAATTCCCAAAAGCATAGAGCAGTTGTCCCAGAATCTGATGTGAACAGGAAATCTTCACTGTAACTGGTGGTTTAATATGAGTCCTGTTTCTTACCAATGGTATCATAAAACTCTGAGTCAGTTCTAATAAGAACCTCCGCAACATTGCACTTTGTACCTCTACTGGCCGCTTCAACTGGATACCCTGAAATAACAAACAATACCAAACTAGTTACAGCTAATGACATGATAATATATCTTTCCTTTAACCTCATTTTATGTGTTTAGTATATCACATCAAATTTATTGAAAACATTCTCATCACACCATGCCGATCTCAGTACTATATGGTTAAGTTTCCTTCACCCAGCAACACTCTTACTCAAAATACCAAATCTATATGGTGATAATAAAGGCAGGTTTCCAGCAAACTGATATCTATGATGCCATGCAACTATAATTATGCCAACAATACTTCATATTTATGGTATTTTGACTTGTAATATCCAGTTGCATTATCTGTAATGAAGTCTTATTATACTTAATGTTTGCCATCAAAAAAGATAATGAATTTCATACCTTGCTCAGTCTCTTCAGGATAGTCTTGTCCTTACTGAGATAGGGTTTGTACCTGGTATAGACACCTGAAATAAAGAGGATATCTACACATAAATATTATAGTAAATAAATTTTCAAATTTTTATCCTAAAAATTTGATAACAAAGCCTGAGATTAGTGAATGTTTTTCTATCTATTCCAAAAATTGAAAATATAACAGATGATCACTGTTCTTCATAGGGGATCAAATATAGATTTGCTTTAGTATTCCTCATTCAGGCATACAATTTTAAGAAATCAATGGCACGATCAGTTAAAATTCAATCAATTGCCACATTATAAAAATTCAACTTCACAAGCAAAAGTGAATATTCACTAGACCAGCTGAAAAAGGCTTGGGGCATTTTGTGCATTTAGAAAAGGAAACAAAACACAGGCACTTGAACAAGAAAATACTGCACAAATACAACCTTACATTAATTTAATAGTAATACACTGTCAGACAATCCAGACCAATAGAACTTAACAAAAACTTTGAAACACTGATACAATAAAGGGCACAAGATATAACTATAATGGCCTGGATCGAAAAATATTTTTCCTTTGAGAGAGTTAAGAAGGCAGAAATCAACATCTTTTAAAGAAAAGGGTGAAAAAAAAACCCAACATTTGTAAACTACAAAAATCATAAAGAGGTGCCCTTTGATTAGCCCAACTTAAGAATTCACAGCTAGACTACTAAAAGACATGCTATTCTAAAAAGGATGGGACTGAACTATTTTACACCTTCAAGTTACTACTACTGTAAAAGTCCACAACAATACAGAAACACTGCATTTGATGGTGATGCACTGGTTGGGGTTACAAGTAATTTGTAATACGGAATAATGACCAATCTTTTTTCGAATGCAGCCAACAAAGTAAAACCCTGTGCCTTTCCCTATATTTGCATGATTTCAGAGAAGCAAATATCAATTCAGAATCTACTCTTTTATATAACAAAACTGCAAAAAAACAATGTCACTAAGAGGCCTATTGTACGCCATTCTGAGGACAAATAGAAGAAGGAATGATGCACCAAGGTGTAAAAAATATTGGCAGTTAATGTTATGTCAGACAGACATTTCTGCGTTTTCTCAGTGCTGAGTTTCACCACCTGGTGTGCCATAGTGATTATAATAGAATACAGCAGGTTAATACAACACAACAATCTATGAGAGTGAAGTGATTCTAAAGAAGTAGGAAAATATTTCTACAATAGCAAAAAAAAAAAAAAAAAAAAAAAACTATTAAGAGAGCATCATGCAGACTGACCTGGTTTAGAATCTAAAGTTTTCAAGCTACTGGATTTTTTCAATTTCAGCACTGCACGCGGAGAAGCTGTGAGTGGAGAGGACAGACGTCAAACAAAAAACAATTGCAACGGAACTCATTACTTTCCAATGTCTTAAACTAAAAATTTGATATTGTGTTAATTTCTTTTAATTGGTGATAAAATCAAAGTAAAACTCAATAGGTCCAATTAAAACCTAAATGAATTTTTCTAATAAGAAGCATCTCCTGAAATTTGGATGTTAGAGATATCAATGTATTGGCATCACCTGGAAGTATTTTTCATTATATGAAAGTCACAATCAAATTTAGCAAATCACATCTGACTGAAGACGAACACAAAGTTTTCACAATCATTTTCTCATTCTGGCATCTTTGTTCATATTCATCAATCTCCATAACATAAACTACCAGCAAATATTCTGTAAAGAGACCAAAAAGGCTTACTGTCCCCAGTTGCACAAGGACCAATGGGCTTACCATCTCCACTTGTTTCTCCTATGCGTACAATATTGGGCCAGTGCTGAAGAGTTTTGGCAAAGAAAGGGTTGGTAACACCAAGAATCACAGCTGGCCTGAAAATATAACAACTTCTAAATTCAGACTGAAATATTCAAAGAAACCAAATCTTGATAAATATACGTCTGTCTTAAGAATTTCATGTACCTGTAACCACCTGAAACATTTATCATGCCACCTGGTGGCAATTCATCTGGTGCTTTAAGATACTCTTACATAAATCTCATAATAAAAAGAAACACTGGAATAGAAAATGCCCATTTTTGGCATGTCATACAACATCCAATGACCCTCTTTCATGATAACTCTCTTTCACACATTAAAAAAGGATGAAATTCTTGACATAGAGAAAAATTCCAATGCAAATGCCTTTATAATAATGACTTGGTTATACACTGGTTGGTAAAACTTACGGTGCTTGAGTCTTAGTTGTGTATTCCTTGAACTCACTGTCGTGTATTGTAAAGTATGGCCGGTAATCCGAGCAATACTTCAGTGGCCAGATTATACTGGAAATATAAATAAATAAATAAAGGATAAGAAACAAATCACATTTGAATCATATTAATAAAAACATCATTTTACTACATACTTTTATATACTACTGAATATACTATATGAATCGTATCTTAGCAGTATTCAAAAGTATATAATGTAAAATGTTCACTTTCACCTTATATTGACAAATTTTGACTGATGTAAATCACATGAAATTGGAATCTTTTCTGAACAATCACATACAGGGATGGTACCTAATAGGCTAAGCCATCACATTTTGACTGAAAATTAACCAGTATATATGAAAACATATGGCACGAGGGTGACTAACCTGACCAGGGCTTGCACAGCATTGGCACACAGAGTAGGAGAGGAGGCCATTACTACCACAGGCTAAAACAGGTACATTTGTATGTATTAACATGTAAAATAAAACAGATATGCTTTCTTATAAAACAGAGCAGCTTCCATGTAAATTGTCCTCATAGAGCTATACAATAAAGTAAGTACTGTTTTTTGTTTTTAATCAGTATCATGACTGAGCACTCAAAAATTCAAAACACTAAGCACCCTATGTAAATAAAATTTTTACATCTGGCAGCTTGGACTTGTTAAGTTTATCTTGATTTAAACAGGCATTTCCTTACCTCCCCTGTTAAGACTAGTTCCCACATGAGTTGCAAGTGCTGTAGGACTGGTTGAAATGCACTGCAATGGGGAAAACATCCATACTATAATTATTTTAAATATATAACTCCAAGCATCCTAATATATCATTTCAAAGGTCAAGTAGGCTGGTACTTTGTGGCTGGCCAAATATGTACCAAATTGGCCACAAGAAAAATCAATCAATCAGTTTTTGTCAGTATAATAAATTATTTGTGCTAATTGCAAATATTTCAAATCTATTGGTGAACCTGTAGAGAACTCTCCCTACCTGAACAGATCTGTTTCATGTATTGACTGCAGAACATGATTTACTGGGATTTGAGGCTGGAAAATATAAACAACATTAAAACAAATAATTTTCATGAATTGGTGATAGAAAGTATTAATCATTAGGTAAGTATTGCAATAAATACAGTTACTATCATTTTATAAAATAGTATAAAGCAAATTTGTTTGTCATGTCAAATCCACATCACACAATGATGAAGTATACAAATACCTATTTACAAGGCCAACTACCCTCTGAAGGAAGTATATCATTAATATATATCTACTACATAAACCATTAAATTCAGTAGCATGTCTTACAAAACACTTGTCTGTGTTTGGTAGACAAGTTTTTTTTTTCATTTTCCCTCGATCCATGCACTTACCACAGTGTGTGTCTTGGTTTGGACAGCACCTATCACCTTGTCAGATCTGGAGGGGATTCGGACCTGGGGGAATGATACAAACACCACAATATTTATCACTTTTCTGTATTCTGCTTAACACCAGCAGGAGGCATGTGTATCTGTTAAACTGACTACATTTAGCAAGAGTCCCCTAATAGTTGGATTGTTGGTGTCTATGGGAATGGGGGCTTCGTTTAAGAATGAATACACCTATTATCTACCTGTACAACTGAGCCCATGAGGGGCAAGTTCAGTGTTTCCCCTGGAGTGGGTTCTGGCCACTGGTCTATATCATGGCAGGCTGAAATATGGGTCAGATTTATTATAATAATAATAATAATAATAATAATAATAGTTATAATAATAATGATAATAATAATAATAATAATAATTATCATTATTATTCAAATATATGAAACAATGGACCAGGGTTACATAATATTTTTACAACGAAGCCGGGTCTAACAGTAATGTAAGAAATCAGAATTCACAGCTCAACAAACAAATATAATAGAACACAACAGACACAGAAAGATACTATTACTTAAAGGTATCAATCTCAGAAATTTAAAACTAACTCCACTTATTTACTCTGAGAAAATCTGGGAGTTCAAAAAGCTCCATTTCCTTCACAAACCTGCTTCTAAGCTGGGTTCCCCATTATCAAAGTATTCTGGAGCCATAATCTCCACCATGTGCTCCAACAGTGGGATGAAGGGCAGCTTAGACACTAATACTAGGGACTGGAATATACAGAAACATACATAGTGAGAAACCAGTGAAGACAGGAAGGATTGAAAAGATGCAAGACAAAAGATAGAAAGACAAGCCAACAGATCTGCAGAGAAGGAAGAAAAGAGAAGACGAGAGAGAGAGAGAGAGAGAGAGAGAGAGAGAGAGAGAGAGAGAGAGAGAGAGAGAGAGAGAGAGAGAGAGAGAGAGAATGCATCAATGGCAAATTTAAATTTCTGATGAATAACTGAGAACATCACCAATATTAATCAAATGATGACAATAAATAATTTAGTTGAAATAAATATCAGTCTTAACAGACAATGTCATGACAAATCCAGTAATAAATTTTAAAATGTAAAACCTCTATATTAATGTATTATCAAACTAAAAGTACTTTCTGAAAGTATCCTCTTCGTATGGATTTATCCTTCGTTTGGCGAAAGTAGACATAGCCGTAGTAATAAGCATTATCGATCTGAAGGGAAAAATATGAAGCAAAATATAATAAAACATCCAGTAATACTTCTCATGATGATAACTTATAAAGACATTCATTCTGTGTTGCAAATATGACAATACATACATTAATATACGCAACCTTGTTTACTGCATCTCACTATTAATTGAATTATGGTAAACTTATATATTTTCATTTCCACGTGCTTGAATATTTTCAGTTATGTGCAATGCATTTTTTGTGGTGCTAGAATTAAAATTAAACTTCAAAATGTCAAATCAAAACAGTTTAACATATCATTCCAATAAGGAGTATCTCCTCAAATTTTCTTTACTTGCAGTGGAGTATTTAAGAACCAGACTTTTTTTACTTTTAAAATATCTACCTGCAGAGAGGCTGGGCACTCTCTGTTGAAGTCATCATGGGCAAGGATGTGATTCTTTCTACCAGGACACTGACGGATTCGAAAGTGAAACTTTGTGTCACCCATACAACCTGAAATTTAAAGTGCATTTAGAAACAATTTAAAATGAAAAGTGAAGACTTCTATCAGCATTGTACTCTAAGTAATACCATACTAGTACTTGAATAATGGTAATATAAGTTAAGCTACTGTCTAAAGAATTATTTTCCTTGTGACTTCTTATAAATAGGTTCTTTACTTGTTTTTGGTTCTCTCAAAAAAAAAAAAAAAAAAAAAAAAAAAAAAACATTGTGAACTCAATTGTGATAATCCACCATAATTTGTGTGTATATTAAAATATGTCAGTAGCTGTAATATGTTTAGTGGGGATGGGAGAATCCAACATCATTCAAAGATTGTGGATTTCCTTATCCTTCTTATAACCTTTAAGTTTGCCAATAAATATCCTATGTTTATATAATCTCATATTTTTAAATAGCTTCAAGTTATTATCATACAGACCTTCATGAATAACTTACATAATAGGTTTCATTATATAGGGTTCCCTATCCAATTAACTACTAGTATGTTCATAACAACATAACAACACGTTATTAAGGAATAATTAATGATTCTATGTACCTGAGTTTGAGTCTGGAAACGACAAGTAACAGATATTGATTTTCTGGAAAAGAAGACCATATAGCAAATATGAATACAAGGCATATGACACAAATTACAAATAAATAAATAAAAATAAAATAAAGTAAAAATCTATTTTTGAAAAAATTAATATGTATACGTAAGGCATATCTTAAACCGCTAATGCACATTCTTTAGAAATCCAGAGTAATCTTAATCCAAGGACATTTTCATTGACTTTGATTCAATATATTAAATTTAAAAAAAAAATGACATCTAAACAGTGTCTGCCATAGTAATTTATATGCTCCATATGCAACTTGATTGCCCTTTCATGCAGTTGATACCATCAGGCCAAAGGCAATCGTCTATATCAATACCCAACTTACTGACAGTAAATACAGCTGCTACATTATTTAAACATTAGACAAACAAACCTCTCTTTCTGTAAGCTTTACATGACCTGGATACACCAGCTGAAAATGAGATAGAAATACGTCATTTCAGAAAATAGAATTTCTATATTATGACCACAAATCATTTTGACCCAATGAGAGAAATAATTAAACATTATTCACTGCACATTTGTATGGTATATCAGTGTTCAGATGGGTCCAAGTGGTTATGTCAGGTGAGAGCACTATTAACAAAACATTTGGAGACTCACTCAAGAGAACAGAGTGCTTTTGTGTTACAAGATATCAAGCCAAGCATGTTCTATGTTTTATATTTTGGCTGATATCTTTTTTTGTTTTAAGCATACTGCCTTTAATCATTACTTTAGTTAAACAGCTTTGAAATTAAAACTAGTCTGAATGATCTGTTAAAGGAGTAGATCTCATGTTTACATTTTATAATGCATTTTTGCCATAGCATTTTTGACAAGCTGCAGATAAACATAAGTTAAGATTTAAAAAAACAAACAAACAAACAAACAAACAAACAAACAACAACAACAGCAATAACAACCAAATTTTCCACCAACATTTTGGGTATAAGCAAATCAAGTATTTTCCATTTGATTGAGCCCACTTAGGAGAAACTTTATCCACTCATCCTAATAAAATGGCTTGGGCATAATAAACTTGTAGACAGTATGTAGGTCACTGATCAACTGTTAAAAATCTTCACATTCATTAATAAAGCCACACATAACACATTTTTAAACATGTTCAGTAGTATGAAATGAAGAGTACTAGAAACAAAAGACTTGAACTAAATCACAGACAATTTGAGTACTGGGATATATTGTGAAAGTAAAAAATATATATACATTTTGGCAAACTAAATTACTGATAATTTTTTAGCAAATGTGACACACACGCGTGAGATTTATTGTATTGGTATTTGGTGAAAGTTTAAAGCATGTGTCCATGCCACTCAACCACTAACCAAGTCCCTTTTAATTCCAGATGATTTTCCATTCAAGTACTGCCAACAAAATTAATTATCGACGCACAAATCAAGAAAACAAATCTAATGATAGAAAAAAAAATTACGTCTTTTGGTATAAAAGGGGAACATGCAGCAGGCCATTAATTTTCACCCGGCAGAAAACGTGACAACCACCAATAAGCAACATTCCTTGAACTTGTAGAAGCCATCCAAAGAAATATGAGAACAAAAGACGGTAAACTAAATACCTCCATTGCTTGTCCAAGCTCCAAATCAAAAGTGACGACACAAGCGCAGTGGAGCCAGTTAGAAAATCTATCCCATGGCAAGACGGTGGGTGATCGCGGCGAATCTTGCAAGGAGAATTTCCTCTCTAAAGGCATTATTTGTTGATGCACGTCAGCTGCCATCTTGTGGGGGATTAAAATCGTACCCTCCAAACCCAAACATTTCAATCCAACAAATATAGCTTGAAGACGTAGAGCCACAGAGTCATGGTAATTTTTTAATTTGCCAAATGAAAGCTTATATCTGAACCAAAATCATAATGAACTTAATTTACATTACTAATTATATCGAGTGAAATGTTTAAAATAGTTTAAATTGATAGAGAGTATTCATTTGACCTAGTTTGAGATCGAGGTCGCTTCAACAAAAAAAAATCATGGCTGTCTACGGTCAGAGGTTGCGGGACTTCCTTGAATATATTGCTTAGGTAAGATGGGGTCTGATTGATGAGTGACAACAACATGTATTTCCCACACGACTCTTGATTATCTTAGCATAACAAAAATCCTTCATGACTGTTAAAATGCAACAGGATCCATTCAATAAAACACAGAGGGGATGTGTATCTTAGTTTCAAGATGGCCGACTCGGGTTCAACTGGGATGGGATCAATGTTTGTATTTTAGCTAACGCAGATGCTCATTAACAGATTTAACTGTCACATCAGATTATGGAGACTCTCTCTTTATTTTCCAGTTTTGAATATGGGATAATTGTGACTTCAGTGTAAGAGCGATTTTCAATGGGTGTGATTACAAGCGCGAAGACGTCCTGACTGGTTCTGTGGGAGATTCGTGTCAACCAAGTCATGTAATGCTGTCACGCTGCTCAAACGAACCTCTGGGAAGTTGTCACTAAAGACGTGGAGCTCTGAAATTGCCTATGAAGTGATATATATGCGTATGCCAGAAGGAGGAGCTTCAAAATTTTGTACAACAACATGACTGCACTTGCCATTTTTATTTGCCGACCAAATTCACATCCATTCCAAGAACGCCATGTTCCCCTCACTGAGCCTGTGAAGATAGGGAGGGCCGTGGCCCGGGCAAGACCTGCCACCAATAATGCCATATTTGACTGCAAGGTGCTATCCAGGAACCATGCACTGGTGTGGTATGAGGGTGGAAAGGTAAGGCTGGAGTTGGTGTGGTATGAGGGTGGAAAGGTAAGGCTGGAGTTGGTGTGGTATGAGGGTGGAAAGGTAAGGTGGGAGTTGGTGTGGTATGAGGGTAGAAAGGTAAGGCTGGAGTTGGTGTGGTATGAGGATGGAAGGTAAGGCAGGAGTTGGTGTGGTATGAGGGTGGAAGGTAAGGCAGGAGTTGGTGTGGTATGAGGGTGGAAAGGTAAGGCAGGAGTTGGTGTGGTATGGAGGTGGTAAGGTAAGGCTGGAGTTGGAGCATTAATGCCAGGAGTTTGTGATTCATATATAAACACTGGGTTACCTTCATTCATCAACCATTTGATGCCATGTGGTGTATTTGTCTGGTTATAGCACAATTTGCTTGGGCATTGGACTGGGTTATTGACCGTGGATATAGAAAAAAGGCCCAATTCTTTTATGCTACCTCGGTCTACCTTGCTTAACTCATTGCGCATGCATACAGGATGACATTGGTCTGTTTCTGTGGTATCACTACAAACTGTTTTAAATTGTACCCTGTTCTTGTGATGAAAGAAGTGCATCCACTGTGTCATGTTTTTGGACCTATTCCATGTACGACACTCTTGATATAATAAAAAAAAACATTGGACCCAGAAGCATTCAAAATTCAAATGCTTCCATTTCAGACTAAAAAGTTAAAAATATGTTTATCATATTTTAGATATATGTATATTGATTGGCTGTGCTTTTGTAGAATGGACTACATTGTACTAGTTGTCTAATGCTAATGGCACATTTAGGCATATCCCCCTTCTTTAATGGAAATACAGTACAGCATCCTTCATAAAATATTTTCTCAATAAGACCCACTTGACATAGTTTAAAACATTTGGTCTAGATGCATTGGGCCAATGATTAGTTGTTTTGAACAAGCACTTGAAAGCAATAAAATGGCATTATGGCAGTCATATATGATATAGAGTGAAGACTACTGAACATTTTCATTAGCAGATGTTTTATTCATTTGTGCTAGAAATGGTAAAAAACTGCTCATATAAGTGCTCAGTTGTCATTGGCAATATGATATCTAATGAATGCCTATATGTCAGCTCAGTCACAAATTGGATATAGTTATCATCTCCATGACTGCAAAATCATTGAATTTATGACAACTGTATGTTTGCCTTTATAAATTTTAATGCCAGCATAATTGATATTACTTTAAATACGAGCTAATGCCACCTTGAAAAATTACTGCTGTTAACACGAGTTGTGTGATAGATGCCATTTAACAATAGTATTACATGATACATCAGCTTTATTACATGATAATGGTTCCTAGAACATTATATAAATTGATATAAGGTTGTAACAGAACTAGGGCAACAGTTGCCATTGCCTGTTATACCTGTCAATTAATATATGTTTACTGATATAATCTGCATATTAATTTTTCATTTATTTTTTATGAGCTTTTTATAAGTAGAAGAGGCAGGTTGCTGGATTACAACCTTCCACTGTATAATCCTGTAATCTTTAAGTTGAATGATCAATGAATTGTGGGAAGATATGCAGACTGATTACGTTAGGGGTTTGTAATTGAAGTGGATGTTTGTTTAATTAGGGCTAAGTGATTTTAATCAAATCTGAAGTGAACAAGATTTAATAGATAATGAACAAGGAACAATGACAAAGTTATATCTGATTTCCATTGCAAAAAAGGTGTCAAGCTCATAAAAAAAAAAAAACACTTGTTCAAGAGACCCTTGATCTCCAAATATCTTTACTGAGTTCACAATGATACCATATCTGAGTACCAATTTTACCTCAATTACTATTAATCAGTAATCAGATAAGAGCCCAGTTGTAGTACTACATTGAAATACAGAAGCACCTGTGACCAGCAACTGTCCTCAGTTATTGATAAAATGAATGGGATAAATCATATCTGTTGTATTTGACTTCTGATGTTTTATCACTAACCTACAAATGGCTTTGGCCATGTTTTACTAAAATAATTAGTGTGTGTGTGTGTGTGTGTGTGTGTGTGTGTGTGTGTGTGTGTGTGTGTGTGTGTGTGTGTAGAGGCAGTTGTTGTCACATCTACCTCATGAAAATTCAGTTATTTCCAAAAAAAAAAAAATGACAGTGATGAGATCAGTAAAGATAAAGGACATTGCTGAAATCTGCACATATTTGTCTTTTGTGGTCAGTCTTTAACATTGTAGAGTTGGTAAATGATTTAAAGAAACTGGAAAGAAGAGGGATGTTAAAGTTAAGTTTGGATTTATAAGAAAATTCATGCAGACTGCAGATGAACTGGGTAAGTGGGTCAGGCATGGTATTTGCCAGATAAGAAAAGATATTGCACCTTGAATTCTGCACGCATTTCCATTAAATGCAACATCTTGGGCATTTCACAGTAGTGTATAATGACAAAAAAGAAAGTTATGCAAGAACGGTCTCTATTGCTTAAAAACCAGCTGCTTCTTGTGACAGACTGCAATCTGTAGCGTTCCATGTCACCAAAGTTGCAGCAGTTGATCGGTTGTTTTGACGTTTGACTCTTTGTAGTATAGCTGTGACGTATGTGTATTTACATCTTTGAGTGTTAGCCTTCTGTTAGTAGTTCTCTTACATAAGGATATTTGGTCCCCTAAATGATAAAAATACTTGGCTGTCAGGTGCTTTTAGCTATGTGTACATATTTTGTGGACTGGATACTGCAGATTTAACATGGTTGACAATAAATAATTATTTTGACTCAGTGTTTAAAAACAACAGTCATTTGAAATTTTGTGATGTAAAAGAAGCTCAGTATTTGTGGCAGTAAAAATACATCACAGTGCTGTTCTACCCTGAGTTGAGCAACTAAAATGATAATACAGCTCTGTATCCTGGTCCTAGGGAAATCGGCACTAAAATGTGCCAACCCAGGGTGTGTATGCTCTCACCCCCAGTTCCTGTCAGATTTAATTGGTGACTAGAGTGGTAACACAGCACCTTTCCTCTATAAAGAAGTAGTCATCATCAGAACATACTCAAACTCAGGATACTTGTTCATAATCAAGTCTAGACGACAGTGTGGTTTTGTTTCATGGTTTAAATTTTAGCGAACACTGCAGTGCTTAGAAACATTTTAAGTCCAGTTGTGACCACTTAACTTAGTTCTAACCTACAAGAAGGGGAGGTGCAGATGAATGAGCCTTCTGAGACTGTAATCTTTCTACATGTATCTACCAAATTGAATATTACAGGCATGTTACATGAATATTATCTTTTTCTCCAGATAAATCCCTTTTCGCCCAATCATTCTTAAGTTTTCTCTTCCATATAAATTGAGCGTGGGATTTAAAAATGGGGTTGGTTGCATTTTAGTGGCTGCTTTTATTGATCTCCCATATTGGATTGTGAAGCAGTATTGACCTGCCTTAGTTGGAAAGTCGGTAGATGTTTGAATGACTGACTTTGTGGAAATCTGTTAGAGTTCATGCCCTTAACCCTTACGTCTTTTGATCTGTGAACATAAGGTAATTACTAGATCTTTTCAGTAAGGGAAAATTGTGAATTTTACAGATACTGTATTTTGAAGTCATAATTTCATAGAATTAGAACATTCCTGTTGAGTGGTAGCAACAAAATTAAAAAGCAAGCTACTCTTTAGTTCTATTCTATGCAGATAACACACAACAAATACTGTGAAAAAATACAATTTTTGCTATTATAAATTTATGCATTTGAAAGATTGAGGATTTTTGCCCATTGAAAAGATCAAGTAATTACTATAGTAACAACAGAAACAGTATATAGCAGAGAGAGAGAGAGAGAGAGAGAGAGAGAGAGAGAGAGAGAGAGAGAGAGAGAGACTCTCTACCCCTCCTCTCCATTCCCTCTTCCAATTCCAAGTGTTAGATTCAGTCATGTTTATTTTCCTAAGCAGCACCATAATTCACAATTTCTCTGATACATTATTATGGAATTTACAAGTTTAAGCTCAGTAATATTGCAGCACAGTAACTAAATACAGAAGCCGAGCCCACTGCTTACGCAAAACAGTTGCATTCTCATCTCTGCTGGACTCCAATTGCTTTTAAAAAGATGAACTGTGAATACCTGGTATCTTAATTTCATGGTATGAAAAAAAGTTGATGTTTATTTTTGGCAAGTCCTGTCTTCTTTATCTGTAGGTTTTATCATTTTCCCAAACGAAGTTTTGGTACCATGTCCAATGCTTTCTTTAGGTTCTGTTTAATGCTCTTTACTAGTTACTGGCATGACGGATTGTTCCATACATGTGTTTGCAGGTCTTGTTGTTAAAATAGAATGTTTACGTCAGGTGTAAGAGTGCTCCGGGTGATTTTGGGTGGAAATACAGGTACATTTAGAATGGCATTTGTAGAGGAGAGAGATAACTAAACTATGAGATAGAGGGAAAAAAAATGTAGTGCATTGACATCAGAAAGGGTCATAGTCTCATATTAAGTACAGATGTATGTGAATTTTTTAATTACCTCCGCCAAGGAGGTTATGTTTTCACCCCTGTTTGTTTGTTTGTCTGCCTGTCATCAACATAACTCAATAAGTTTTGGACTGATTTTGATGAAATTTTCAGGAAATGTCAGAAGTGGGCCAAGGAACAGATGATTAGTTTTTGGTGGTGATCCGGATCAATAATCAATCAAAAATCAAAAAACTACATCATTATAGAATGAAAATTTAGGGGTGAAATGGAATTGGAATTGCTGCCTTGGCAGAGGTCTGCACTCTCGGCTTGCTTTTCTAGTTGACCATGAAATCCAGTGCAAAAAGTGTATAATAGTGATTGTTGCCTCATATATGAATTTCCGGCTCCTGTGTAAATACTGCAATTAATTTGTGTATGAAGTATTATATTGTCAGAATACATTTGACAAAATTCTGAGAAAAGTGTTTGGTCCATGTCCAAAAGAGGCTTTTTCATGAGTATCAAAACATGATAAATATGGAAGGAAAAATGAATTATTAGAATGACTTAGGGCCTGTTAGGC